CGTTCACCACAGTCTTCCCCTTGCGCAGCAAGGGTGATGTCACTGAGGTGTTGATCGACTGGATCCGCGCAGCTCGTCTCCAGCTCAGGCAGAGCTTCGGCTCGGACTTTCCTGTTCTGCGCCTGCACCCTGACAGAGGAGGAGAGTTCTCCACTGGCCTTCTGCGAGCCTACTGTCGTGCACGAGGCATCCGCCAGACCTTCACGCTTCCGGACTCTCCACAGCAAAATGGGATTGCAGAGCGCCGCATTGGCATGGTCATGGACGTCGCCCGTACGTCCATGATGCATGCGGCTGCCCCCCATTTTCTGTGGCCGTTTGCGGTCCGGTACGCGGCGCATCAGATCAACCTTCAGCCCAGGGTCTCCATCCCGAAGACCTCCCCAGCTTTGCTGTGGACGGGGAAGGTTGGCGATGCGTCTGCGTTCCGTGTCTGGGGATCTCGGGCGTTTGTCCGCGACTTGTCTACAGACAAGCTGTCCCCTCGTGCTGCTCCATACGTCTTCCTGGGTTTCCCCCCTGACGCGCCAGGGTGGCAGTTCTACCACCCCACCTCTCGCCGTGTTCTGTCCTCCCAGGACGTCACGTTCGACGAGTCGGTCCCCTACTACCGTCTCTTCCCCCACCGCGCTCAGTCCCTCCCCCCGCCACCGCTCTTCCTTGTGCCAGGTCCCCCCCCGGTAGACCCCCTCCCCCCTCAGGGTCCTGCCCCTTCAGGTGTGTCCCAGGTAGACGCTGTTGAGCCTGTCGAGGTCGCTGGTGACTCTGGTGCTGCTGAGGGTGCTGAGCGTGGGGGTGCTACGCCTGGAGGTGCTGAGCCTGGAGGTGCTGAGCCTGGAGGTGCTGAGCCTGAGAGAGCTGGGCCTGCTCGTGTGGCGTCTAGCAGTGCTGTGCCTGGCGGTTCTCCGTGTGCCTCGTCTCGCCGGGAGCCACTCTCTCCACAGGAGCTGCGTGAGTGGTTTGCCCGGCGCTGGAGGCGAGCTGCTGGAGCTGGAGGTGCTGCGGGTACTGGAGGTTCTGCTCCTGCTGAGGGTGCTGGTGCCGCGGGTGCCGGAGGTGCTCGTACTGGGAGTACTTTAGCTGCTGGGCCTGCGGGTACCTCTGGAGTTGGAGCTGCTGCGGGTGTTGGCGCGGAGGCTACTGCTGTCGGTCCTGGAGGCGGTCCTGCTGGGGGTGCTACTGATGCTGCTGGAGGTACTGGAGCTGGAGGTGCTGCTGGTGCTGGTGCTGCCACTGGGGGTACTAGTGCTGTCCCTGCTGTGTCTGGAGTCGCCGCGCGGCCTCGGCCGTACTTCGTTCCGCTCCTTCAGCAGGTTCTTGGTCTCCCGCCTTCTACTGGTCCTCCTCCTCCCTTCGAGTGTCCACAGCCTGTCCCGTCACAGTTACAGTTACAGGCGGCCTCCCCACTGCCTGCTCCGTCTCCCTACACTGGTCCTACTAGAGGTCTTGCTGAGCGTCGTGAGCCTGCGTCTCGCCCTGCGTCGCCTGTCCGTGCTGCTTGCACTAGTGGTCGCGGTTCGCGTCAGCGTCCTCCTCCTGTCCCTGGCACGCACCGGATGTCTCTGCGTCCGTCCACTGCTCCTCTGCGTGCCCCTTTACCTTCTCCTCCAGAGTCTTCTCTTCCTGCTCTTGCCGACCCGGAGTCGGACTCTCTTCGTGCCGCCAGTCCTACTGTCACGCGTCTCCTTGCTACTATTGTCACTGACCCTTCCTTTGAGTCCACTGCTGCGTCTGCCCTAGTTGCTGAGCTCGTCGACTTTGCTGCTCGCTGTCGCCTAGACTACGCCACAAGTCTTGTTGCTGAGTCTGAGTCTGTCTGTCCTCCATCCGTCGGGGGTGAGTGTGCCCTTGACACGGACGTCCTTGAGGACAGGCAGGAGGAGTTCCAGTTTCTGGCTGCTGCTTCAACTCATCTCGTGTCCGTACTCCTTACCCCTGAGGGAGACCCGGATGCACTTGACATCCCGACTCCGCGCTCTTACGCGGAGGCGATAGAGGGTCCCTACTCCTCTCAGTGGCAGGCAGCTATGGACGCAGAGATGGCTTCTTGGAAGTCCACAGGCACCTACGTTGATGAGGTTCCCCCGCCTGGGGCGAACATCGTCAGTGGCATGTGGATTTTCAGGGTGAAGCGGCCGCTGGGTTCTCCGCCTGTCTTCAAGGCTCATTACGTGGCTCGTGGCTTTAGTCAGCGGCAGGGAGTTGACTACTTTCAGACCTTCTCTCCCACCCCGAAGATGACCACTCTTCGGGTACTGCTGCACATAGCTGCTCACCGTGACTACGAGCTTCACTCTCTTGACTTCAGCACAGCTTTCCTGCAGGGCAGCCTGCACGAGGAGATCTGGCTGCGCCGCCCACCTGGCTTCACTGGGACTTTTCCTCCTGGCACCCAGTGAAGCCTCCGGTGGCCAGTCTACGGTCTCCGCCAGGCACCGCGTGACTGGCACGACACACTGAGGACTACACTTGCGGCTCTTGGGTTTGCTCCCTCTACTGCCGACCCGTCGCTGTTTCTGCGCACCGACACTTCTTTGCTGCCGTTCTACATCCTCGTGTACGTCGACGACTTGGTCTTTGCCACAGCTGACACTGCTGGACTCGCCCACGTGAAGTCCAAGCTGTAGAAGAGACACACGTGCACAGACCTGGGTGAACTGCGCAGCTACCTTGGCTTGCGAATCACTCGGGACAGAGCACGCCGCACCATTACCTTGACTCAGTCACACATGGTGCAGCAGGTCCTTCAGCGCTTCGGCTTCACGTACTCCTCACCTCAGGCCACTCCTCTGCCTACTCGCCACTCGCTCTGAGCTCTGCCTTCGGATGAGTCCGTAGAGTCGAGTGGCCCGTACCCAGAGCTTGTTGGCTGCCTCATGTACCTGATGACCTGCACTCGACCTGACCTTGCATACCCTCTTAGCATTCTCGCACGCTATGTTGCTCTTGGGAGACACAGACCGGAGCACATGGCTGCAGCGAAGAGGGTGTTGCGCTACTTGTGCAGTACGTCAGGCATGGGGCTTGTGCTTGGAGGGCAGAGTCCAGTGGTCCTCACTGGGCACGCAGACGCTTCTTGGGCTGACGACCAGGCTACGTAGCGGTCGTCACAAGGTTACACCTTCAGCCTTGGTTCCGGCTCTGTTTCGTGGCGGGCTACCCGCTCGTCTTCTGTTCTTGGCTCCAGTTGTGAGGCTGAGATCTACGCAGGGGCCATGGCTGCACAGGAGCTTCGCTGGCTCACCTACCTGCTCACTGACCTCGGAGAGCCACCTCGTTCTCCTCCAGTGCTGTACGTAGACAACAAGGACATGCTGGCCTTGTGTCGAGAGCAGAGACTGGAGCACAGAACGAAGCACATTGCTCTCCGCTGCTTCCTTGCTCGTGAGCTGCAGCAACGAGGTCAGCTGCGTCTTGCGTACGTGGCCTCTGAGGCCAACACTGCTGATATCTTCACCAAGGCGCTTGCGCCTTGTGATCATCAGCGCTTTTGTACTCAGCTGGGTCTTGTGCCTGCCTTGCCTCACTTGCTCACCTCTTGATCTTGCTTGTACTGTTACATATATATATACACCTGCTCTTGCTTGTATAGCCTTTTATATGTATATGTACTCCTGCATGTGAACTGGCCTTGTGGCCTTGACCTTGTGCTCGGAATGTGTGGTGACTTTGTGATCCACCCTGAGCTTGCTTTGCTTTACTTTGCTTGACTGGTCTTGTGACCCCTTGTACTCCCCCACTTTGCCTATGGGGGTGTGTCAGAACATTATAGCTTATGCTTTTGTGTAGGCTGTAGTGGGGTAGTCTATATGAGGTACAACCCAATTAGGGTTAGTACTTGTACCCAACTCTTTCAAAGTGCATTCATTCTCGTTCATTTTCACACATGTGGCTACTGATCCCATACTCCAAGACGGACCAAGAAGGCAAGGGCACGTGGATCCCAGTCGCAGCGTCGGCAGGGCCCTATTGCGCAGTGAGATGCACTCGGGAGTTCATTCGCAGGCCTTGCAGACATGCCACATGGGCCACTGATCCGGGTTTTCAACAAAAGGGCACAAGCCTCGCCGCACGACAAATTGCCTTCATATCCAACCATCCGAAGCTGGTGCCTCGAGGCTTGCAAGAAGGCAGGGCTCGACGCCACGCACATCGGAACCCACTCATTCCGCAAGGGCGCGGCAACAGCAGCCGCAGCTTTAGGAATCCCCGACCGGCTCTTCAAACGGATGGGGCGATGGCGAAGCGACGGCGCGAAGGACCTATACGTCACCATCGCCCAAGATCAACTCATCGACCTCTCCACCCAGCTGCAGGACTCCTCAGCAGCCCCATCGCCCGTCCGGCACCAACGATCGTTGGAGAGGCACCGCCGACCCAACATGCACCTGCCTCAGAAGACCCACTTGGAATGAAGCACGCCGCCTTTGCAAGATGGACTAAGCAAGCTTTCACAATATTATAATTTTTAAAAGTGTAACACTTTTTAAAATTTCGTATTGTGAAAGTGAGGACGTGGCCAGCAACGCAAAGGTAGCGGTGCGACGCTACTCACCCCTCTTTTGCCTCCAAAAGAGGAACGTGAGTTCAGTAGCTCCACCCACGTTCTTCATTTCCAATTTTCTAGTTTTACTTTCCCACCACCCACCCCATTGTGTATCATGGATGTACGAGAACGTTGTAAACCCGCTTGGAATGAAGCACGCTGCCTTTGCAAGATGGACTAAGCAAGCTTTCACAATAAATGATTATATTAGAGTTGGGCTCTTGACCAGACTTTTGGACTTGCATTTATCCATAAAGCTGACACTATGCACTACTAGTTGTACTATATTCCAGTACACACGTGTATATTCAAGGTCATACTTTACTGACTTGCAACACTATTTCCCACACCCAGCAATTCGACTTTTCAGGGTTATGCCAACGGCAATGTTGTTGGTGGAAAACGACTTTGTATCGTACAGTAAACAAAGACCTGGGTGTCATCAATCATGGTGTCATCTTTTTGCCAGCCGATCCACCAGCACCTTCACCTGGTCTGGTGCCAGGTATCTCGCCTGCAACAGAAACAAAGGAGAGTGGAGCAACACCACCATTCACATCAGAAAGCATATCAAGCTGATTCGCATTTGCAGTGCCATCTATAATAGCTGCCTTACAGCAAGGAATAACACACATGGCAGAAAATCTGGGTATTTCCGCTGGCAATCTCACTCCTGAAAAGTCACTCTCACCTGAAGAAACATTCTGTCAGCCTCCGCTTGGTTGCCATTATCCTTGAGAAACAAGCCCTGCATATCGCACCACACGCGCAAACACACACAAGGCGTGGCTTGTCCTGACAGAATGCAGCATGATTTAGTGATGTTTAGTCTTCAATTTCAGAAGCTGAGGCAGATGCCAACATGTCCCGTTGATAAGATGCCACAAAAGCCGTTCTTTTACGCACCGATTGTTGAGTGGAATCAAAGGAGGATGAGGCAGATGCACGGCTTAGCAGCCATCATCAATCCACCACACATAAGATCCCCACCCTAGCATAGCTCAAGCTCAACTTTCAGAACCAAATGCACATGTGGGTTGCGGTTGCCATGCACACAAGCCTGACAACACACTGAATCAGCAGCACCGTGTGACTTTAGAGTCGACTCAAAAGTCACCCAATGCACATGTGGATTGCCATGTCTCGGAAGCCATCCAAGGTGACTGTAAAGTCAAACACACCTTGGCGAGGTAACCTTGGAAGTCGTCCGGGCGCGAGGCAATGAGCCCGACGTACACCGCAGCAGCAACTGTTGATGCTGTTGCGTTGACAGTTGACCTTTTGATATTGTTGTGTTGACCCACAAAGCCATGCCAAACACACCTTGGCAAGGTAGCCTCGGAAGTCGTCCGGGCGTGAGGCGATGAGCCCATCGTACACCGCAGCGGCATCCTTGATGTTGCTGCCTTACTCAAAAAGTCATCCCATACAGACCTATGCATGTGTGAACACCCAGACACATACATACACCAGAACAGACCAAACAGACCTTGGCCAGGTAGCCTCGGAAGTCGTCCGCGCGGGAGGCAATGAGCCCGTCGTACACCGCAGCCGCATCCCCCGGCCGCCCCCACGCCGCATACGCCTTCCCCAGCAGCAGCGCCACCTGCACCTCATCCGCCACCCCCTCCTGCTCCTCCGCCTCCTTCCCTGCTGCTGCTTCCACCCGCTGCCGCGCTGCCAGCAGCTCGTCCACTGCCTGTGGGGGGATGCATAGAGGGAGTGGTGGCAGGGAAAGGGGTTGGGAGGGGAAGGATTTCAGAGGCAGACTTTAGAAGGCAGATGTGAGTCTCTGGAGTGCTGCTGCAGCCAATGCTTTTGAGTCGACTCAAAAGGGGATGGAAGAGAAGGTGGATTTCAGAGGAAGACTTTGAAAGGCAGATGTGAGTCTCTGAAGTGCTGCTGCAGCCTATGCTGCAGCGGCATTGGCTGCAGGGTATGCTTTGTCGCACAGCATACGTTTTCGCTAGCAGCAGCGCCACTTCCAACCTCCCACCCCCTGCTGCTGCTGCTGCTGCTACCCTGCTGTCGCATGTGAGCAGCGCATGCCAGTCAGGGTGAAGCAGGAAGGGGGAAGGGAGGGGGAGAGGAACTGTAGGGAAGAGGGAAGGTGGGACGAAGGCTTTTGAGTAAGAGAGAACGAAAGACGGAGGGAAGGTGGGGAGGACACCCTTGAAGGAAAACCTTTGAGACAACGCCGCTGCAGCACTAACAGTCGGTGTCTGTCGGTGTCTGTTCGTGCTGCTTGTAGCTGCCCTGCTTGACAATGCACATGCCCCCCCCCCCCTCCCCCCAAATAGTTTGTCCACGCTACATACATGCCATGCCATGCCATACCATGCCATGCCATCCCATGCCATGCTATCCCCTACCCTTCCATCCCATTCCATCCCACACCACCGCACCGCACCGCACAGCACCACACGCACCTGCTGCGGCTTGTTGTCAGCCAGCAGAGCGCCTGTCAGCCCCTGCAGCACCTCCAGAGACTCCACAGGCGATATCTGATGGAGTGAAGAAGAGGAAGAGAGGATGGGAGGAGAGGGGAGGAGGGGAGGTTGGGAGGGAGGCAAAGAGGGAGGAAGGGAGGGAGGGAGGTAGGCGAGGGGAGGAGGGGAGGGAGGCAGATGTGTCGTGATATGATATGATGTGATGTGACGTGACGTGATGTGATGTGATGTGATGCGATGCGATGCGATGCGATGCGATGCGATGTGATGCGATGTGATGTGATGCGATGTGATGTGATGCGATGTGATGCGATGCGATGCGATGCGATGTGATGCGATGTGATGTGATGCGATGTGATGTGATGCGATGTGATGCGATGCGATGCGATGCGATGTGATGCGATGTGTTGTGAATTCGGCAACTTCACCTTGCAGTACTCCTCCTCACCTTGCAGCAATGCGTCTCACCCTGACAGCCCGCTTGTAGGCAGCAGCGCTGGCGCCATACTCGCCCAGCTCGAATCGCACCTCCCATCTTATGTTTTTTGAGAATTCTCAAAAAACATACGCCTCTCCCGCCCACCGCCCCTGCTGCCATGCGTCTCACCTTGATTGCTCGCCTGTAAGCCGCAGCACTGGCACCATACTCGCCCAGCTCAAATCGCACCTCCCCCAGAAGGCGCTGCACCTCGGGATCCTCCGGGGCGACCTGAGAGGCAACACAATGGGGACGAGGCGGAGGCGAGCATGGTAAGCTCACAAGTGCACAGGCGTATCAAGATGCTTGGTCCCCGTGCGTGCAATCAAGCTGCTTGGTCCACGTGCGTGCAATCAAGCTGCTTGGTCCACGTGCGTGCAATCAAGCTGCTTGGTCCACGTGCGTGCAATCAAGCTGCTTGGTCCACGTGCGTGCAATCAAGCTGCTTGGTCCACGTGCGTGCAATCAAGCTGCTTGGTCCACGTGCGTGCAATCAAGCTGCTTGGTCCACGTGCGTGCAATCAAGCTGCTTGGTCCACGTGCGTGCAATCAAGCTGCTTGGTCCACGTGCGTGCAATCAAGCTGCTTGGTCCACGTGCGTGCAATCAAGCTGCTTGGTCCACGTGTGTGCAATCAAGCTGCTTGGTCCATGTGCGTGCAATCAAGATGCTTTTATGAGCCTTAGTGCCAGTGCCCGACTTCGAATCAAACTTTGAGGCGCCTCAAAAATAGATACAAGGTGTTTTTACGAGCCCCTTAGTGCCCGAGTTCAAACTGCCAGAAAGAGCTTCCCAGCTGCCCCTGCTGCCCCTCTGTATCATGCTCCACCCTCACTCCTCACCCTTCACATCCCACCCTCATTCCAGAACCAGAAGGAACGCAACAAGCATGGAATAATAGAAAAACACACGTAGGGAACATGCCTGGCTGAGCTGCTCCAGGCGTTGAGCCGCCTGCCCGTACTACCCTAGCTCCGCATACAGCATATACCCCTGCTCCCTCTAGCACCTCCCTGTTGCCCATGCTGCCCCTTCCCGTACAATGCTACAAGCCTACAACCCAAGAAGGTGGTTTTGCAATGAACATGCCTGGCTGAGCTGCTCCAGGCGTTGAGCCGCCTGCCCATACTGCCCCAGCTCCGCATGCAGCACTGCAGCTCCCTCCAGTGCCTCCCGGTTGTCTGGTGTGGCCGCCAGCCGCCCCTCAAACTCCTTCAGTTGGTCCTGCGGGGTTTATGGGGGGGGGTGGAGAGAGGGAATAGCAGGGGGAGCAGGGGAAGCAGAGGCGATACTTGAGCCGCCTGTCCATACTGCCCCAGCTCAGCATGCAGCACGGCAGCCCCCTCCCGCGCCTCCCTGTTGCCCGGTGTGGCGGCCAGCCGCCCCTCAAACTCCTTCAGCTGGTCCTGCGGGGTTTATAGGGGGAGCAGAGCAGGGGGAGAAGTGGAAGCAGAGGCGATGCTTGAGCCGCCTGCCCATACTGCCCCAGCCGGTCCAGCGGGATACATGGGGGGGTCAGTGGGCACAGAGTGAGCGCGACAGGCAGCGAGGGTTGGGGGAAGGGTGGGTGGGTGGGAGGGAGGGAGGGAGGAGAAGGATGATACGGACAGACAGAGAAGAAGTGGGAAAAACAGCTGCTGAACTTTTGAGTCGACTCAAAAGGCAGCGAGGGTTGGGGGAAGGGTGGGTGGGTGGGAGGGGGGGAGGGAGGAGAAGGATGATACGGACAGACAGAGAAGAAGTGGGAAAAACAGCTGCTGAACTGGTTTTTGAGAATTCTCAAAAACCAGCTGGGAGGGGGGGAGGAGAGGGATGAGACAGACAGAGAGAGAAAAAGTGGGAAAAACGGCTGCTGAACGAGTGCACTTGTGGAGGTAAAGAGACGACGAGACGGGAAAAGCGACTGCTGAGCGAGTGCTCTGCTGAAGCGGGGTGTAAATATGTGCAACACGGCATGCATGAGGGCGGTGGGGTGGGAAGTAAGGGAGGGAGCAAGGACTCACCTCTCGCTGCTTCCTCTGAGCGTCGCTCATCTTGCAGACAGCAATACCACTCGTGTGTTTGAGTCGGCTCAATACATGGGTATATGTAAGGGGGAGAGCAGCAGGAAGCAAGGGAAGCAAGGGAGGGAGGGAGGGCTCACCTCTCGCTGCTTCCTCTGAGCGTCGCTCATCTTGTTCACTGCAATGCCACTCGCATCCACCATCTGCTGCTGCCTGGAACACGGCGGATTTAGGATGGGTTGAGTGCGGTTGGACAACTTTAGGAGGAAGATTAAGAGAAATACATGCTGTGGGTAGGATTCGCAAATGGTTGGTTGGGAGCACAGTGGAAGGTCTTTGACTGAGAATGGGGATAGAGCTGCCTCTTGCTATCATGATTCATGATGCTTCTGAGGTCTGAGATTTATCAGAAGCACCAGGAGGAGGTCTTAGACTGAGAATGAGGGGGTCTAGCTATCATGATGCTTCTGAGGTCTGAGATTTCCCAGAAGCATCAGGAGGTCTTACACTGAGAATTAGGGGACAAATATGTCTCTATTAAGCATCAAGGACCAGGCCAGACACATAACCCTACACATGCACGTAACCAGCCAATGGGGTTCTTCGTTGATAGTCACATACGGGGGGGAGGAAGGGGTGGGGAGAATGTCTCCGAAGGCGAAGATGGCTGCAAACACCGTAGCCGCTATGCCAATGCCAATCTGCCACGTACAGCACATTAAGGGGGAAGGGGGGGCGAAGAGAAAGCATGTAATCATGAGGCAACCGGAGAAAGATTGACATACAAAGGAGGGCCAGGCGCGGGGAGAATGCCTCCGAGGGCGAATATGGCTGCGAACACCGTAGCCGCTACGCCAATGCCAATGCCACATACACAGGGGAGGGATCAGAAGGGGAAGGATGAAACCGTGAGGCAGCAGGAGAAATGATTGACATACGAAAGGGGGGCGGGGGCGGGGAGAATGCGTCTGCAGGCGAACATGGCAGCAAACACCGTGGCCGCTATGCCAATGCCGATCTGTCGGAGAAACAGCTCTGGCTGCCATTTGTGACACAGCTCTGCCTGTCATTTGTCCTGCAATCTGATGCTCTTCCTCTCTTTGGCTTCTAGTGCTGCCTCAGCCACTCCCTGCCCCCTCCTGTGCCCGTGCTTGAGCAGCTTGAGCACGGGTCACAGGACCAGTACGCTGAGGCCCGGTTCCCCTTATCACAGCAGTGTTCGTCTGGTGTTCCTTCAGCTGCGCCCCTTTCTCATTTTCCAGTACCAGCACTCCTGAAGGGCGCACCTCCTTGACTCTCCAACGCACTGTCCCCAATCCCACATCCAGAGTGTCTTGCTTCGCTCTCTTCAGATAGACTTCCTGTCCTTCACATACGCCCCTCTGCACTTTCCCCTCTCCCTTGCGTTGCCTCTGCTCATATCTCCTGGCATCTCGCAGCTGCGCGGTGTGCAGGTTCTCCAGCGCGGCCGGCATCATGAAGCGCATGTAGCGTGCCCGGACATCAGACAGGGCCACCTAGTTCTTGATTGTGCCTGCTGTCACTGTGTCTGTCAGAACCCGTGGTGCCCCCACTGGCAGGATCGGCTCTCGTCCGTATAGCAGACTGTAGGGTGAATGATCGCGCAGTGCTGCCTGCTTCCCGAATCTGTACCCAGCCGCTATCCAGTCCAGCTCATCATCCCAATCCCTCTTTCTCTGCTCCCCATAGGCACGCAGCCCTCGCTAAATAGTCTGTACTATGCGCTCAGTCAGCCCGTCACTTTGCGGGTGGTAGCGGGAGGTGCGTCGGTGAGTGATGCCGGATTCCAACAGCAACTTCTTGAACTCCCCCTGGAACTCGGTTCCCTGATCTGTAAGAACCTCTCCGCATGCTCCAAAGCGACACACTACCTGCGCCTTGAAAGCCGCTGCAATGTGTCTTGCGCTCTTGCTAGTGATCGCTCGCACCTCCAGCCACTTACTCACATGCTCAACCATGAGCACTATGTACTGGTTCCCGCTCCTGCTTAACGGCAGCTCTCCCGTCAGGTCCAGGGACCATCGAAATCCTAAGCCACAGATGGGTAGTGACTGCAGCTCTGCCTTGGCCTGCGTCAGGTTGGCCTTGCTCCTCTGGCACGCCTCACACCCCTCTACCCACTCCTTCACCTGCCTGCGCATCCCTTCCCACCACCAGCCTGTCTTCAGCAGATGTACAGTCCTCTCATGCCCGAAATGTCCCAGCTTAGTGTGCACTTCTCTGATCACTGCTTCTCGCTCCTGCGGCGCTGGCACCAGCTTCCATCCATCTTCGGTCTTGATCTGCAGCTGTTGTTGATACCACCTGTAGTGGTGTCCTCGCGCCCTCACCCTCTCAGACACGTTCTCGTCCTCCTCGGTCTCTCCCTTCACCCATTCCATTGCCTTCTCATCTTGCCATAAGTCAGCTGGCCCCTTGCTCCCCTTAGCGCCGTTCAACTCCACCTCTCTGGCCAGCAGGATCAGTGTCTGCGCGGGTTCCTGCTCTGTCCTCCCTTTCTCCTGCTCTGTCTGTTCAGGCTCCAGTGGTGGCGGGTTGCGGGAAAGGCCGTCGACGTGCTGCCACCGTTGCCGGATTCCAACAGCAACAGCGTCTTTCCTGGTCGGTGCCGGATCTTAAAGTCATACTCCTGCAGCTTTACTGCCCACCTCGCGTTCCTGCCCGTCAGCCCTGGTGTGGTCATCAGCCATGTGAGCGGCTGATGGTCAGTGACCAGGGTGAACTCTCTGCCCTGTAAGTACACCCTGAAGTGCCCCACCACCCACACTGCTGCCAGCCCTTCGCCGATGTATGAACTGTACTGAGCCTCTGCCGCATTGCAGCTCCGGCTAGCATAAGCTACCACCTTCTCGGTCCCCTCCACCTCCTGACAGAGGACTGCCCCCATCCCTTGACTGCTCCAATCGGTGTAGAGGGTGAAGGGTTTATCTGGCGCTGGCAGCTGCAGCACTGTTGCGGTCTTCACTGCAGTCATCAAGTCCTGCAATGCTGTCTTCTGCTCTGCTCCCCACTCCCACGCCTTATCCTCCCGCAGCATTCCGTTCAATACTGTCGCCCTTTTGCTGAAATTGGGCACGAAGCGTCTGTAGTAGCTCAGGAAGCCTAAGACTGCCCGTAGTCCTGACTTGTCGCGCGGCTCCCTCAGCTTGTCCAGCACCTGCACCTTTGCTTGTTGTATCCCTATCTGTCCTCCCTGCACCTCATACCCCAGGTACTGCACAGTCTGCTCCCCCCAGCGGCACTTCTTCGGGTGGCAGGTGAGTCCCGCCCCTTCTATCGCGCTCAGTGTCCTCTCCACGTCCTTGAGGTGCTGCTGTTCGGTCACGCTGAAGATGACCACATCATCGATGTAACACTCCGCACACTCCACTCCCTTAGCACGGCATCCATGACTCTCTGGAACACAGCTGAAGCATTCCTCAAGCCAAAAGGCATGTACAGCCACTCGTACAGCCCATCCGGCCCGTGAAAAGCTGTTTTCTTCACGTCCTCTTCCCTGATCTTGATTTGATTGAAGCCCTGTCGCAGGTTTAATGTCGTGAAGAACACCTCGTCCGCTAATTTGTCGAAGATTTCCTCGGCCATGGGCATGGGGTACCTGTCCGGCACTGTAATTTTGTTGAGTGCCCTGTAATCCCCACACATCCGCCTGCTCAGCACCTCTCCGGTCAAGTCCTTCCTCGCTGCTACCACCGTTGGAGTGGCGTACTGACTCGGACCTCCTGATCAGGCCTGCCTCTAGCAACTCCCTTATCTTCTCCCTGCATATCTCCTCGTCTGCCAATGTCATCTTCCTTCTCCTGTGGAACACCGGCTCATCGCTGCTCAGCTTCAGCGCCATTTCCTTGACTGTACACTTCCCCAACTCCTGCAGTGAGAAGGCGAAGCACTTCCGGTGTTTGGCCAGCAGTGCCCGCATTGCTTCCTTCCCCTCCTCACTCAGGTTCTCTCCTATCTTCCACTCTGGCTTTTCCCCTTCCTGGCAGACCCAAACCCCTTGCCTCACTGTCGCTGCACCTGCCTCTCCTTCCTTCCATCCCCAGTGGAGCACTGTCTCCCTCCACATCCGCTGCACCATCCACCGCATCATGTAGCCATCCATGGCGTTCCCCATTGCCCTCCTCCTCTCCTGCTCACTTACCCCAGGCGCTGCTGTGATGTTCTCCCCGTATCCCATGGCTAGTTCTCGCTCCAAGGCCGTAGGTTCCTCCCACTGTCCCTTCTTATGGTCATACACCAGCCTTGGCCCCGGCTTCTCTCCCTCCATCCGGTATCCTGCCGCCCCTTCATACGACACCAGAGTGGGCAAGGCCTGCCTCTCCTGTCCCACCTGATTGCATGGATAATGCTTGCTGTAACTTCTCTTGCTGACTGGTGCCGGAGTCCTTCCCGGTTCCAGTATGTCGCTCACCTTCCGTCCTCCTGCCCTCTCCACTCCCTCTATCTCTTTCTGCAGTTCTTCCGCTAGCATAACATTCCGCCAGTACGTCCTGAGTCGGTGGGCGAATGCTCCCATCCGCACCGCGTCGCTGCTAACTCCTTTGCCCACTTGTCTCTTCACCCTCTCTCTCACCCTCCTCACATGTTCCCGAACATCTCCTTCCATATCCAGGTGTTCTAGCAGGTACGCCAGCGGGCCCTGCCTATCCTGTAGCCACTCCATGATCCTGAACAAGTCTTCCATCAGTTTGGTCCTGGGGTCTTGGTCACCCCCTCCCCTTCCCTGCCCATGACACACCTTGACACTCCCACCCTGCCACTAACAGGTCCACATGCCCCCAGCTTGCTACTTCGGCTTCAGTTATTGCCCTTACGTCATGTACGCCTCTGCTCATTGCCGCCCTGATCACTTCCGCTTTCAGCAGCTCTGGAAATTCCTCCTGCAGCTTCCAGGCATGATGTTCTGCCATTTTCCTCACCTCTGGTGCCTGCTACACGTATATCCACTGCTTCACAGCTATGCCGTTCCTTACCACTGCTGCCAACCCTGCCCCTATTCCCCTAAACAGCTCCACTAGTCGGATGGGCTGCTGCCAGTCTGTCTGTTGGCGCGGCTTGTCCATGAAGCTCATCCTCTGGTCCACTTCTTCTCCCTCGCCATCTGCACTCTCTTGTGCCCCCTGCTTCGCTGTTATTTCCTTCTGATCCGCGCGGTAGGCCCTCTTCGGCTCTGTCTTTACGAATTGCACCGGCAGCTGGCCTAGCGGCTCCCCCTTCCTCCACCACTTGGTTCTGAATTCCACACTTTCCTTCCAAAAGCATATCGTCATGCCTAATGCGAATATCATCTCCGTGCCCACCAACACGTCGAAATCCTCTGACTCTGAAATCCCGCACCTGATTCTGACTTGCGTCTCATGTCTTTCTCCTTGCAGCACCGTCAGCTCTATTGGAGTCCTGGTGCACGACATCCACTTTGATTCTCCCGCCTCTGCTGTCATCACCAACATCCCCTTCACTACGTGTCTGTCCGGCGCCCCCAAACCCAGTTTCTCAGCCATCCTTTTCCCCAGTATGGCGCTCTGTGCCCCTGTGTCTATAATGGCAGTTTTTGCCTTCTCCCCTTCCACGGTCAGTGCTCCATTCTGTATCAGCAGGACTGAGGTCTGGCATGCCAATCTCTCCTGCGGGTGACGTGCAGCTGTACAATTCTCCTCCTTCTCCTCTGGCTTCTGCCCCTTTTCTCGTTCCTTCTTCACATATTCTCTTCTAGTATCCTTCCCTCCGCTTCGCAGCCCCATCTCCTCTCTTCCCCTCTACGCCATGAAGGTTGGTTGCCCCTCCCGTTCCACATCCTCTTCTTCCTCTTCTCTGTCATCTTCCCTTCCTCCCCAAGCCATTAGTGCAGCTCGCTCGTCCTCTTCCTCCTCGTCCCTGGCATACATTCCCGCTTCAGCCTCTCGTCGCGGTCCTAATGGCTGTAACTGAGCCTGCAACCGACTAATCTGCTTCTCCTGTTCCTCCAGCTTCTTCTTCGCCGCTCCATCCTTCTGGTAGCAGTCCTTTGCCACGTGTCCTTCCTTGCCACAAACCTCACACTTCGGCGCTTCAGGGCACTCCCGCCGCCGGTGCCCTGGCTTCCCGCAACAGTCACAGTTTTTGCAGTCCCTGCGAAGGTGTCCCGGGTGTCCGCATCGGTGGCATGTCCGAGTTTCTGGCCTGCCCTCTCCTCGCCCCGCTGCCCTGTCCCTCTCTTCAGGCATGATCGCTGCTGCCCAGGTTGGCCCCCGGCTTCTTTCCGTAGTCGTGGGCCTGTATGCTTCATATTTTCTCTGTGCGAGCTCCATCTTCTCTGCCAACTCGATGACCTCATCCAGCGTCGTGTCTGCCCCCAGCTCATACACCTTCATGCGCAACCCATTTCCCATGGAGCTGTCCAACCCATCCAAGAATTTACTGACTAGGAGGCCCATGTCCTCACAAGTCAAGTCCTCTGCCAAGTTAATCAGCCGGTTGTAACAAGTGAGTAAGGACTCACTCCTCCCCTTCCTGAAGTCCTGGAATTCTCTCATCTTCTCCGCGGTATGGCCAGGAAACTGCCGCTGCAGCCGCTTCAGAAATGCCTCCGTGGGGTCTTCCCCGTACCTACCCGCCCTCTCTAGCAGCTCATCCATTCTCATTCTGTACAGTGTCGCTGCCTCCCCTTCCAGTGTCTCTGCCTCCCCTTCCAGTGTCTCTCCCTCCCCTTCCAGTGTCTCTGCCTCCCCTTCCAGTGTCTCTGCCTCCCCTTCCACTGTGTTCGGCAGACTCAGGAAGAAGTCCACTGCATCCATGCCACTCCTTTCGCACCTGTATCTCACGTTCCCCAATTTCATCAAGTAATTCTTCAGCGTCAGCCCCACGCGCTGGTCTCCAGAGAACCGCGTCGGCACTTCCACCCGTGCAACCATCGCTGCACTTCCACGCCCCTCGCCCCATGACTCGCTTGCCCCTTTTTCCTGGCTTCCTGACGTCCCCCCTCCTCTGGCCCGCTCAAATCCCTTTCTTGCTTCTCTGGCGCGTTCCATGCTATTCGCCAAACCGCTGCCCACACCCCTGCTTCTCTGCTGATCCTGCCTTGCTTCCCATCGCCTTTCCTCCCCACCCATCTTTCCTCGCCGATCTGGTGAGTGACACGCACGCGCCCATTCTTCCTGTGGTCCTCGGCGCTGCCAGCGCGGCTCAGGTGTCGGGATCGCGAATCTCTCCTTCCTTCCTGCCCGCGACGATAGTCCCGCTGGCGCCCCTCCTCCTCCCATCTCCCTCTCTGTCTTCGCTGCAGATCACGCCCTGGCGAGCGCGGCCCGCCTCCATGCCTCTCGTTGCCCTGCGGACGCGGATCCAGCGAGAGATATCCGCTGCCCCAACTCATACCCCGTTCTTGGTACCGATCAGACGAGCTCGAATCGCCTCCCCTCCTCCCCTCATGATGTTTGCGCAGATCTAGCGAGCGTGGCCCGCTTCCCTGCCTTCCTTCGTGTTGCTGATACGGGTCTAGCGAGCGCACCCCGCCTCTCCGCCTCTCGCTATGCTGCCGATACGAATCTGGCGAACGCGACTCGCCTCCATGCCTTCCCTCACGACGCTGGCGCAGATCTGGCGAGCGTGGCCCGCTTCCCCGCGCCCCGTGATGCGGCTGATACGAATTCGGTGAGCGCGACCCGCCTCCCCGCCTCCCGCTGCGATATCTCCACGGATCCGAGGAGCGCGACCCGCTTCCCCGCTTCCCGCCCCGATGCTGACGTGGATCCGGCGAGCGCGACCCGCCTCCCCGCCTTCCGTCACGATGCTGACGCGGATCAGGCGAACGCGATCCGTCTCCTCGCCTCTCGTCACGATGCGGGTGCAGATCTGGCGCGCGCGGACCGCTTTCCCGCTTTCCGTCATGCTGCTGACGCGGATCTGGCGAGTGCGGCGCGTCGCAGCCCTGCTCCCCGCCATACGCCTGCTTCCCGGAAACGTGCGCCTCCCTTCGCGCGCTTTGTCCGCCACCAGTTCCGCCCGTCTCCCCTTCGCCTGCCTTTTCCGCCTCGCCTGGCGCAGGGTCTGCCTCCGTTGCTTCCACGGGCATGTCGCGCTGCCCGCCTGCGTCCTCCTTCCGGACTTCGTCGCCGGCCTCTGCCACGTCATCGCGCTCAAACTCCTGCGAGGTATCCGCCGCGTCGTCCTCTCCTCCGCCGGCGTTGAGGTCTCCCTCTCGGCCCGAAAATAGTCCCTCCAAGCCTCGCCCGCGACTCCGATCTTCGCGACGACGATAGCTTGCTTCCGGCGAGCGGTACGCTCCCGTCTCTTGGCGGTACCCAAGATCGCCACCTGCTCCGTGGCGCGGATCCGTCCGCCACGGATCACTCCCCGCCATGACCGATTCCGATCCGCCTGCTCCTTCTCGAGCAGATCCGCCCTCTCGGCGTTCGGGCCAGAGAGGCACCTGATCCGCGCGAAAGGCAGGCCTCCGCGGCGACCTCTCCAGTGATCGCCCACACTCGTGCGAGTATCCGTGCCACGAGCGATCCTCCTCGCGACGACCATAAGTCCTGCCATAACGCAGCTCAAAACCGTCCATCCTTGCACGCGCGCACCCTTTCCACTTGTTATGAGAGAGACGTATCTCCCACCCCAAGGGTCCTCCCTGAGTGGTGTGTCACCTAGCTGCAAGATTAAGGCAACAACGTTCCACTATACGAAAGGATAACAAGCGGAAAGCAACGAGTGTGTGTGTGAGAGTGAATTTACCTGGCCCAGGCTCGAAGCGTGCATTTCTCAATGTGCGCCTCGAGCCTGGGTTGGTGCATCCACATTGGTTCCTTGGATTGCACTCCTCGGAGCTCTCCTACCAACTTCGCGACACTCTCCCTGGTCCCCAACTACCTACACCCCAAATCTTCACATACTACTACACTTAGAACTACACCGCAGCAAAACTGGCACCTTATATGCACAACCATGCATATTCGGTGACAGATCTGCCACGCACACAGGGGAGGGAACCGAGGGGGGGGGATGATCAGAGTGAAATCAGTTGTCTCTTTGACACAAGCACACCTAAGCTAAGAGGAGGTCCTTGGTGAGAGCAGCCATGTCCACCAGGGGCTCTGTCTGCACTGCAATGCGTTCACCATCATCCGGAACAATGCCAAGAATGACGCCCAAAAGCTTGCTCCACTGCTTCGTGCCAAGCAGCAGCACAGCGCGACTCACCTTAGTGGGAAGGTCCTTGGTGAGAGCAGCGGTGTCCACCAGCGGCTCTGTCTGCGGATTGTCGTAGTCTATGGCTGCTGTGCTGCTCACCTGCCCCTGCTGCTCCTGAGCCCCTGCAGTGCATGCATCCTCTGACCATGCATCCTCTGACCATGCTGCTCACCTGTCCTCTGACCATGCCACTGCAGCAGCACAGCGCGACTCACCTTAGTGGGGAGGTCCTTGGTGAGAGCAGCGGTGTCCACCAGGGGCTCTGTCTGCGGGTTGTCATAGTCTATGGCTGCTGTGCTTTGCACTGCTTTCGCCCGCTTCTTCTCTTCTGCTTGCCTGAGTATGGGAAGGTAGAGACCGGGGAAAGGCAGAGCAGGGAACAGAGAGAGTGCGTGTGCGGCCATGCGTCTGTCTGTCTGTCTGCGGGTTGTCATAGTCTATGGCTGCTGTGCTTTGCACCACTACAGCCTGCTTCATCCCCTCTGCCCGCCAGAGAGCAAGAAAGGTAAAGACCAGGCAGGGAGTGTTTTTGAGACGTCTCAAAGATAACCTCATAACACGCTGTGCTTTGCACCAGTGCCCCCTGCTTCATCCCCTCTGCTTGCCGGAGAACAAGAAAGGTAAAAACCAGGCAGGGAGTGACGAGGGAGGGAGTGGCAGGGGGAGAGAGGCCAAGGCAAAGAGTCCGGCTGGGGGAAAGAGGCAGGGAGAGTGGGTAAAGGTGCCCCTAAGAGAGGCCAGAGCGGCCTGCATCCTCACAAATCCCTAAGTTAACACATGCACAAACCCCCTTTCCTCCCTCTGAATCCTGTCTCCTCCCACAGTTTCTCCTCCCACAGTTACTCATCAACTCAACATCTCACTTCCCCCAAGCGCTCTGCAACGAGGCGGGCATTGTCTGAGCTCAGACAAGCAACACCAGCACCCTTCTCATCTCATCCCACTCTTGGGCAGCATGGGCGGCCAGAGCAACACTTTCTACAAAAGCCATGACCCCGGCCCTCCCACACCCTTCAGACACGACACCCACCCTTCCTCCCATCCCAACACCCGCGCCCCCATTCACTCTTCCCCCACCCCACCCATCTACTCACCGGCGCACTTCCCTCAGGCGCTCTTCAAACAGCCGGTCATCGTCCGAGGCAGCACGGGAGGGCGCCCTGTGAGAACGGCTTTCCACACGACCCGCCCGCCCATCTCACACTCCTCCCCCACACACCCTTTCCCCCTACCCCACCCATCTGCTCACCGGCGCACTTCCCTCAGGCGCTCCTCAAACAGCCGGTCGTCATCCGAGGCAGCACGGGAGGGCCTCTGAGACACCTCTTGCGCCGCCGACACATCGGGCGCCCACTCTGGCCGTGCAGGAAGTGATGAGGGGGTGGGGGGAGAGGTGTGTATAGTGGGAATATGGGGGTTGACTTTGGTGAAGAAGAGCCTTTGAGACGCGTCTTGCGCTGCCGACACATCTGGCGCCCACTCTGGCCGTGCAGGCATGGCACGGCATGGCATGGCACGGCACGGCATGGCGCTGCATGGCATGGAATGGCATGGCATGGCATGGCACGGCATGGCACAGAGAAAATGCACCGGGTTGCTTAGCTTGATTGTTGAAACTTTACAGCTTGAACCACCGTTTTCTGTCTGACTAGGGTTTGACTGAGGGCAAAAAAGTGATTGTGATTAGGTGGGCTGGAGGTTACCGTTTTCATTGACGCCTGGGATGGCCGCATCTTGCTTGGGGGGTCCACTGCCTTTGTTGGGACCGGGCTTCTGAAGATGCATTGTGGAATGGCACGTGGGGTAAAAATGAGATGATATGCCGTGTGAGAAGTCAAGATACGGCATGTGAGATTCCGTGTTCGGGTATGTATGTGCGGTGGTACAATAAGGTATGTGCAATGCCACGTGTGAGGTTCCACGATATGAACGCGAGAGGCCATGCGACAGCACTGCACAAGCAGCACAGCACATAGCAGCGAGAAATGCGTGCCATGGCATGTCGTGACGCTGCACATGATGGCATGGCACACAATGTCCTTGCATGTCATCACTGCATGGTCAGTCGTGCATGAATGGTCCTTAGTCTCTCATCAATGATGCATGAATGGTCATCAGCAGCAGACCCTCGAAAATCTTATGCCTGTGTCCCCCTGAACCTCGAATTTGTCCTATCCTAAAAAAGTTCCAACAATGCGTTGAGCACGTTCAACATAGAGGAAGTTTTTATCAATGCGTTGAAGTCGTTTCTGAGAATTCTCAGAAGCAACGCGTCGCATCGCACCCGGCTCTTGCCGTCGTCCGCCTTGCCGAACCCCTTCGCCCCGCCTGTGGCTGCCGTCACCAGCATCACTCTCCTTCGCCCGAGTCCACTCCCCAGTCGCCCGGGCCTCGCGAATGAAATGCTGCGAGCCCCAGCTGGCGCTCGTTGAATCAGCGACGACGACGACGACGACGACGCTGATTGCAGGGAGTTAGCTCCCGCAAGCATGGCTGACGAGCTGCAAGAAACGGCTAAGGACTGCATTGCTGAACCTACTCGAGAGGCCTACGCGAGCCAATCGGTTCAACAAGCACTGCTGCTGACTGATGTCGTCGGCCTACACTCCTGACGGACGTCGCCCTGAGCGATAACCGTTGCTCGCTAGTGGAATTTTGCTGAACAATTGAGTGAGCTGGTCAGGCCAGGAGTACACTAGCAGAAGGAGCTAGTAGTGTACGGTCATGTGGGAACGTGACGTGGACGTCCCTAGAGCTCTGCTGTGATGAAATCAGGACAATCTGGGACGGTTTGGATAAGGCGAATCTGCGACCTTCGCCGAGCAATAGCTTTTGCGAGCGTCGTGAAGTACGAAATCCTAAACTGGGTAGGGGTGATGTGGGTGTGCGGGCATTCAGCTCAGTGTCCCATTTGCGAAGGGCGAAAGAGTGTTTCATAGCCAGATAAAGTTCGCACTATCAGGTAACTATTTGGACATGCTGTTTTCTTCGCAGAGCTTCTCAAGGGGACTGATTTTTTGTGCAATTCCTCTGCCAAGCACTGGAACCTAGAAATCGAGTCAGCCTAATTTGTTAGTCCTTGTCAGCAATTTCTCATACTCGTCAGCAATCCCGCAAGACCAGTCAGCGATCTCTTGGGCGTCTTAGTATTTCCTTTTCCGCTGCCTCTTAGACATTGTCGCGAGGTTTGCGTTTACTAACTAGTGTTCGTTTTTAGGGCGTGCTCTGGTTGCCTCTCTAAACGCGTACTAAGTAGTCCATTCGACCTCGAGCTAGTGTTAGCGCATTGTTTCGCATACGCGGTTGTCGCAGTGCTTATTCGACGATGACAACGGAGGTCGCGGGTCGCAACATCGTAGTCGCAGTTGACGAGTCCGAGCAAAGCTTCTACGCCTTGCAGTGGTATGCCTGCTGCCTACCACTTTCGCCTTTTTAAAATTACTATTCATTTTCTATTTTGCTCTACGCCTTGAAACCGATTTCGCGAGCTGCGCGCTTTCTTATGCCACAAACGGGTTTTCTCCCCTAGCGCACGCCCATGTGCCGGAAACGTAGGTCGCTCACACCGGCTGCGGGCTTTTTCTCCCGCACATTGTTCCGCAGGGCGTTTGACCACATTATCCGAAAGGACGCCGATAAGACGATACTCGTCACAGTGGAGACGCCCATAACCAGTAGCGCAGGAGGTACATAACGCGTACCTTTTTTCTTATTCCGCATTATCCCGCAGTTCCTTGCGTTGCCATGGTTCTCACATTACTTTCACGCCGGGCGCTTTTCTCCCCTATTCTAGACGTCTTAGAAGTTATTGCGTGTTACTTCCACTTGGGGGTTATTTTCTCCTGTTTTTTACTCCGCCAGCATTCGCGATTCCCGAGGACAACGAGCTGAGCGTGGACGACGACAAAGAGCAGGAGACGAAGAGCGTCGCTGAGAGGGCCGAAGCCATCTGCAAGGAGAACCAGGTAGGCCTCCTTTTTTACAGGGTGGGCTGCTTGCAAAACGGGTGGTGCTGGCTGGGTTATAAACGGGGTGGGCTGGGTTAGTAACGGGCTGGGGGCGTTTTATTACGACGCAAGCTCATAATTAGAGCTGACGTGAAGACCACACCGGCATTGGAAACGACCACCCCAAGTTCTTCCAAACATCTTGACCTAATCTCCAGAGATTGGAAGGAAAGAAAGGAATCAGAACAAAAAACAAGCGTGTCTCGTGTGGGTGTCAGGCGACAAGTGTGACGATGAAGGTGTACCAGGGCGAGGCGAGAGAGGCGATCTGCCAGGCAGGCGTGTGAGGAGAAGTTTGAGGCGTTTCTTTTGAGAAGTGCTTTGAGAAGTGCTTTGAGACGTGTTTTGAGACGTCTGCGTGTGTTGTGTGGGAGGATGACAGGTGACGAGCGTGACCAAGGTGTATCAGGGCGAGGCGAGGGAGGCGATCTGCCAGGCGTGTGAGGAGAACGAGGCGAGCATGCTGGTCATTGGCAGCCATGGCCACGGGCCCGTCAAGAGAAGCTTCCTTGGCTCCGTCAGCGACTACTGCTCCAAATACGCTCGGTCAGTGGGAGCTGTAGGCTGTGCTTCAGTTGAAAGTTGCAATGTGCTTCCATTCCAACCCCCCCCTCCCCTGTGTGCTTCCGACTTTTGAGGCGTCTCAAAAGCTCCTTGGCTCTGTCAGCGACTACTGCTCCAAATACGCCCGGTCAGTGGGGCTTGTGCCGTGCTTCCCCTCCCCCCGTGTGTGCTTCCGCCCCTCGTGTGTCCTTCTGCTGCCTCTTGTGTGTGTGCCTTCCTTTCTGTGTGTGCTCTTCCGCCCCTGTCTGTCCCCTTCTGCCCCTTCTGCGTGCTTGGCCTGTATGTGTGCATCTGCCCCTTCTCTCCTCCTTGACAAGGTGTGTTGTGGCCGCCCTCTGCTCTTTTTGCTGAGCCATCACCCGCACTTCCTTCTTCTCCTCCCCATCCTCCCTCCCGCCCCTTTCCTTGCTTTCTTTCGCTCTCTTGCATTCCTTTTCTTCCAGTGTCCATTCACGACCCTCGTCCCACCACTCAGATCTCCTACTCAAGCCTTTCCCCCCATTAGGCATCCACATTCCCTTGATCACCTCCCCCTCTTATTCCACTTTCTACACCCCTCCTTCACTACCCATGTATGTCCCTCTACCTTACAGGTGTCCAGTAGTTGTAATTCGACCTATCAGCTAACCCACGATTTCAGACATGCCTTCATTGTGACTTGCTATAAGGACCATTGTCTTGGTAAATACCCTCAATTTCACTGTAGTTCCACCGTGGAACTTTCTTACTAGATAGCGCTACTGGGGTGTTCAGGGCAGTAATTTTATTGCAAAAAATCCAATGCAATTCACCAGAAAATTTAACGATACGGTCTTGGAATATATAACATTTCGAAGTGCAACGATGCCGCCTGCCTTGATCCTGTCTCCGAAAAGAAGCATTTTGCTCTTTGGACCATTTTGTTGCGCAACAACGAAGCACGCAATGTGTGGGTTTGTTCAGCTTGCCTCATGTACTAGCAGTTTCGGCGGAAGTTGCGGCAGGCGTAGCTAGGAATTTGCAATTAGGCTGAAGTTGCCACGATTTGAAACCAGCGAATTGCAAATCCGCCAGTAGGTTACTGCACTGTCAGAGGCTCCTAAAAAGTCCGCGCGGGAAACTCCTCTGATGTCACTGTTAGAGGTGCAACAATACAGACGCGACTTTTGAGAGCTAGTTTTTTTTTTTTTTTTTTTTTTTTTTTTTTTTTTTTTTTTTTAGCTGGTTTTGTCTCTTAGAAGAATGTTGTGGCTGGATTGCAGCGGAACAGTATATAGCGGAGCATCCGCTGGACAGCCAAGGACCAGCGGAATGGCATTGGCCCAATCCTTCCGCCACACACGGAGGTTCCATACCGCGTTTACGATTCCCGCGCGCTCGTTTTCCGCTGGTGGTTTCCTGGCGTCAGGGCAGAGTAAGGGTCCAGGAAAGTCTGCTCGAGCGCCTGTAGCACGCGCGGCAGTAGGCGCTGACGGCTTGTTTGACGGCCAGCGGTTTATGCTGACGCTGGAAGTGACGGAAGGCAAACAGGTAACAGTCACAGTAACGGTAACGATGCCCATTTGCACCTCTTCTCTGCCTATTTGCCATTTAAAGCCCGTTATGACATGACGTCATCATTGCCACCTCTCCCTTGCCACGTGGCAGGCCCAGGCCAAGGATGTCCTAGCTTCGGGCAGGTTCCGAGCCACAGTGCTTCCGGACCTGCCTGCGCCGGCCGGCCTCAGAGATTTCTTGCAGCTGCCCCTCTCTCTGCTTCCTCTCCCCTCCTCCTCCTCCTCCTCCTCCTCCTCCTCCTCTCCCCCTCCTACCTCCTCCGTTTCCCACCCTACTTCGTCCCTTCCCAATCCTCCTGTCTCTTCCCTCACTTTCAATGCAAGTTCTCTCGATAAATCAACTCAAAGTCAGAAGATACCCTTAACTGCCAGGGCTGGTAACCAGTCTGTTACAGGCAGCACAACGGGTAGCCAAGCCACTCTGGCAGCTCCAGACAGCTCTGTTGCGGCTCAGGCGGTTGCCCAGGTGCTGACGGTGGCGGCTCAGGTGAAAACAGCAGAGGCGGTGAGGCAGCAGATGGTGGAGAAGGCGGTTCAGGTGGCAGGGGGCAGGGAGGGCAGCTCTCCAGGTGCTCTTCTGCTGCTGTCAGGAGGTGCGTGTAACTGCCTTTAATGCTGCTGCTGCTGCTGCTGCTGCCACTGTCCCAACCCATACAATCCTTCCATTCCCCCCCAGCATGTCCGGATCCGATTGACTCCACAACCCACCACTCAGTGGCCCCCCACCCCCGGACTCATCCCAATCCCCACAGCCCACCCCATGCGCTCCTGGCCACTCGTGAGTCGACTCATGCCCACCAACTCGCTCCACATGCTGCGAGACGCCCACAGGCTGCGGGCGGCAGGGCGAATCCCACAATGTAAGTGCAGCATTGCATTTCGTCGCGTGCATTGTGAGTTTTGAGTGTAGTGCTGCATGCGCATGGTGTGGGTTTTTTGGGCGGTGGATATTGTCTTTTGCTGTGAGGGCAAGGGCGGCAGACTTTGACTTACATTGAGTGCAAAGGCGGCCGCTGTGAGTGCAAGGGAGGTGGGTATCGTATTGTCATACTCTGTGAGTGTGCGACTCTTTGAGTGTGAGGACGTTTTGAGTTAAGTCCGCCGAAACCCATTTTTGAGGAGCCTCAGAAAAGGCATGAGCTGATTTTTGCCCTGCGGTTCTCACTCAGACCGCCTCCCCCTCCCTCCCTCCCTCTCCTGCCCTCCCATGTTTTGAGTCGACTCAAAACTTGAGTTTGACATGGCGAAAATCCGTGAGCTGATTCTACCCAGATTTACATGGCACTGTGGTTCTCACCCAGACCGTCTCCCTCTCCTGCTGCCCTCCCATCCTTCCCAACCCGCACTCCTGTGCCCTTCCCCCTCCCAAGGCGTTCAGTTGTGGGCTGTAGAGAACCCCCTCGTTGCCTCAGTGGACCGACTGGAGCAAAAGGTAAGGCTGAGTGACAGAGTCCCACCACACACACACACACACACACACACACACACACACACACACACACACACACACACACACACACACACACACACACTACAGGTGGCCTTTTGAGTCAGCTAAGAAGTTATTAGTCACCTCAAGAGTCGACTCAAAAGTTGTGGGCTGTAGAGAACCCCCTCGTTGCCGCGGTGGACCGGCTGGAGCAGTAAGTACGAGCGAATTTTTTTTCTCCTTCTTTTCTTTTGTTTTCTTTTCCTTGTTGGTGGATAATATCCATCAATAAATGCAAGTACTTCTGCAGTCGTAACTGTCTTCTTAGAGAGAGAAAGTGCCTTTTCAAAGGTACAAGTGAGCGAGTCTCACCGCACACTACAGCACGCACACGCACGCGTGTGTGTGTGTGTGTGCGTGCGTGCGTGTGCGTGTGTGTGCCTTTCCAAAGGTACAAGTGAGCGAGTCTCACCGCACACTACAGCACATGTCCATCATGGCACACACACGCACGCGCGCACGCACACACTCATATACCCTCTCATTTCCTTGCCCACTCATTTCCGCTCTTCCTCCCCCCACCCCTTGTCCCATCCCATCCACCACACACACATGCATCAGCTGGAGGCGGGAGCAGAGGCCATCTTACTGCAGCCCCCCGTGGTGCCGGGTATAATGGAGTGACTTTTGAGAATTCTCAAAAGTCGCGCCCCGGTGGTGCCGGATACTTTCCTTTGAGTTCTTTGAGAATTCTCAAAAAACAGGTGCCGGATACTTTCCTTTGAGTTCCTTCCCCCTCTTCATTCACTCCCCCGTCCCCCCAACCTTCCTCTCCACACACACCCATTTTTCCAAGCAGCTGGAGGCGGGAGCAGAGGCCATCATACTGCAGCCCCCGGTGGTGCCGGGTACCTTTCAGCAATGGTGGTGTGCGGCTGAACAGAGAGGGTGAGTGAGACTGAGAGGGCGACGAGGCGTGAGTGAGGGGAAAGGGAGAGGCGAGAGGGGGGGGCAGGGAGGGGAAGGCAAAGGGATACGGCAGGAGATCTTGGGGAATATGGGGGAGAAGAAAGGGTGGGAGTTGTCGGCACCCTCTCTTTCTGATTGGAATTTGTCAACGGTGACTCAATCTCTCCTAGCAGCTACCCACCCCTTCTCTGAGCCCTCAAACCCGTGCGTGACATTCAGCTAAACTCGTGATATCTTCCTTTCCCACACTGCCCCTCTCCTCTCCTCTCCTCACCACACCTCCACCATCCTCGCCTCTTGGTTTTCGGCACATTCCAGGTAACATTCAGCAAGCAGCAGCCTCGCTAAACCCTTCCTGGAGGGTTGGTTCTTGGTTGTCTTCTTGGAAGTTGCTCTGTCAAACCCCCATAAACCCTTCCTTTCCTCCCAGCCTCACAACAGCAGTGCCAATGATTATCGGCATGCCTCTCATCACCTCGCCGCGCAACCTCGCCTTCTGGATGCTTCTCACCGACGCCAAGGGGGGTGAAGCTGATGCTGAGATCGCCAGGTTCCGGCAGGCAGAGGAGCAGGTGGCAGGGACGGGCGAGGTGGATGTGGATCAATTCAGGGCGTTTCGCCAGCACTGGACGGAGCAGTACCTCACGCTTGCCACGCAGCTCAAAGGTGGGGAGCCAAGCAGGTCAGAGGTTCCGCCAGGCATAGGAGCAGGTGGCGGGGGCGGGCGAGGTGGACGTGGTGGATGTGGAGCGATTCAGATCGTTCCGCCAGCACTGGACGGAGCAGTACCTCAGACTTGCCACGCAACTGAAAGGTGGGGCTTCGGTATCAGACAAGGGGGCGTGCACACAGAGAGTGCCATGTTGGTATGAGCTTCTTTTAGGGATGACGAGGGGCGGAGAGCTCAACCCCCATGTCTCCACGTTTCCACGTTGCGAGAGTGCACGAGAAAGCACGAGAAAGTCATGCCTTTGTTCCCCCGTTTTCCCCACTCTCCTGCCCCTCTGTTCCCTTCTCGAGGTGCTTGCAGGGGCATCAGGAGTGTATGTCATGCCCATCAACCCGCGTGGATGGAACGACCTGCGTAGTTTGATGTTCACTTCGCGTTCTCACTCCCCCGCTCCCTCTGTTCCCCTAATGTATCGCTTGCAGGGGCTTCAGGGGTGCATTTCATGCCTATCAACCCCCGCGGCTGGAAGGACCTGCGTAGATTAATCTCCACATCACCTGTGTTCTCTAGTCTCTGACGATCTCTGGCAGTTGACGATCAGTGTATCGCGTTGTGGTGCCTTCTTGCCTTCCCCGTCCTCCCCTTCCTGAACTCTCTAGATGTGCCAAGCAAACAGCAGTCACCCATTTACAAAAAGGACACGCTTGACGACAAAAGGAAAAAGTGCACCAAAATAGTGTGGTGGAGGTGAGGGGTATCGATCCCCTTACCTATCGCATGCGAAGCGATCGCTCTACCATGTGAGCTACACCCCCGTATCCATTGTTGTTTATTAATTTATTTAACTGTATTTTAAAACGTTCAAGCCATTCTCTCGTGTTACAAGCCCACGACTCCCCCTCCGAGGTCCTTCGGATCAGCTTGTCCAGATTCTCTAGTAGGCTGGCGTCAAATTAGTGCGACGCGATGGTGAAAGCGTACTTGCGCTACGAGCAGGAAGCGGTATTCGGTCTCGTAGTATCCCCTTCCTGCGGCAGCATCTGTTTCGACCAATCAGGTCGTTCCATTCTAACCGGCGCGCTCGAACGTTTGCTCGTATGGGACGTGCGAAAGGGCACGCTGCTACAGCAGCTCTCGCCGCAGCCGGCCGGCGCCGGCTACAGCCAAGGGGGCGGCGCGGGTGCGGCCGGCAGCGCAGCCGGCAGCGTGCATGATGCCGTCCCCGCTGTAGCGGACGTGACGGCGATTTGCCCGTCGCCGGCCGACGCGACGCAGGTGGCGGCGGGGTACACGGACGGTACGGTGCGCGTGTGGAACATGGTGGACGGCACGTGTAGGACAAGCCTTGCCGGCCACAGGTCGGCTGTAGCAGTGGTGCGGTACAACGCGGCCGGCGCGCTGCTGGCGTCGGGCGGCAGAGACGCGGACATCGTGGTGTGGGACGTGGCGGGTGAAGTGGGGCTCGTGCGACTGAGGGGCCACAGAGACCAGGTAGGGTTCTGGAATTCCGGGGTTTTAACGGGGTTTGGGAGAATGTATGCGGGTGTGGAAAGATGGTTTTTTTCGCTCATGATCGGACGGCAGAGACGCGTATATCGTTGTGTGGGACGTGGCGGGCGAAGTGGGGCTCGTGCGACTGAGGGGCCACAGAGACCAGGCAAGATCCAGGGTTCAGGGTTTTGGAGGGTTTGAATGTAGTTTCTCCAGTTTGGGAGGATGTAGGCTATGAGGCGCCTCGAAAACCCTTCTACTGAAGGAACGCAGAGGAGAGGCCAGTCAAAGTGTCGCGCTTGGGGGTAATGATGAAGAGAGGATGTAGGTGTGGTAGACAGATGGATCCGCGCATGCTCTACCATCAATCCCCCGTTTTCCTCCCCCATTCACCCCGCTCCCTCCCCCATTCACCCCGCTCCCTCCCCCGATCCCCCGCCATGCAAGTTCTCCAGGATACAGGCCTCACCTTCCTGGTTCCCGTGTGCAGCTCCAGTCGCTGCTGGTAATCTGCAGCAGGGACGCCCAGATCAAGGTGTGGGATCTCGCCCTGCACCACTGCATCCAAACCCTTCCCCTCCCGTGCTCCCTCCATTCCACCCTCCGCTTCTTCAACTCCCCAGGTCACAGACCTAACCTTCCTGGAGGGTACAATGGTGCAGCACCAGTCCCTATTGGTCAGCTGTAGCAGGGACGCGCAGATCAAGGTGTGGGACCTCGCCCTGCACCACTGCATCCAAACCATTGCCGAGCCTCGCGGCGAGCTCTGGACGCTCGCCGTCCACCCGAGCCTGCCCAGGCTCGTCGCTGCCGGCACCGAACCTGAGGTTCTGGTTTTCCAAATCAGGGCGGAGAGGGGGTTGTTGGGGGAGGGGGAGGGGGAGGGGGAGGGGGAAGGGGAACCTGGGGAAGGTGTGAAGGTGGAGGGGGAGGCGAACGGGGGAGGGGTCGCCGGGGGAGGAGGAACAGGAGCAGCAAAAGGAAGTGGGGGAGGAGGCGGGGTGGCAGGGCGGTGGGACGTGCTTATACCGCACGGCAGTATAAGGAGAGTCGTGGGGGTGGGGCAGGGCGCAGAGCGGGCTTTAAGCGTGCGGTTTGACGGCCCAGGGAAAGTCCTAGCCTGCCAGAGTGCTGGCAAGGCTGTTGAGTTGTTTAGGGTGAGGAGCCCTGGTGAGGCGGCTAGGCAGGCTAAGAGGCGGAGGCGGAGACAGGTGGAGAAGGGGAAAGGGAAGGGGGATGAGGGGGAGCGAGAGGGTGAGGAGGCAGGGGAGGGAATGGTGGAGGGGGGAGGAGAAGGGGAGGAGGGAGGGCAGGGGGGGGGGGGAGCGGAAGGGGGAGGGAGGGGCGGGGGTGACTGTGGAGGGGGCAGACGAGTTTGCTTCGATGTTCACCATTCGTTTGAAGCACCGAGTGCGCGCCATTGCGTTTGCGCCCAAGGCAGCAGGGGCTGGGGGGAGGGGAGCGGGGAGAGGAGGAGCAGCAGAGCCGTCACTGGCGCTGGCACTACACAATAACAGCGTGGAGGTGAGACGAGGGAGAAAAAGGGGGGGTCCTTATGGGGTTTGTTTTGAGGTGGTGCAGAAGAGGGGAGCAGCAGAGCCGTCACTGGCGCTGGCCCTGCACAACAACAGCGTGGAGGTGAGACAGGGGGTCGTTATGGGGTTGTCCTGAGCCGACACTGGCGCTAGCACTAGCACCTCCCAAAGCATTCTCCCTCCCTCCCTCCCTCCCTCCCTCCCTCCCTCCCTCCCTCCCTCCCTCCCTCCCTCCCTCCCTCCCTCCCTCCCCCCCTCCCTCCCTCCCTCCCTCCCCCCCCTCCCTCCCCCCCTCCCTCCCCCCCCTCCCTCCCCCCCTCCCTCCCTCCCTCCTCCTCCCCATCCTCTAAATCCACGCCATTCACTCAGTCAGCAGCATGCGGGGCGACTGTTGAGTCAACTCGAATGCCGCTTTCCCTCCATTCTCCCGTGTCCTTCATCCCTCCTCCCACTTTCCTCCCTTCTTTTTTCCAGATCCACACGATTCATGCGGACAGCAGCACCCGGGCGGCAGCGCTGCAGTCTGCCGGCCACCGATCGGACGTCCGCTCGCTGGCGCTCTCCTCAGATGGCTCGCTTCTTTTGTCCGTTTCCAAAGGCTCTGCCAAGGTGGGCGGCAATGTGCTGATATCACAGTAATGAAACACCTCTTACCCTCTTACATCTCGCTTCCCCTCTTACGGCCCACTTTTCCTCTCAATCCCCGCGCCCCCATGCTCCTCCCACGCTCCTCTCTCACCTCTCTCACCTCTCTCACCTCTCTCACTCCTCTTCCTCCCTCCCCACGTGGCAGGTGTGGAACCCTGTGACTGGAGCCTGCCTCTCTCACCTCTCTCACTCCTCTTCCTCCCTCCCCACGTGGCAGGTGTGGAACCCTGTGACTGGAGCCTGCCTCTCTCACCTCTCTCACTCCTCTTCCTCCCTCCCCACGTGGCAGGTGTGGAACCCTGTGACTGGAGCCTGCCTCTCCTCCTTTGACTCGGGCTACGGCCTTTGCTGCCTCTTCGCCCCTGGTGATAGATACGTGAGTGAGACGAGGGGAGGGGAGGGGGAACAGGTGGATATGTGAGATGGGGAGGAAGGAAGGAGGAAGTTGAGGGTGAGGGCTGGGCGTGAGGGAGGAAGGAGTGTGCAATGGGGTTCTGCGGAGGGGTCGGTTTGTGGTAGGGGAGGGTTGGATGTGGGGAGGGTTGGATGTGGGGAGGGTTGGATGTGGCAAAGGGTTGGGTAGGGTGTTTGAACTGTTTTGTTGATTGCCTTGTATCCCCAACTCAGATTCGCCCTCTCTGCCCCTGGCTCTCTGCCCCTGGCTCTCTGCCCCTGGCTCTCTGCCCCTGGCTCTCTCAGGCACTCAACACTCTGACTTGAGCGCACCACTCACTGGTGCCGGCAGCACACACATACAGAGATCATTTTTGAGGTGCCTGACTGAAAAATGGACTCTCTGGTGCAGGCGCACACAGCGGCCACGTGGGCCATGACACTGTATCCCCCAGCCACCACTTGACACTCAGTGGCCGGTGCTGAGCGCACTGCTCTCATCCACTGTATCCCCCAGCCACCACTTGACACTCAGTGGCCGGTGCTGAGCGCACTGCTCTCATCCACTGTATCCCCCAGCCACCACTTGACACTCAGTGGCCGGTGCTGAGCGCACTGCTCTCATCCACTGTATCCCCCAGCCACCACTTGACACTCAGTGGCCGGTGCTGAGCGCACTGCTCTCATCCACTGTATCCCCCAGCCACCACTTGACACTCAGTGGCCGGTGCTGAGCGCACTGCTCTCATCCACTGTATCCCCCAGCCACCACTTGACACTCAGTGGCCGGTGCTGAGCGCACTGCTCTCATCCACTGTATCCCCCAGCCACCACTTGACACTCAGTGGCCGGTGCTGAGCGCACTGCTCTCATCCACTGTATCCCCCAGCCACCACTTGACACTCAGTGGCCGGTGCTGAGCGCACTGCTCTCATCCACTGTATCCCCCAGCCACCACTTGACACTCAGTGGCCGGTGCTGAGCGCACTGCTCTCATCCACTGTATCCCCCAGCCGCCACTTGACACTCAGTGGCCGGTGCTGAGCGCACTGCTCTCATCCACTGTATCCCCCAGCCACCACTTGACTCTCAGTGGCCGGTGCTGAGCGCACTGCTCTCATCCACTGTATCCCCCAGCCACCACTTGACACTCAGTGGCCGGTGCTGAGCGCACTGCTCTCATCCACTGTATCCCCCAGCCGCCACTTGACACTCAGTGGCCGGTGCTGAGCGCACTGCTCTCATCCACTGTATCCCCCAGCCACCACTTGACTCTCAGTGGCCGGTGCTGAGCGCACTGCTCTCATCCACTGTATCCCCCAGCCACCACTTGACTCTCACGCTCCTCCCACTCCTCCCTGCACTCAGGCCATCGCAGGCACACAAGCAGGCAGGCGACCTGGAGGTGTTTTCAGTGGCCGGTGCAGAGCGCACGGCTCTCATCCAAGCAGCCCACGACAAGGCAATGTGGGCCGTGGCTCTTCCCCACCACCCCAACCCCAACCCCAACCCCAACCCTAACCCTGCTCCACCTTCCATGACTCACCACTCTCCTGTCCTGTTCCTCTCACTGCTCCCTGCACGCAACGCAGGCCATCGCAGGCACACAAGCAGGCGACCTGGAAGTCTTCTCAGTGGCCAGTGCAGAGCGCACGGCTCTGATTCACGCAGCACACGACAAGGCAGTGTGGGCCATGGCTGCCCTGCCTGATAACACGGGTTTTGCCACTGCCTCTGCTGACGGCTGTGTGAAGGTGAGTGTGTGTGGTGGTGGTATGTTTGAATCTGTGATGGCTGTAGTATGCACATACAATGACCTGTGCCCTCTCTTTCTTCAATCAAGGCAGTGTGGGCCATGGCTGCCCTGCCTGATAACACGGGTTTTGCCACTGCCTCTGCTGATGGCTGTGTCAAGGTGAGTGTGTGAGTGTGTGGGCGTGTGTGAGTGTGTGAGTGTCAAGTGCGTGAGCGCGTGTGCAAAGGTGAGGGTGCGCGTGTGCATGTGCTGTGCTCTGCGCCCCGTATCATCAATCAATCAAGGCCGTGTGGGCCGTGGCTGCCCTGCCTGATAACACTGGTTTCGCCACTGCCTCTGCTGACGGCTGTGTGAAGGTGAGTGTGTGAGTGTGTGGGCGTGTGTGAGTGTGTGTGGGTGTATTTGTGCGTGTTCGTGGGAGTGTTTCTTTTTCGCTTTTCCCTTCCTCTTCCCCCCACCTCCCGCTCTTCCCCTCCCCTCCCACCGCTTCCCTTACCCCCCTGTGCAATCCCCTTCATCTTAACCTGCCCCCCATTCCCCGCCTTCAGTTTTGGGAGTATCAGATGCAGCTCAAGGGATCCGATGCGGACAAGGTGAGTGAAACAAGGTGCAATATCGGACTGATCTCTGTTCTTTAAAATCATGTTAAAAAAAAAAAAAAAAAGAGCTTGCAATGTCAAGCCTCGTCTTCCTGATCTCTGAAGGTTTTTTGTGCCCAGTGCTATTTCTATTCTAATAAACTCTCAAAATCGTACTTACTTCTTTGCCAGGATGCACTGGCGGCAGGGAGGGGTGAGAAGCACTTAACAGTGGTGAACACTCGCACGCTCAAGATGTCTGACGATGTGCTAAGTGTGGCGTTTAGCCCCGACGGCCGATACATTGCACTCTCGCTCCTCGACTCCACCATCAAGGTATGCAGAAAACTGCTAACCGCTGTGCGTGCGCGCACATTTGAGAACTTCCAAAAGTGGTGAGGAGAGGATTTACTCACCATACGGGATGGCCGATGCGCTGCAATCTCACTCTTTGACTCCACTATCATCTTACGCCCGCTGATACCTGCTATTTGATCATCTCATGAAAAGTCGATAATCAGATAGCAAGTGTACCAGCGGTTGAACTTCTTAGCAATTTTTGCTGTCGCCTCCCCTCTGCCTCTCTCTGTCCCCCTCACATCCCTCCACCGCAGGTGTTCTTTGTCGACTCGCTGCGCTTCTTCCTCTCGCTGTACGGCCACAAGCTGCCAGCCATCTGCCTCGCCATCTCCTTTCTCTCCCACCATCTTCTCCCTTGTTCTCCCCCTCAATGCACCCCATCTCCCTCCACCGCAGGTGTTCTTTGTCGACTCGCTGCGTTTCTTCCTCTCGCTGTACGGCCACAAGCTGCCCGCCATCTGCCTCGACATCTCCTCCGACTCCCAGCTCGCAGTGTCGGGCTCGGCAGACAAGAGTGTCAAGATCTGGGGGCTCGACTTTGGGGACTGCCATCGGTCTCTGTTTGCACACCAGGACAGGTGGGTGCGTTGCTTGTCGCGGCAGGGTGTGTGGGTCAGTAAGGCGGGGTAGGAGAGGATGGTGGGTAGGCTTTAACTAGGGAGGTAGCGGACTCGCAGCTTGCAGTGTCAGGCTCAGCGGACAAGAGCGTCAAGATCCGGGGGCTCGACTTTGGAGATTGCCACTTGTCCCTCTTCGCTCACCAGGACAGGTGGGTGGACACTTTTCTTGCAGCAGGAGGGCAGAGCGTTTGGGAGAAGCATGCCATAGCAGGTGGGGTACTCACAGCTCGCAGTGTCGGGCTCAGCGGACAAGAGCGTCAAGATCTGGGGGCTCGACTTTGGGGACTGCCACCGCTCTCTGTTCGCCCACCAAGACAGGTGAGTGCTCTTTCTAGCAGCAGAGGTTGTGCGTGAAGCAGGTGCAGTGATCCAGGCAGGCAGGTCATTGCAGGCAGGCAGGTCATGGCAGTGTCGGGCTCAGCAGACAAGAGCGTCAAGATCCGGGGGCTCGACTTTGGAGACTGCTGCCCGCCCGCCCGCACACACACAATGCTTCGTCTGATCTGATGCAGCAAAGCATGGTATTGGGACGCTGACAAGTTGCCTTTGACTCACTCAACCCCCCCATTCTCCCTTTATTTCCCCCCCCTTATCCTCCTCTCAATACAGTGTGATGGGCGTCAAGTTCGTCCCACGCACGCACTACTTCTCGTCATGTGGCAAGGGCAGATGAGGGCACTATTGGGATGCGGACAAGCTGGCTTTGACTCATTCAACCCCCTGCTCTCCCCTCACTTTCCATCCCACCCTTCTTATCACCCTCTCTCTCAATGCAGTGTGATGAGTGTCAAGTTCGTGCCCCGCACGCACTACTTCTTCTCGTGTGGCAAGGACCGAAGGGTGCGGTACTGGGATGCTGACAAGTTCCAGCTGCTGCTCACACTGGAGGGGCACCATGCTGAGGTGAGCTGGGCTTGACTGCGTGTGCTTTGACCCGGGCAAATATACTTCCCTTTTCACACCTGTCAGCACTGACGACGTGCGCTGCTGGGATGCAGACAAGTTCCAGCTGCTGCTCACGCTAGAGGGGCACCACGCTGAGGTGAGCGATGTTGTAGCTGTGGACAGAGCCATGTGAGGTGGCCTGACTCCTTTGACTTCTTTGACTTGACACATAAGGGTGCGGTACTGGGATGAGGACAAGTTCCAGCTGCTGCTCACACTGGAGGGGCACCACGCAGAGGTGAGCTGTGCCACATGCTGCCCGCCATCCTACCCGTCATGCTGCCCTTCATGCACCCGAGGTTTCCCAACTTCCCTTCCCCACCTTCTCCGCTCCTACCCTCCTCCGCACTTCCCTTCTCCCCTCCTACCCTCCTCCGCACTTCCCTTCTCCCGCTCCTACCCTCCTCCGCACTTCCCTTCTCCCCTCCTACCCTCCTCCGCACTTCCCTTCTCCCCTCCTACCCTCCTCCGCACTTCCCTTCTCCCCTCCTACCCTCCTCCGCACTTCCCTTCTCCCCTCCTACCCTCCTCGTGTCCGGCTCGCACGATCGCTCCATCCGCCGGTGCCGGCATATGAGCCCTTGTTATTTTCCACAGCTTTCAAACCTCTTTCCCCCCCCCCCCCCCCCCCTCTAACACGCACGCGTGTGCTGCTGAACGCTCCTCTCCCTGCCACCCAGGTCTGGTCACTAGCTATCAGCCCCCTCGGTGACTTCCTTGTCTCCGCCTCGCACGATCGCTCCATCCGCCGCTGGCAGCGCACCGACGAGCCCTTCTTCCTCGAGGTGGGGGAGTGGAAGGCGGTGTTGAGGGGTGGAAAGTGGTGAATGAACGAGCTGGTAAGGTATCTGCTATTACTGCATGGCGGCGCATCGACGAGCCTTTCTTCCTCGAGGTTAGTTCTGATTGATTCGCAGGCCAGATTCTTCTTATCTGCAGCTCACCCAGCCTTTTGAGGCGCCTCAAAAGTCGTCTCTCTACCCGCAATTTTTGAGGCGCCTCAAAAGTCGTCTCTCCACCCGCAATTTTTTAGGCGCCTCAAAAGTTCTAATCTGCAGCTCGCCCAGCCTACATGGCGCTCCATCCGCCGCTGGCTGGCAGCGTACTGACGAGCCTTTCTTCCGCGAGATGGGTAATGTAGGAAGGGGAGGAAAGTCTCTGCCGTGATATCATATGTATTTGTATATATCTTACATATATAAGTAGCAACGAAATGGAGGAGGGGGGGTATTGCGAGCATGGCAGGTTAACCAGGGCAGCGCATGAAATTGTATCTGTTGCTTTTTTGTTTTTCCCTGTCCCGGCTCCAAACTTCCTTGTCGCTCATCAGGAGGAGCGGGAGAAGCAGCTCGAAGCCACGTTCGAAGCAACCTTACTCATCCCCTTCCTCCCACCTCCGCCCACTCTCCCCCCCCATACACACACCTCCCTCCTTCCTCCTACCATCCCTCCTCTTTCTCAGGAGGAGCGCGAGAAGCAGCTCGAAGCCATGTTTGAAGCCCGAGCAGTGGCGCTACCAACCGACGCACGCCGCCCGGACGGGGGCGACGACGAGGAGGGCGGCGAAGGCGGGGAGGCGACGGGGCCGGGCGGCGCGGCGGGGGAGCTGGGCGGCGTGGGAGGGGCGGCAAGGGGCACGCAGGAGACGGTTTGGGCGGCAGACTCGATCATTGAGGCGGTTGAGCTGGCATCCATGGAAGAGGCTCGCATGGTTCCCTTCATCAAGGTGAGACTTAAGGTGGAGTTTTTCTGGTCTAGTGAAGTATCAAGCATGAGAAACGGATGGATGAGAGAATCTATTTGTGTCCCAGGCCCAGCATGCAGCTGGCGTCATTGGAGGAGGCTCGGATGGTCTAGCTTCGCCCCATCTCTCCAGCCACTCCCTCCATCTCTTTCTCGACTCTTTTCCCATATCGCTCTCGACCTCCCCCCCATACCTTCCCATGTCTCCCAATCGCTGCAGGACCCCAGCGACCCCACCTCGCTGCTGCCCTCCTTCCAGCCCAACGTGCTGCTCCTAGGCCATGCGCCAGCGGCCTTTGTGCTGCGAGCTCTCGCCAGAGTCAAGCCGTCGGAGCTCGAGCAAGCGCTGCTGGTGCTGCCCTTCACAGTGGCGCTGCGGATTCTCCACTTCGCCCCCCACTGGCTGCACCGCCCGCTGCCGCAGCTGGAGTTTGCCGCCCGGGCGCTCGTGTCCCTCGTGCGCATCCACCACTCGCAGCTCGTCGCCACGCCCACCGCCCGGCCTCTATTGGCTGCTGTCCACACTCTCTTACGTGCTTCACTCAAGGTATGGTGTTCGAAGGGGGAGAGGGGGTAGCGGGGTGGGTGGGATGGGGGGTTTTGCTGGTGTCCCTCGTGAGCATCCACCACTCGCAGCTCGTCGCTACCCCCACTGCACGCCCGCTATTGGCCGCCGTGCACACTCTTTTACGGGCGTCTCTCAAGGTACGGTGTGGTATTGGGGGAGGAAGGGGAAGGGGGGAGAGGAGGGAGAAAAGAGGGGAAAGAGGAATACTCGTCCCTCTCGTGCGCATCCACCACTCACAGCTCGTCGCTACCCCCACTGCACGCCGGCTATTGGCCGCCGTGCACACACTCTTACGTGCTTCACTCAAGGTATGGTATTTGTAACGGGGTGGGTGGGTGGGGGGGTTTTGCTCGTGTCCCTCGTCCGCATCCACCACTTGCAGCTCGTTGCCACGTCCACTGCCCGCCCGCTATTGGCTGCAGTGCACACACTGCTACGGGCATCACTCAGGGTGTGGTTTCTGAGTGGGAAGGGGTGCAGGGCTGCAGTGCACACACTGCATATTTGGTTCTGCATATGTCTGTATTTACTTATTTGCATATTTGCATGCGACCAGCTATCTCTCTCATGTGTTCTAGCTAACCACAATTGTTTTGCTAACTGGTGCATATTCGGGTGTTCTCTGGCCTGGCACCACATGCCGTGGTATGGTGTGTGTGGTTTGTGCGATGGCATGACATGGTGTGTGTCCTGTGCTATGGCATGGCAGGGCGCAGTGGCAACAGTGGGATGCAACTTGGCTGCTATCAGCCACATCAAGGTGAGCTGCACCTCTGTTCTTTCTGTGAAAAGTTGTCCTTCACTTGAAGAAAGTATTGTTAAATTTCCCACCTGGGTTTTTGTAAATTTTTGGTTTGCTAGTATTGTGCCGGGGAGCCCAGATCAGCTGACTTATCTGCATTTTCCCCCCATCGTCTCCCTGCCACCTCAGTCCCTTCTGGCATCCTCCCAGGCATCCATAGAGGGGGGGGATGGCACATGGATGGCTGAGAGGGTGAAATATATCCGAGAGCGACTGGCCAAGGGGCACGACACTACTGGTAGCTCATCCTCACCCCTCCACTCTCTCCTCCTGTCCCTTGTTACCCCAGTCCCTTCTGGCATCGTCCCAGGCGTCCATAGAGGGGGGAGACGGCACGGGCATGGCTGAAAAGGTGAAAGAGATTAGGGAGCGGCTGGCCAAGGGGCGCAACGCGGTGGTTGCAGAGAAGCTGCAGAGGAGCAAAGCAGAGAAGCGCAAGCGCAAGGTGGAGAAGCAAAAGGTGAAGAGTTGATGGGTGTGCATGGCACGTCGATAACTGAGAGGGTGAGGTGGGTCGGATGGGGATTGGCCAAGGGGTGCAGTGTGGTGATTGTGGAGAAGCTTCAGAGGAGCTAGGCGGAGAAGCAATAGGGGTTGAAGGTGCTGAAGTAAGGTGGCACGAATATATTTTATTTCTGAGCAGGGCCTCAGAAGTCAGCGAAAAAAGGCTGATTTAGGGTCTGGACGCTGATTTCCCAGACTTGTGGCTGATGTGTTGGCTGATAATTCAGTTTTTTTTTTGAAGTGTTGGCTGATTGTTCAGGTTTTTTTTTAATGTATTGGCTGATTTTCCAGCGTTTTTTTACAAGTGTTGGCTGATTTATAATGAGAGTGTAGGCTGAACTCTCACGCTAATACAGATTCGTGCCAGAGCCGTGAGTTTCGGCTGTCCAGGTACATCCACCTGTCAATCACGCAAAAGTCACCATGTACAGCGCCGACGCGGGGGAAAACGAATTTCCCCGACGCGTCGGTGCTTCGTTGTCACCGACAGAATGCTTTAATTGATGTGATTGGTTGTCACATCCCTTATGCGCCAATCACCCACCACCAGTGCAGCACAGCAACGCACCGCACGCACTCACAACAAGGACACCCACCTCACCCCATCTCACCCACCCCGAACCTGCATCCATGTGCGTGCCCTAAACATAGAACCAATCCAGTTCAGCCTGCGTTTTTTAGTGAGGCTCAGGGCCTCAGATATCAGGAAAAAAACCCTGAAATTCCTGATTTTGGCAGCCCTTTTTTTACCTACACTGAAAAATCAGCGTTGAGATTTTTGTGGGACTGATCTTTCAGCCTTTTTTGTTAGGCCACACTGAAATTTCAGACTTTCGTTTCCCAAGTACACTGATTCTACGGCGTTGTAACGAAACTAACACTGAAAGCAATTCTTACTTGTTCCGTGTGCATTTGCCCGCAAAACAGGGAATCTCATATTCCTGCGGTGCCAGCACTTCATTGGGCAGTAACGCTGTAGCATGAAGTGATAGCTAATCAGGATGTGGCAACCATGTTGTGCTGGAGGGCTGCGAGGGTTCCTGCACCAGCAAGCACTGGTGCTCCCATTCCCTCCAACCCAATCTCTTGTTTCTTTTCCTCCTGTTTCTCTCCCTCTCCCTCTCAGCCCGATTCCTCTCTTGCTTTCTCGTCTGCACTAATTCATGGCGCCATCAGCACCAGAAAGGGCGGGCTGTCGGGAATCGAACCCATCGCAAGCGCCGCCGAATCTCCTCTTGTCTCACCGAACACATCGCTCTCGTTCGACGCGATCCGCAGTGCATTCTGCTAGATGGTCGTAGACCACGTGGCAATTCCCGTCAGCGTCGCAGGCCCGCTACGACTCGACGACGCGTAGTTTTTCGTGCTAATGGCGGCAACCGAAGGCTGCCTCGTCGCCAGCACGAACCGCGGTTGAAAAGGCCATCTGCACCGCGTGCGGTGCGCAGATCGTCGTGCTGCGCGACGACATGATCCGCGCATGACCCGCGCGCCCGCCGTCCATTCCTCTGCTCCCTTTGCCCCGCACTCCGTCCACTCCATCTCTCCCCCAGTCGTCTCCCCCCCAACTGTGCCAATCTTCCCCCCTCTCTCCCTCCTGTTCTCTCTTTCCTTGCCTCACCCTGCCTGTCAATCCGGTTCCTCCTCCACACCCTGCCCCTGCAGCTTCAACGTGTATGTGTGTGCTGCGGCAGAGCACTGTCACGTACTGGTGTCCCAAGCTGAGGAGAGGAGAGAAGCCAAAGGCAGTGATGATAACACGGCTGCTACTACTGACTTAGTATTTGAAGTAGAGGTTTCTAGTAATTAACAACCTTTTATATTTTTGAACACTGATACATCAGCCTTTTTTCAAAGGGAACCCTGATATTTCAGGTTTTTTTTTTTAGAAACACTGTCAATCAGGGTTTATACACAAGGGTACCCTGATGGGTCGACGACCCTAAAAGTGAATCTGAGGCCCTGGTGAGGCTGATTAGTCAGCGTTTTTTTTTTGTGACTTGTCTGAAATTTCAGTTTTTATTTTTTAACCAACTCTGATTGATCAGCCCAGCATAGCCTGCTAAGGCTGACGTATCAGCCAAGCTAAAAACGAATCTGAGGCCCTGTTTCTGAGACAAGGAACGATTTACGGTAGCAGAATATGCTGCTGTTGAGTTGTCAGCATGATCTCAGCCAGAAGCCCATGAATATCTTGTATTGCAACAGGTGGGAGGAGTGAGGCTCAGTTAAGTGCACAGCTGGAACCTACCAGTACAGTAAGTATGGTAGTTTGTACAGTAGCACAGTACATGGAATTTACCAAACAAAAAGGCGTAGCACAAGAAACCGAAGTCTGGCACAACAGGATGCAACCTGTGAAAACAGCAGATAGCTGTTTATGCAGCAGCAGCCATCTTAGCTCATGGATTTGCTGCATTTACTTAAAGGAAAAAGAGCCGAGGTACAAAATACATGCTATATACAGTGGGATCGGAGTGTAGTGGGAGTGGCGAAATCGGAAGAGGTGGGATGGGAGTGGAGAAATGGGAGTGGTGGCAGCAGTCCCTTCACAGCCATAAGCAGGTCAAATCCCCCCCTCCAGAGCCAGATGGCAGCAGGTTGCGGAGAGCGCAGCTAACAAACAAATCCGTTCTCTCTAGGGAAGACGAGCCGCTAGCTGCCTGGCGCAGTGCATGATTGCCCTCACGTCTAGCTGCCTGGCGCAGTGCATGATTGCCCACACGTCTAGCTGCCCCAACAGGCTGTTGCACAGCAGCAGCACCTCGTTGAGCCCTTGACAGCACCGCACCTGCTGTAGAACAAAACCTGCTCCCTGCTGCTCACTGCAGGCGAGCAGCTAGCTGCCTAGCACAGTGCATCAGCTCCCACACATCCAGCTCCCCCGACAGGCTGTTGCAGAGCAGAAGCACCTCGTCCAGCACCTAGCAGCACAGCACCTGCTCCCTGCGGCTCCCATTGCCGTTGACCACACACCCTCTTACGGCAGGCGAGCTGCCAGTTGGCGAGCGCAGTGCATGAGCTCCCACACGTCTAGCTGCCCCGACAGGCTGTTGCAGAGCAGAAGCACCTCGTCCAGCCCCTCGCAGCACAGCACCTGCTCCCTGCGGCTCACCAGAATGGCGGCCACCACAAAGAGCAGGAAATCCGGCCGCGGCCGGCACTCCTGCCATGCCTTCTTCCTCCTACTGCCGCTCACCCTGCTTGTATCCCTGCTTGTATCCCTGCTCGTGTCTCTGCTTGTAACTTTGCCTGTAGATGTGTTACTTGCGCTGATGCTGCTGCTGGTGGCGGTGTCACCGGCAGCAGCAGTGGTGGTGATGGTGGTGTCAGAACAACTGGAGCTCTTATCAGCAGCCGCCCAGCCAAAAGCACCGCCCCATCCGTTGTCCAGCAGAGGGGCGCTCTCGTCGTCCCTCTCCCACCGCTCCCTTCCCCCCTCCCCTCCCTCCTCTCCCTTGCGCTCTCCCTCCTCACGCCCTTTGTCCTCTGCCTCCTCCGCTTCTACCTTCTCCCACTCGCAATCCTCCCCCGCCTCTGCCTCACTGCGTGTACCCCCTGACGAGTCCCCGCCTTTGGCTGCTTCGTTTCCACCGCCTTCAGTGCCAGCTTCAGCCGCAGTACCCACCGCAGCCGCATCGGCTACAGCAGCAGCAGCAGCAGCTGCAGCAACAGTGGGCGCAATCGCAGCAGCAGTAACAGGAGCGACAGCAGCAGCAGCAGCAGCACACGCAACGTTCGCAGCAGCAGCAGCGGCAGCAGCATCGGCCCACATGACTTCCCAAAGGCACATGGTGTGCTCAAACGACAGCTCTCGCCTCATCAGTACCACCACGCACCGGTACGCAAACATGCAGCTCTCCGCCCCCACCGCCTCTAAATGTGCGTACAGCGGCGGGTCTGCTGTGCGCAATAAAGCCGCTACCCGCCCCAGCTGGCGCCGGATGCCTCGTTCGTCCGTTCTGAAGTTGTGCCGAGCGCCGCCGCCCGCACTGCAGGTGCTAGAGATAGTGGTGGGATTGTTGCTTCCGCTGCCGTCGCCGGCCGTGCTGCTACCGCTGCGCCGGTTACTGTTGCTACTGCTGCCATCGCTGTCAGCAACGCCAGTGCAGTCACTGCTGCCCACACCTCCTCTCTGCATAAACGCCACGAAGCACCAAAATGCCTCCGAATCCTCCTCCAACAGAGCTACAAACGGGGATAGCAGATCGCTCATGCCTTGACAGTACCCCACCTCAGGATCATACACCGCATATGCCTCCAAAATCGCCACCAGCCGGGCGGCATGCAGCCTTTGGGGCGGCGATAAGTGTCCGTGTTCCGGCAGGCCGGCGGCTGCTGCCGCCTCCATTGCTTCTTCCGGCGGGAAAGCCTTTTGGGTGGAGTATGGAATCCATGCGGCGTTCATTCGCACCGCATCCAACCGCATTATACGTTGCCAGGTTACAAAATTCTCCAGAGATCCGCTGCCTCGCCCGCAGGTGCTGCCCCTGCCGATTCCTGCCTCTCCTCCTGTCTCTCCTGCTGCTCTTCCTCTGCCACTGCTGGTGCGCGGGCGGAAGCACTCCGGGATCTTGCAGTCTAGCGGGTGCTCTTGGCGTTGCTCACGTGAGGCATCATCACCATCACCATCATCACCATCACCATCACCATCATCATTATCATCATCCTTGTCATCTTCCTTTTCATCATCAGTCGTGTTGCCGCCACCTCCCCCACAGCCACCTCCAGAGGCTTCTCTGCCCTCTGAACCATCCGCCTCCTCCCCTGCGCCTGCTCCCGTGCTCGCGACTGCTTCTGCTTCTCCTTCTTCGCCTGAGAAGGCACCAGGGGCATCTGCAGCCTCAAGGGCAGAACCAGAACCACCAGCAGCATCAGCGTCAGCAGCAGCAGCAGCATGGGCAGCCTCCTCACGTGCGACATCCACGAAAGACTCAGTGGAGACGGACAGACTGGCGCACGCGGAATCCACGCACACCGCATCACTGAACTCGTCATCGCTCGCGTTACCAACACCGCTGTTTTCGCCACCATTGCTACCATTACCGTCCTCATTCCCACTCCCACTTCCATCACCATCGCCGCCATTATCCCCTCTGATGCTGGACCTGACCGCCTCCTGACTGCTGCCGCCTTCGTTGCTCCTTCCTCTCTCCGACTCCTCCCCCTCCTTTTCCTCTCTCTCCTCCCTCTCCCTTTCCTCCCTCTCCCTCTCCTCTCTTTCCTTCCTCTCTCTCTCTTCCCTCTCTCGCTCCTCCCTTTCCTCCCTCTCCTCCTCCTCCTTCATCCTCCTCGTCGCCTCCTCTTCCGCCTGCCGCGCAATCACCGCCACGCGCGCCGCAATCGCGCGGATCTCCTCGTACAGCACGCGCCTCTGCGCGCGCAGCTGCGCCCTCTCCGCCTCCGTGCTCTCCGCCTCGTACCTGAAGGACATAGCGGAAGGGTTTAGCGACAGCCCGGAGAGGAGCGCTACGTAAAAAAAAAAACACGCGAGGGGGCGAATACGTGAACGAGGAGAGAAGGGGAGGATGTGAATAAGTTCGGAGGAGGGTGAAGTAGTGTCAGGACTACTACGAGAGAGGGCGAAAGAGAAGAGGACAAGGAGAGAAATGCTTGCAAATGAGCTTACAGGCCAAGGAGGAACGGCCAGACCTCGGCTCTGATCTCTGCGTCGCATCCCTGCGTTCACGGCGCCAGGCACACCAAGTGATATGGGGGGAGAGAGAGGGGAGGGTAAGGAGTAGTGCAACAACAACATCCAGAAACGGAGACCCGTTACACTCAAACGAGGTCGCTTACCCCAAGCCGGACACGGCCGATAGCCGTCTCGCCGCCGCCCTTCAAGCGACCGGTGGCGTCGTCAAAGCAGTCCCTCCACTGCTGCACCGTCAGCGGCGCTGGCCTGATAGACTTGGGCTTGTCCTCCCATGGCAACATGAACTGACCCCTGCAGGATGACAACCAGACGGAGAGATGTGGACGTGAAAAACGTATGAAGAGTAGCTTGAAACACGCGGGCATGGAGTTGTAGCTTGGTTCCGCCACGAAAGGATTTGAGCAGGTCGGAAAACAGGAGTACTGAAGAGACGCTGAGATTCTACGCGATAAACGCGACAAGTACGAAACGTACTGCTCCCGGAGAACGATGATGCCTCCGACCGTCACCGCTGCAGCGACGCCGCCGATCGCGGCGACTCCGACGGCAACAGCTAAGCCCGCTGCGACCTTAAAAGGATCGACATCCGAGCCCATCGATGGCATGCTAACGTTGTTCAGGTTCCCCGGAATCCCGTCAATGAACCCCATGATTCCGCGGCTCATACTAAACTCGTCCCTAGATATCAGCGAGCTCGGTTGCACCATTCAGGGAGATGCGGATGCAGAACACATTAGGATCCGAGCAGTACGTGGATTCTAAAGCCTGAGAAGGTTGTGCGAGGTAAGAGTTAGCAGGAACAGCAGACAGAGAGGCAGGATATTTGTTCGAGTCGAGAGACCTGTGCAAGTCTGCACAAGTGGTTAGATTCTAGGCGTGAAGCATGCATCAGGTTTCAAGTATCGGATGATGCTCTTCGCTGCGGGGAGGTGGCGAGTGGGGAGCTTGAGACGTTTCTCATCGGTTTATGAACCTCAATACCGTGTAAAACAAATTTATAACCGCACTGGAACGCACGATGTGATGGTATGTTTGTAATGGCGGAGAACTTCCCTTCCAAGAATGGCTGTGCTGTTGGTGGCATGGAAAACTGGCGGCTGGGTGGGTGGTGAGCGGTGGGAGGAAGAGGAAGCTTATTTTCACGGACGGATGGCGCGAAACTGGGGTTGCGGGCGGATGATGAGATCCTCCAGAGACGGGTGTGCGGGCATTGCGAGGCTAGTGCTGGTTGGCTGGGTGGATTTCAGCGTCATTCTTGTTTGATCGGACGGTCATGACGGTGCTGCTCATTCAATGGGCGGTCACCAGGAGAGGGACCTGGTGGGTTTGCGCCCACCAGGGCTCGGATGGACTCCATACTGGCTTCTGACAGCATTCCTGTCATGCAGAAAAGTGGGGAACTCAACACTCGTTGACTCAATACCACGTCAGGTGGGTCATGGATGACGTCTACGTTCAGCAGACATGAATCATGCGGGTAAGAGCTTGTTCGTAGTTTTGATACCAATGTCCTTTTGGCGTTTTGACACGAGCATACATTGTTGGTTGGTGTCAATAAGTCGCTCAATATCAGCCTGTCAAAATCATCGGATATACCGCTCGCCAGGAGTCGCAGCTCACACAATCCAATCGAAATCATCGTATCAATAAATCTGGCGATTCGCTCTCACCCAATTATCCTGTCCGTAGACTGGTGGGAAATGTTATACCAGTCGTCATGCAGCACGTGGGTGCTACATAATTCACTGTGGTGACAAGCCTGACACTTTGGCATGTGCATAAATTCGCACTCTGACACAAATTCGTGTCCCACCAATGAGGTTTCGTCGTACATTACCAATGGCGCGACTCGAGATGACCCGGCTGCTACAGTGATTGACACGGCTAGAGTGGGCCGACTCGGGTTGACGTGCATAAACAGCTGATGTCGAAACTACGGACAGGATTTGAAACATAGCGCTGCAACCACTTCTGTTTGGCGAGCAGCCCTGGGCAGCTTGGGCAGGACACCCTTCGACAAAACAGTCGAGTACACAGACCAACGAGTTTCTAGCCACCAGGGAAACAATTGACACTCATCTCTGCTGAGTCGTTGCTCATTAGCACAATCATATGCATATGTTCATGGTTTCTGTTATGAGTTGTACTAAGAAGAGTGCGCGTGTAAGGAAATTCCATTTTCCTTACTTCGCGTCCCTGCCCAGCGCGTACGTCACTGTAGCACCTCAGTCAGCACCGTTACCACTCGCGACCATCGCATCATTCATCATCCCGCCTTTTTCGCACATCGCATCCCGACCTCACGGCTCGGCTGGTAACCCGCGCTCCGGGCCTACGCTTCGACACTTTCCCAACCTCAGTCCCAGGCTCAACGCGCGACAACCACAGTCCATTACCGTTACCACTATTGTTTCGCTATATAATCCTTCGCTCATGCCTTCGCTCATTGTACTTTTGCTTCGATAGTGCAATTCTCGTTCGTTCACCCAATTGCAGTCGTAACAGCGCGGAAGACTTCAAAAAAAGGATGAGAACTACAGAATGACGAGAAAGATAAAGAAGCAAGCATTTATAGGGTCGAAACCGTGGTAGGCGAGGACCTCGGGACGTGGATGGTTTGGGAGTGTCGCGATTGGTGCGGGGCGACTCGGAAGTGGTTCGGGCCGAAGTGTAGGCCGAACCCAAACTGACGCGAACAGTTCGGGCTGTCCTTGCTAGGAGTAGCCTCAACAGTAATGAATTCACATTCATTACAGTTTCAATGTATGTTACACATACCACCTAGCATGTTACCTCACTACATTATGTGCTGACTTTTGTTTAAGGAGGATAGGTTGGTAGACACTTTTGCGGCGAGGCCTTGACCATTAGCTACTTTCCACGTCGCCTCCAAGCCCACACATCCTGGCGCCCAGGGAGCCCGTTGAACCACACAGGGAGGAGGCAGCGTGGCTTCATGCGAGCTGAGTAAGCTTGCCGCGTCGTAACATTCCGTCATCGGGAATTCTGCGGGCCTGTCAGCGCCTGGTGGGCCGAATGGATTTCCTCTGCGGCTAGACACACGTGGCTCGTTATCACAGCCACAAACGCATCAATTTATTCCTATAGCGCCTCGACTGCAAAACTATTGCCTTGCGAATTCCACACTTCCTGGTGCTTTACTAAGCGGCGTGCTTGGTTACCGATTGGTTGACACCTCACGAAGATTAGGCTGCGGGGAAGTTCACAAGGTTTCGTACATTTCGCTGCGTTCCAAAGCGGTAACTCTCGATAGCCAAGTGTTGATCCGTCAAAACTCGCGTCACCAATAGGCAACTTGGCCGGGACTGGGACTGGAGTCGAGTCAAGAGTGTTGGGATTGGGGGTGGGGTGGGGGGAGTCTGGTGTGGAGCGATCAGTAATTCCTTGATCTCATCAAAACCTGCCGACAGCATCACTTGAAGCTCCCCTTCTGCTTTTCTCCTTAGCACTCACTCTCGTTACTCAGCTCCTTGTGAGCTGTGACAAGAGACGTTCAGTTACTTTCAGGGGCTTTACCTTGATATCTGTTGATTGCCGGTCTCCTCCTGTGCAACCATGTCGAACGCAGTCACTATCCGCACCGCGCCCGTTGAGGCTGCTCTGCTCGAGTCCGCCGTGGCTCGTCCTGCCGCCTCTTCCCAGCGGCGTGTGCGGTTAAATGGACTCAAGGCCTTCCGTGGAGGACATGTAAGAATGTGATGAACGAACACTTGCAGATGGTTGCAATTAGAAGTCCGTACCTCAAGAAGGCTCACCTCATGGGCTATTTGTCAGTGTAATGCAACAAGCCTATCTGCCTGTTTCTCAAGAACCCTCAAGTTGAATTCGAACACGATTATATAGCCCTAGGCCACAAGGGTTTGGGCCACGCCTAACACTGCATGATCACGTTACGTCAAATTGAATTATTATTCCTTGTTCATGCCTACTCTCGCTCTCTTTTCTTTCTCACCCATTATTACATCGGTCCGAACTAGCCGGACTCGAAAGGAAGGTCAAGGTACAGCAATTTCCGGGCGACATCATAATTCTGGACTTGCTACTCTTCTTTGGTATTCTTTCTGTCTCTGTTTCGAACAGCTGGGTCAAAGCTTCGCCGCTACTACTCAAAGCGCACCTATTGATCGGCTTCAATCCAAGCAGAGGATCCATGGCCACTCCGCAGTGCGCGCCGCCGTCGCCGTTGAGGCTCCTGGTATGTGAAACACATAACACGCTTCATTTTTATGGCATCCGCTTTCGCCAACCTTTACACAGTGTCGTGACTCTGTTTAGCTTTCGATAGTCAAAGCCCCAAGCACTGACACTTCATCATTCCCTCTGGTTTAGTTGCTCCTGTGGCAGACGACTCAGCTCTGGTAACCCGCTCAGACATTCGCAACATCGCCATCATCGCACACGTCGACCACGGCAAGACGACGCTCGTCGACGCCATGCTCAGACAAGCCAAGGTGCGTCCGGCGAAGCCTCATGGGACCTCTTACTCAACAAATGTAACCGTCTGGCTAAGCACATGGAGACCACAAGTGGTTGGAATTCACTAGGACTGTTGCTGACACCCCTCATTTCAACCCGTTCCTCCCTCGCTCCCTCGTACGCGTTATCAGGTGTTCCGCGACAACCAGCAGATGCAGGAGCGCATCATGGACAGCAACGACCTGGAGCGCGAGCGAGGCATCACGATTCTGAGCAAGAACACGGCGATCCGGTTCCGCGGCACCAAGATCAACATTATCGACACGCCCGGCCACTCCGACTTCGGCGGCGAGGTGGAGCGCGTGCTCAACATGGTCGACGGCGTGCTGCTGCTGGTGAGTCTTACACTGGTGTGGGTATTCGTTAGCAGGTATAGTTCGGCAGCTCATGAACCAATCAACCTCCATGTTTACCTCCCCGGCTCCCTACTATCCTCCCAGGTTGATTCAGTGGAAGGCCCCATGCCGCAGACGCGGTTCGTGCTGAAGAAGGCCCTGGAGCTGGGGCACCGCGTGGTGGTGGTGGTGAACAAGGTGGACCGCCCAGCGGCGCGCGTGCAGCACGTCATCAACGCCACCTTCGAGCTCTTCTGCGAGCTCGAAGCCACCGACGAGCAGTGCGACTTCACCACCGTGTACGCGAGCGGGATTCAGGGGAAGGCTGGTATGGAGCCGGATGCGCTTGCCGACGATCTCGAGCCGCTGTTCGAGTCGATTATTAAGTGCGTTCCGGGGCCGAAAGTGCAGCCGAAGGCGGCGCTGCAGATGCTGGTGACGAATTTGGATTACGACGAGCACAAGGGGAGGATTGCGATTGGGCGCGTGCACGCGGGGAAGATCGCGCGCGGGCAGGTGGCGAAGATTTGCACGCCCGATGGCGCCTGCCGCGTGGCGAAGGTCGTGGAGCTGTTCGTGTACGACAATTTCGCCCGCGTCCCGGTTGATGACGTGGAGGCGGGAGACATCTGCGCCTTGTCCGGTCTGCCGGACGTGCAGATCGGCGAGACGATCGCGGATCGCGACGGCGACGCGCTGCCGACGATCTCGGTGGAGGAACCGACGGTCAAGATGAGCTTCTCCGTGAACGTGTCGCCGTTCTCGGGGCGCGAGGGGAAGTTCGTGACGTCAAGGAATCTGAGGGATAGGCTGATGAGGGAGCTGGAGAGGAATCTGGCAATGAAGGTGGAGGACGGGGAGAGCGCGGATACGTTCCTGGTCAGCGGACGTGGTACCCTGCACATCACCATCCTCATTGAAAACATGTGAGTGTGTGTGCGTGTGTGCGTGTGTCCACGAGCGGGTGTGTGAGTGCTCTCGAAGTCGAAGGTCCCCTGTGGCTCCAGTGGGTTCAGATTGTTACTTGCTGGCTCTGCTCCCTCCCTAATCCCATCTTCTCAACCCTCCGCACCCCTGCTTCTCCCTTCCTTAGCCACTGCTTTGGCTCTTGAGCTGACTCTCAAGTATTGCGCATCCACCTGTGCCCCTCTTCCATCACTTGCTGTTGCTTTGCCCGAGCAGGCGGAGGGAGGGATACGAGTTCATGGTGGGGCCACCACGGGTCATTAACAAGATCGAGGACGGCAAGACGCTAGAGCCGTATGAGGTGAGGAGTCGTATGGGGTGGGTGGGGGTCTTAGGAGGCGATAGTTCAGTTTGTGAAGCGTCTCAACAACGGAGAGGGGTAGAAGAAACACATGAGGGGGCTTGCTTAGCTTTATGAGGCGAGGGTCTGTCTGGGAGGTGTCAAGCCAGGCGAGAGTAGTGGGATGTTAAAGCTCCTCAGAGGATGGAAGGGTGAGGCTCTGGAAAAAACAACTCTGGACATGGAAGGTCGACAGGCAGGAAGCATGGTTTCAGATCATTTGCTACAGTGTGCTTGCACGACGCAGTAGAATATGCCACATAATTTAGGTTGGCACTTACCACATCCTCCCTGTCCTCCACCAATGCCCCACCTCCCTTGCTCTGCTGCACTCGGTGTTGGATCTTTGCAGGAAGCGGTGGTGGAGGTGCCAGAGGAGACGAGTATGTGGCGTGGGGTCCGTGGTGGACATGCTGGGTACACACACGCCATCCCTGTTGCTCTGTGCTGCGCGCATTCCATCCTAAGTGCCCGCCTGCCTTCCTGTGCTCGTTTCTGAATGTGTGCAGGAAGCGGTGGTGGAGGTGCCAGAGGAATATGTGGGGGCTGTGGTGGACATGCTGGGTACACGCAAGGGGCAAATGCTCGACCTGCAGGCCTCCAGGTGAGACGCCAAGGCAGGGAGGCCGTTTTCAGGTCGGTCATGGTGGTTTGGTTCCTGGCTGAGCAAACTAAGGGCGGGTCCAAAGAGTACGTTCGAATGGGGTTGAAAAAGGTTAGGACTCTATCTAGAGCGGTCTAATCAGAACTCCAGATGGTTGGGTAGGGTTTTCCGCGAATACGTATTTTGTTGGACCCGCCCTAAATGCATTGGTTTGGAATCACCATTGCCGCACAGTTGTGAAGTTCAAAGCCAAAGATGTTCATTCTCAGCGTTTCCCTACCCCAGTCGGGCGCTCTCTATCCCTTGGCACTCCACCCCTCTCCACCACCCCCTCCAGTTCCGGCACCACATTCGTGAAGTACCGTGTGCCGACCCGCGGCCTGCATGGGGTATTTTTAAGGGGCATAAAACATTACTGCCCTCCAACCCCCTCCACCCCTCTCCACCTTTCTCCACCACCTCCAGTTCCGGCACCACAACCGTGAAGTACCGTGTGCCAACCCGCGGCCTGCTGGGGCTGCGCAACGCCATGCTGACCGCCACGCGAGGCACGGCCGTCATCAACACAATCTTTGACAGCTATGGACCGTGGGCGGGGGACATGAGCACTCGCGAGCAGGGCTCCCTGGTGAGTACTGGGAGAAGAAAGCACCCATATGTTGTGGTCTACATACAAGGAATCAGGTCTGGATTTCTCATGCCTTCTTGTGCTGTGTTTTGTTCTCTTGAATCCACCAACCCAACCCACCCCTCCTCCATACCCACATCCTTTCCGCACAGGTGTTGTTGACACGGCCCAACCACATCGTATACGCTCTTCAGCACAGCACTAACCCAGTCCTCGTGCACTTCCTTTCCTGCGCTGTGTTTTTCCTTTCCTCGCAGGTGTCGTTGGACACGGGTCCAACCACGTCATATGCGCTCTTCAGCTGTCAGGAGAGGGGGCAGCTGCTGCTGGGGCCACCCTCGTGCTGCTGGCTGCTGCTGCTACTATCCATGACTCAAACCACTCCCTCCCATCCTACTTCCCTTCCTCGCAGGTGTCGTTTGACACAGGCCCAACCACATCGTATGCGCTCTTCAGTTGCCAGGAGAGGGGGCAGCTGCTGCTGGGGCCGGGAGTGGAGGTGTACAAGGGGCAGATCATCGGCCTTCACCAGAGGCCCGGGGACCTGGACCTGAACGCGTGTAAGAGGAAAGCTGCCACCAACGTGCGATCCAACAAGGATGCCACAGGTGCGTGTGTGTGTGTGTGTGTGCTTGTGTGAGTGTAAGTGAGGGTATGGTTTTTGCCTTGACTCCAAGGGAGTGGAGGTGAAGAAGGGGATGATCATCGGGGTTCAACATAGGCCTGGCAACCTTGACCTGAATGGGTGCAAGAGGAAAGCTGCTACCAATGTGCGATCTAACAAGGATGCCACAGATGCGCGCGACCACCATGTGTGTGGTGTGGCTGTGTGTGCTTCCTTGGCCAATGTGGTGTATTGGAGCTTGCTTTTGGTTGGTTGCGTGTATCTTGGCTTGGGTGCTTGTTTTTAACTATCTTGTTTGTTGGGTCTGTTTTTCCTTGCAGTGGTGTTGGCGGCGCCCCTTGAGTTCAGCTTGGATGACTGTGTGGAGTACATTCAAGAGGATGAGCTCGTGGAGGTTACACCCCTTTCCGTCCGCATGCTCAAGAACCCCAGGATGGGCAAGAAGGGAAAGAAGTGACCTGTCCATCTGTAACTCTCAATTCATATTGTTTATCTAGTTCTTTTTAATATATTGCCCATTTTCAAAAGCAAGTGTAAAATGAATCGAACCTCTGTCTGTAGATAGCATCTAGACAAGCAGGTGAACTCATAATCGAGGATCAGGCACCATCTGAGGCGGGAAAGCAGTTCAATGGGATTGTCGTAAATAAGCACTTCACAGGCTAAAGGGCAATTACAAGGGAAATTATATTCCAGGTCCATACTTTCATATTTCTCTCGAATTTAGCCCCAGGTTTACTCAAAAAGCACCACTTTCTAGAATTTCGCTTACACGACGCCCAAAGTACGTTCAAAACTGGTCCTGCGGGGCGTAGTTTTCGACACGTGTCCAATTTCGCTTGTCGACGGGGCAAAAAATATTAAAACCCCTCGGGAACTAGGGCCATTTGCGGGAGGGATCAACCCTAAACACCAAGCGGGTCCCCGTGTTTAGGGTTGGTCCCTCCCGAACGTGTGTCCTGGTTCCCCTAGGGGTTTTATGCTTTTTGCCCCCGTCAGAAATTGCTAATACGAAATAGGACACGTGTCGAAAAGTTTGCCTCGCGGGACCAGTTTTGAACATAACCTGGGCCTCGCGTGAGCAAACTTCTATACTTTTTTAGTAAACTTAGGACTAAATTTGAGATATTTTTCAAACTATGGAGCTGGGATATACTCTCCCAAATTACAAATGCGGAACCTGGCAGTCAATAGCGAACCTGGCATGCTTGACCAAGTTCGTCCTGCTTGCATGTTAGTGATTTACGACGCGCACAGGGCACGTGGCGCTAACCAGTCAAGTGCGTCGCTGTCTCATCGTCAGCTGCAGTCTGGGAGGTAGTGGCGATAGCATCATAACCATGTGCGCCCCTTGATTCGAGATTTTCAAGGAAATTCTTTCCATGGCCTGAAGGCTGAATTCTTATGCCGAAGCCTGAGGTGAGAACTTCGAAGCACAGGCGAGCCATGACGCACCCCAAGCTTGCATCGCTTGCATCTGCTCTAAACTCAGGACACTGCGCTTGGATGCACTTCCTGGCCCTGTCGTTCTTGAGCTGCACTTTTATCTGTTTCTCTCGTCAGTGTTCCTGCCCGCTTGTTGCTTGCCTGCCGTCGAGCCAGAGAGATGAGAATCCCGCGTGCCGCTGTTGTACTGTCAGCAGTTTTTCTGATTCTTCAGAGTGAGCTACACGTAACGTTTTATAATTCCATCCTTCAATTCCTTTTTATCAGTGCTTTCAAGCATTGTCTAGCCTGATGCACAATCCTATCATCTATAATGGTACTACCACTTCTGTCCCTTGATATCTATTTTAATCTTCAGGTGTGGAGGCCAGGCTTGAACCGCCATGGACGTTGAGCCTGGAGCATGCGACATCAGAGCGCCTCGGAGGAGGCGAAATCGCGTCCTACTCGTTCGACGTTCTCAAGGAAGCAGCTGACGTGGCGGTGGAGAGGCTTGTGATTCGCCAGTGCGGATTGCTGCTGCCTCGGGTGTCTATTGGCTCTCCGTCCCTGCTATTCATTCAGCAAGGTATGCCGGTTTAGCTTGGGTTCTCGTGCACTTGCTCATATCGTTTACATGCATGTTCATGGCTTTCTTCTTTAGTCCCTTGTTAATCTATTTTCTTGTAGCCTGTTATCGATTATTCCTTGTATTATTATTATTGTCATCATCATTCTCTTTTTTTCCTGCTGAACAATTTCAGGGTCAGGTGTGGTGGAGCTGATAGATGACAACGGCCAGGCACCTGCTGACGTGTCACCAATCACGGTGAACAGTGGGGATGCCGTGGTGGTTCCCAAGGGATGGACGTACAGTGTCGGGAACTACCTCAACCAATCACCAGAACTCATCATCACAGCCGTCCGATTCAGCCATCACAAGCAGGTGATTGTTTTCACTGTGTCTTTGCCTTTCCGCACATATTACTGTATTTACTCCTACCTCCTCCACAACCCCCCCCTGTTCTTGAATTTTCATCAGTCCTGCCTTCCCTCCCTGTGCAGAAATCATACCTCGCTGGCATCAACCCCCACTCCGTGCTGTCTGGCTTCAGTTTGCACATCCTGGAGACGGCATTCAACCAGCAGCACGACGTGGTCAGGGCGCTGCTGCACCAGGCATCTGGAGGAGGGATCATCGTGTCCCGCTGTGTACCACCCTCGCCTCCTGAGCCTGCTGCACAGGAGGATGTTGCAGAGGAGGATGGGGATAAGTCTGAGGAGGATGGGTCAGTGGGGGATGGTTCAGAGGGTGGTGTGTCAGAGGGGGATATGTCAGGGGAGTTGGAGGAAGTAGGACTGGGGAGGTGTGTTGCTATGATGAGGAGGATGGGTTTTGCTGAGGGTGGAATGCAGTTTGTGTTAGAAGGCAAGAAGGATAAGGGGAAGGAGAAGGAGAAAAAAGAGAAGAAAAAGGAAAAGAAAAAGGGCAGGAAGGGGAAAAAAGAGAAGAAAGAGAATGGAAGGAAAGAGAAGAAAAAGAAGAAGAAGAAGACTGTTCTGGTGGATCACGTGGCAGCACGGCGGCCTGCAATCACCACGGAGGGTGGCAGCATGGTGCGCGTGTCGTACCGAGACTTCAAGGCACTCCGGGTCGCAGGCATTGAGGGAGAAATTGTGCTGCTCACGCTTTACCCGGTACGTTTAGTTTGAGATGGTTGAAGTTCTGATACTTGTTGCAAGGTTTGGGATGCGTTTTTCTAGTCTCAAACGCCCTCCACTTAATTTTCCACGTCCAGGCTGACCCCCATCCTCATCCCCATCCGCGCCCTTCACCTTGCTCTCTGCTGGATCATGCCCCTTTTCAGCATGCGGTGGTGGCGCCACACATCCATGGCAACGCAGCAGTGGTCTTCACGGTGCGCAAGGGTTCTGTTCTGCGTGTGAACTCAGCTGGTGATTCGTCCCCTATTCCCTGTCTCTTTTTTATCACCCCCCTCTAGCATGCGGTGGTGGCGCCACACATTCACGGCAACGCAGCGGTGGTCTTCACGGTGCTGCAGGGTTCAGGCCACTTTGAGTCGGTGCACCCCAACGGCACCACGGCCGCCAGCGATGCCGTGTAAGCAGGCCACGTGGGGGTGGTCAGCATGGGGTATGCCAACCCCCCTTCTACCTCCCTCTTCTTGCCTCCACACCCTCCCCTCTCCCACCCCCTCCCCCTTCGCTGTCCCCCTCCCTCATCCCTATTCCCTCTCTCCTGAATAGCATGCGGTGGTGGCACCACACATCCACGGCAATGCAGCAGTGGTGTTCACGGTGCTCAAGGGTTCAGGGCACTTTGAATCGGTTCACCCCAACGGCACCACGGCTGCCAGTGATGCTGTGCAGACAGGCCACGTGGGGGTGGTCCCCATGGGTTATGCCCATGCTCTGCAGGCAGGAGAGCAGGGCGTGCAGATTCTCGGCGTGAGAATCGGTTCTTACCATCCATCAATCAAGTTCCTTGCAGGTAATAAGCAGAATATTGTGTTCAACGGCATTTCTTTTTTCATTTCGAGCTGTTACTCCTCTGGTTTGGGTATCTCTGGATTGGTAGTTAATCTTTTGCATCTGTTCTTTTGAGCAGGAAGCAAGAGTGTGTACAAGGCAATGAGGCCGGCGCTTGGTGCTGAAGCTTTCAATATCACCGAAGAGGATTTTTCGAATTTATTTGGCGCACAGGATAGCCCTGGTATAGTTCCTTGGAAAGGGCCCTTTCCCGGGGGAGCTGCTGTCTAGGATCGTATGTGGGCTGACTTTAGTCTGTGTAGGTACTTGTGCAATGTAATGCTGGTAGCCCATGCCCCGTCAGTAAATTTCAAGCCCATGCCCCGTCAGTAAATTTCAAGCCCATATTAAACATTGTAATTTTGTAATTTTAGGAAATGGTTTGCTATAGTTGCTGTAAGGTCGCACAATCGTCAAGTTTGATTTATTTATGGTTTTAACCGTGTTGAGGTTAGTCAAATAATGATTATACCGCTTACACTACTGTCCCTTATGATGTTTCAGGTTCCACGTGCAAGGTCTCTGGCTTGCCACGTGTGAGCCAGCAAGGCCTTGCTTTTGGCGAACGCAATTGCGTCAGTGTCCATATTCCCGCCAATATGCCTGCTGCGTCAGCCAGTCCCGATTCCTCGCGAGAGTTCGAATATCGACCAACTAAAAAGCTTTCGCGAAATTCGCAGGATCAGCCAGCCTCGAGATTGCCTCCTTCGCACTCCACGGGAAACTCCTGAATCCTCGGGTTTCTCACACAGGATCGCGCATTATCTATATTTCCCACATTCATCCTTGAAGGCATCTTGCTTGAACAACTCTGCATCTCTAGCTAGTGGCTTCGTTATTTCGTGTTAGTCTGTTGCAAATCTCGTTGTCCATTGTCGGTATTTCTGATCAGTTGGATTCGTGCAAGCACCAGTAGAAGGCGATGTCGTTGGGGTTGTGCCAAGGAGCAACCATGGCTGCTTGTCAGATTCCGTCAGCGTCAGTCAGGCTAGCAGCTACCGGCCAGCTCCAGTCGTCCACCGGAACCAGAAACTCGTCCTTCACGCCATCCAGCTTCGCATTTTCGTCTAGAGATGAGTTTTTCAGACCAGGACAAACGGCGCTGCTCAGATGTAGAGTACCGAGTTCGCGCGGCTCGGGATCACGAGGTGCTAGACTAACGGTCAGGGCAGCAGCAGATTATTACACCACGCTGGGAGTTGCCAAGAACGCGTCGAAGCAAGACATCAAGAGCGCGTACCGACGACTCGCTCGGCAGGTGACGATCCTCATTTCTTCTGTTGCTGCGAAGTGCATTTTCTTGGCAGGACCTTGCGTCTGTCAAAGTCGTTGCCACACTTTTTTTTTTCCAAATTCTAAGGAGTCTGTCAATTTTGGCTTCACTACACCAGTCCTTTCCCTTCGTGTTCTTTTCTCTTGAAATACATGCAGTTCCACCCGGACGTGAACAAGGACCCCGGAGCGGAGGACAAGTTCAAGGAGATCAGTACCGCGTACGAGGTAACCACATGCACCGTAATGCCCTCAACCATGCCTCTAGTGATCGTTCAGCCTCGTGTGATCATTCTCCCTCGGCCCACGTTCTTTTCGGATGATGAGAAGCGGCCGTTGTATGACCGCTTCTGTGAACCACAGAAGCATTTCTTCACGCATGCATCGATATATCGTCAACCACACTTCCTGCCATTTCCCCTTGGTGTGATCATTTTCTCCCTTTTCCAGGTTCTTTCGGACGATGAGAAGCGGCCACTATACGACCGCTTTGGGGAGGCGGGCGTGTCTGGGTCTGGTGGCATGGGAGGAGCGGGAGCTTACACGGTGAGTATGGGATGCATTGGCGTTTGAGTTGAGAGAAATTCGCTGTAAACCAACGCTTAGTCAGTATGCGCTCACGGAACGGAACGAACGCATGATTTAAGTTTTTTTCCTCGAAATTTACTGTACACACAGTATAGCGCCCATTAGCGTGCAGGACAAGCACTAAGCCAATCAGTGAAACTCGTCTAACATCCAGACGCACCCATCTGGCGCACCGTTGTCGACACGTGTGGCCGTGTAGTCGAACCCTGTCGACCTGTTCATATTCATATCTGAGTCGGATATGGGCGCTGCTGCGAGGGAAGGCAGGCGACGTGGGCGGAACGCGACGGCCTTTTAAGAAATCTTTACTCATGAGCTTTCTTCTGTCTGCTCTGACTCTACCTCTGCCTGTGGCCGTGCAGTCGAACCCGTTCGACCTGTTCGAGTCCATATTCGGGCCGGGTATGGGCGCTGCCGCGCGGGGAGGCATGGGCGGAATGGGCGGCATGGGCGGCATGGGCGGCGCTGGCCCGCGGACGCGACAACCTGTTCCCGGCGACGATGTCAAGTGAGTGGCGCAGGGTGGGGTGGCTAGATAGGGAAGTACGGAGAGAGAGAAGGCAGTGAGAGACTGACGAAGGACAAGGGAGTTCATCCCACCCATTCCTCCCCGCTCCCGCCCATCCCTGACCATCCTTGCCCAACCTTACCATCCCCGCCCATCCCCGCCCATTTCCGCCCATCCCCGCCCATTTCCGCCCATCCCCGCCCACTCCTACCCATTCGCACCCATCAGAATGGAGATGCCGCTGGAGTTCCGCGAGGTGATATTCGGCGCGGAGAAGACCATCAACGTGGCGCACCTGGACGGCTGCAACGAGTGTGGGGGGTCGGGCGCCAAGGCGGGCACGTCCCCCCGCACGTGCCCCACGTGTCGGGGCATGGGGCAGGTCATGCAGACAAGGCAGACGGCCTTTGGGATGTTCTCCTCGGTGCGTGTCAATGGTGTGGAGTGATCAGGTGTCTCTGGGACACAGGGCAGGTCAAGGAAGACGGCGAAACTCCATGGGGCGTGTTGTCATGGGTGTGTGAGTGTCATCGGTGTGTGAGTGTGTGGGATGCGGTTGAGCGGAGTGGGAGACCATCAACGTGCCGCGCCTAGACGGGTGCAGTGAGTGTGGGGGGTCGGGCGCCTAGGCGGGCACGTCCCCTCGCACGTGCCCCACGTGCCGGGGCGTGGGGCAGGTCATGCAGACGCCGCAGACAGCTTTTGGGATGTTCTCCTCGGTGCGTTTTAGAGTTAGTGTGGAATATCCCGAGTTCAATGTTGAACAATGGGCAGGTCAGGTAGACGGTGAGAAAGTTTTGGTTGTGTTGTCGCGGGGTGTGTGAGCGTGGAAATGTGTTTAGATGGTGTTGGAAGATAAAGGTTCAACGCAGGTATCCCAACTTTGGGAAGCTGATTCCTGATTCTTTTTCTTTACTTTGTGTGCCCCGAATTCCCGCCCCTGTTTCCTTGGTTGCAGGTGTCCACGTGCTCGACGTGTGCAGGAGTGGGGGAGGTGATATCTGAGTTCTGTCGCAAGTGTGGGGGCGAGGGGCGCGTGCGGACGCGCAAGCCAGTGGTGATCAACGTGCCTGCAGGGGTGGACTCGGGCACAGTGCTGCGCGTCAAAGGGGAGGGCGACGCTGGCATGCGCGGGTGAGTGTTCACACGAGCACTATAGGCAACCAGCACCACCAGCAGCACCACCACCATACCACCATCGAACTAGCAGCACCACCGTCACCACCAGTACCAGCACCTTGCAAGCCAGTGGTGATCAACGTCCCTGCTGGGGTGGACTCGGGCACAGTGCTGCGCGTCAAAGGGGAGGGCGATGCTGGCATGCGCGGGTGAGTGTTCACACGAGCACTTTAGGCAACCAGCACCACTTCCACTACCTGCACCAGCACCACCAGCAGCACCACCACCGTACCACCATCGAACTAGCAGCACCACCGTCACCACCAGTACCAGCACCTTGCAAGCCAGTGGTGATCAACGTGCCTGCTGGAGTGGACTCGGGCACAGTGCTGCGCGTCAAAGGAGAGGGCGACACTGGCATGCGCGGGTGAGTGAGTGGATAGACCATTCAGTGTTTGTGTGCAACAGCACCATCACCACACCAGCACCTGCACCATACTACCAGCGCACTCGCGCCACCTTTGCTACCAGCAGCACTAGCACCTTGCAAGCCAGTTGTGATCAACGTGCTGGCAGGGGTGGACTTGGGGACGGTGCTGCACGTCAAAGGGGAGGGCGACGCTGGCATGTGCGGGTGAGTGAGTGGATAGAGTGTTCAGTGTTTGCACTGCTGCCACAATCAGGATTCGGCACAATCAAGATTAGCACCACCTGCGCCACCAGAACTGCCAGCACTACCAGCAGCAGCACCAGCAGCATAACGACACCAACACCATGCAAGGCAGGGGTGAGTGATAGATGTATCTGGGGCGGGTGGGGTGGCTTTTCTCCACATGCTTGTGAAAGAGGGGAGAGCAAGTTCCCTTTCCTTTCCTGGTCTCATCCTTCTTCTCTTCTCCCCCGCGTCTCACCACCACTCCCCAGGGGCAAGCGGGGCGACCTGTACGTGTTTGTGAAGGTGAAGGAGACGATGGGTATTCGCAGGGACGGCATCAACCTCTACTCCAACGTCTCTATCGACTACACTGACGCCATTCTGGGCACGGTGGCCAAGGTGGGTGTAGTTTCAAAGGTTGGGGCTTGTACAAGTGGTGTCTGGTCATTGAGTCTTGCAGCAGCAGCAGGTGGCATTCGCAGGGACGGCATCAACCTCTACTCCAACGTCAGCATCGACTACACTGACGCTATTCTGGGCACTCTGGCCAAGGTGGATGCTGTCGGCAGGGTGGGCTGGGAATGAGGCTTGTACGGGTGGTGTCTCGGCATTGAGGGATGCAGCAGCAGGTGGCATTCGCAGGGGCGGCATCAACCTCTACTTCAACGTCAGCATCGACTACAGTGGCGCCATCCTTGGGACTGTCGCCAGGGTAGGTGTCCTGAACAGTTGGATGCTTTGACCAAGGTGGGTGCTGCTGCTGCTGCTGCCACTGCTGCCATAATTCCCCCACTAATTCCCCCACTCTCACCATCCCACGTATCTCTTTCTCCACTGGTCGCGACAGTGGACGGGGCAGCGGAGCTGAGTGTGCCAGGAGGAACCCAGCCAGGGGACACGCTGGTATTGGACTGCAAGGGTGTGCCCACGGTGGTGCTTTCACAGCTGCTGCTCCCTCTCTCAACTCATACTATTACCCAATCTTCTCCTGTGTCACTGCAGGTGGCCACAGTGGACGGGGTAGCGGAGCTGAGAGTGAAAGGAGGAACCCAGCCAGGGGACACGCTGGTATTGGAGTGTAAGGTCGTGCCTAAGGTGCTGCTGCTGCCACTGCTGCCACGATCTCTCTCTCACCTTCTTGATCTTTGCACTACTACCACATCCCACTTCACCCCTTCAGGTGGCTACGGTTGACGGTGCAGCAGAGCTGAGAGTGCCGGCAGGAACCCAGCCAGGGGACACGCTGGTATTGGAGCGCAAGGGCGTGCCCAAGGTGGGCAAGAGCAACATTCGCGGGGACCACTTCTTCCAAGTCAACGTCTCCATCCCCAAACGAGTCAGGTGCTTATAACGGGTCGGCCACTCATTATAGGGGTAGAAGGTCCCCTTGTTTTGTGAGGTAGAGGGTTTGAAGGGCGCTATGGACGTTTTTCACATCTGCCTTCCATTTTGACGCCCTTCGATAGCCTGCCGCTTCCAACCTTTTTTTCCGCAGCATCAAAACCTGCATCGCACCCTGACCCTCACCCTGCCCCTCACTCTGCCCCTCACCCTGCCCCTCACCCTGCCACCCACCCTGTCTGCCTGGTGCCTTGTGGCATTGTTGTTTGAGCAGCCCCACGGAGCGGGATCTGGTGGAGGAGCTGGCGTCCATTCACAAGACGGGCAAGACGCGCACGGGCATCACTGTGGAGGGAGCAAGTGAGTTCCCACTGCTTGCCTGGTTGGCCCGCTTGCTTGTGTGTGTGCGTGCATGCATGCATGCGTGTGGCTGTGCATGGTGTCTATGTCTGTGTGTGCGTGTATGTCGAGAATTCCTCGCATCGGGGTTGCTAATGCTCCCTCAGTTGCTCTCCTCTCTCCCCTCTCTCTCCCCTCTCTTCTCCCCCCTCTCCCAACCTCTCCAGGGCCGCGGTTTTCATCCTCCAGCTCGGGCATGGATGGGGTGGGCATTGTCGACACTGTCAAGTTAGGCTCCCCGTCCCACTCTCTCCTCACTCTCTCTTTCCCCCTCTCCGCCCCTCCTCAGGGCCACGGGGTTCATCCTCCAGCTCAGGAGTGGATGGAGAGGGCATCGTCGACACCGTCAAGTAAGCCCCTCCGCCCCTCTACCCCTCTCCCCATTGCACTGCCCTTGCAAGGGTTAGACGGGTTGCCCTCGAGTTTAGACATCTACCCTTGGTGATGCCTTTCAGCCCCATGACCAGGCTCAGCGCGATTCTGCCAGGCTCTTTTCGAGAGCCTGTAGGAGCGACACTCGCATGCAAGCCACAGGCAGGCAGGCAGACTTGAACCTGACCAAGTCCTGACTTGAACCCTAGACTTGAACCTGACCAAGTCCTACTCCTACCTGCCTGCCTGCCAGTTCTGTCATCAGCACCTGATGACCACACAACCGCTTGCTGTTAAGACAGGCAGGGGATTAGTGAGCCAGGGTTTTAGGCCCCTTGCCTGCACATGCCTGGCTTGTGCTCATTGGTTGCTCTGCTTGATCCTGCAGTGGGCCCAAACGGGTGATCCAAACCATCCAATCTGAAGCCAGGAGATTTACAGAGGAGACCATCCAGCCGTTCATTTCCCCTGCAACGCCAATCACATGGCGCCATGTGGCGAATGCAGCAGTGCTGGCTGCAGTCTTAGCTCTGGCCATGGCTGTTGCAGCAGCAGCGGCACGAGCAGCTTGGGCATGGTTGAAGGGTCGCTTTCGGTTAACCCCTTAGTTCCTAGTAAGCGTGTCATTTGCCTTTCTCTGGTTGTCTTTTGCGATACAGCTCATCGCTGTTTTTTTGCGTTTGTTTTTTCTCTTCTCCCACCCAATCCGGGCCCTCCCTTGATTGTCTGTTGATCTTTTCAACTCCCTCCTGCAGGACTGTTTTTTCGGGCATTAAAGATTTCTTCAGCAAGTGAAGCATGGAAAATCGCAAGTAGTAATGATACGAGGCAGTATCAGGAGTTAGGATTGCAGAGACAGCTGTAGGAAGTCTTGCTGGTGTGATGTTGCCAGTCAGGCATGCAGTCTGTAATTTTATTGTGTGATGAAATGATACAGGGATTCCATGAATATTCTCACGGCCAAGGCAGGATTCACCTACCGTACTGGAGCTTCTCACTGTCTCACACTTCTTTTCTGACCTGTAACTAGTAAGAACAGCCAATCGAATCCCCGAATATCAAAGTGCAACCTCAGACTCAGCCAGTGTATTCCAAAAATGTGTGGAATAATTTATTGGACTGGAGGCTCCAATGAACACACAAGAAGTCCCTTCACACGCACATGGCCAGAGGCATCATCACTTGAGTCATATTAGTGGCATAAACTTAATTAAAGCCCAAGCACTTTCTTCAGGACTGCTGCATGCGTGGGACCAGCGGCCCTCTCATACGTCCAGGCAGGCCCACTCAATCCCAAGGGTACCCTAACCTTTACCTTGTCTCCAAGAAATCCCTCCAGAAATATTACCGTATCGTCTAGAAGCCCTGTACCAAAATATCAAAGCCCAAGTACTTTTTTCACGAGTGCGGCATGCTTGGGACCGGCAGCCCTCTCGTACATCCAAGCCAGCTCCTCCCGCTCTCGCTGTGACAGCATCTCACGTAAAAGGTTGGCTGAGGATGCCAGTTCCGGCTGACAGTGATGGCAGAAAAGGGATCATATGGAACCAGGGCACAGAGGAGTTAAGCAGACGCATATTCATGCATATCATGAATGGATGGATGTGGAAAGATGTGCATGCATGCACATGCACATCCAGAAACCCATTCTTTGTGTACAAGTGCATAACATGTGGTAGAAGCAAAGGATAAGAAGCAAAGGGCACGCACCGCGACTAAAGCAGGAGTGAACTCAGAGAGAAGCTTCGAAATCTGCTGCAGTTTCACCTCCGCTTTGCCTCTCATACTCTCTTCTAACAGCTCCTGGTTAAAAAAACAAAGAGAGCGAAATGCATTGGAAAAAAAAAAAAAAAAAAAACGTGGAAGGGTCGAAATTGCCAATGATGGCTAGGCAGCCTATTCTTGAGGCGCCTAACAAAAAGCAGCCTGTTTTACCAGCCACTGCTCTGATTACCAATCACACATGATCATAAACGTGCACACCTGCACTCACATTGCATGCCACGAGCTCTGCTGCCACTCTGCTCGCAGCGCTGCTGCCAAAGCTGATGGGGATGTGAGGCACACCGCTGCTGCCATGGCTTTTGAGTAGACTCACAAGGGAGCACACAGCAGACAACACAAGGCACTCACATTGCATGCCACAAGCTCTGCTGCCACTCTGCTCGCAGCGCTGCTGCCAAAGCTGATGGGGATGTGAGGCACACCGCTGCTGCCATGGCGTTTGAGTAGACTCACAAGGGAGCACACAGCAGACAACACAAGGCACTCACATTGCATGCCACAAGCTCTGCTGCCACTCTGCTGGCCACCCCTCGCAGCGCTGCTGCCAGGGCCGCAGGAGGGGCCAGGCTCACAGCTTCTGCCATGGCCACTATGAATGATGGGCCCGAGGTGGGGAGTTTGGGCGGCTGGTGGGAGCTGTGTGTATAGGGGCGGGGCGCAGAGGGGGATAGGGAGACTGTGAGACCCGCAGCTGCTGCCAGAGCTGCAGGCGGGGCCAGGCGAGTCGACTCAAAAGTCACCTCGGGATAGGGAGCCTGTGAGACCCGCAGCTGCTGCCAGAGCTGCAGGCGGGGCCAGGCGAGTCGACTCAAAAGTCACCTCGGGATAGGGAGCCTGTGAGACCAGCAGCTGCTGCCAGAGCTGCAGGCGGGGCCAGGCGAGTCGACTCAAAAGTCACCTCGGGATAGGGAGCCTGTGAGACCCGCAGCTGCTGCCAGAGCTGCAGGCGGGGCCAGGCTCACAGTTTCAGCCATAGCCACTATGAATGATGGGCCCGAGGTGGGGAGGCTGGATGGGTGTTGCGAGCTGCATGGAGGGTTGGAAGTATTGTTGACAGTAAGTGGGATGGGGTAAGGGGGTTGGGGAATGGGAATGGGAAACGCGGTGATCTCTTTTCCCCATCACTCTCAGCCAAACCCATCTCCCCCCATCCCTCTCACCCCATCCCATCACCCCATCCCAACAATCTCAATCAACCCATCCCTTTCACGCCATCCCATCACCCCATCCCTCCTTATTTGTTTCCCCTACCCAATGCATTCGTCCAGTGCCAGCTGGACGGCGGCGTTGAACACTATCAGCCGCACAGAGTCCCTCTGAGTGTGCCACGTGTCACCAGATGCTCGCCACGCTGCCCAGATCTGACGGATTGACAACAAAGGTGGATGAGGATGGGTTTGAAAAGTTGATGGGTGGATAGGGATGGGTTTGAAGGGTGGATGTGAGTTGACGGAGATGTATCCATGCTGCTGAAGTGTGATTGTGCGTCTCTTCTGCATGAGAGATGCAGAACGTGTCAAACAGGCCTAGTGTGGTGCGGTGTGGTGCAGTGCAATGTGGTGCGGAGCAATGTGGTCAGGTGCGGTGCACCACACCTGAATGAGAGCATCTGCCGGGATGTGCCCCTGCGAGTTGAACTGCTCCAAAGCACCTGAGATTGAAATTGCACGCCATTGCAAAGAAACACAATCAGATGAGTATAGATTACGTCAACACCTCTAATAAACCGATCCATGGGTCGTGTTTTCCGCTCGCTGTGGTTCGAATCCAATTTGTTTTGTTTTGGGTTGACTCAAAACCCGATCTATGAAGATTTTCAAAGACCAACTAGTCTCATAGCCATGCCATCCTACCCAATCCAAGTAGCCCCAGCCCCTTCCAACTGCATCCCACTGCAACCCACATCATCCCAGCCCACTTACCCATCACAGCGACCCGTGTGTCCTTCACCGAAGCGCCTCCCGAACCAGCCACTCCAGCTTGGCCACTGCCCGCGCCTGCACCCGAGCCTGCAGTCGAGCCTGTAACCAACCGCTGTGTCAGCTGCAAGGCCAACTCGCTCCAGGCATCTCGCCACCAATCCGGGATAAGATCCGATTTGATCCCATTGCCGTTCTTTTGACCCTTCACTGCTTTACGATCCACTCTGCTGCCTGTGTTGCATTGATTGAGGTGGTGACTAAATTTCTTCCCAGATTGACTACTTACTCCACCCATGCCCTTCGGTGCTTTCGCTGGTCTCCCTGCACGTTCACCTGAACTTTCACCTGAGCGTTCTGTTGTATCAACCTGACTCATTTCAAGAGCCAGCATGGTGCGGTGAATGTCTTCTGCCTCTTTCCCTGCTGGTTCCACTCCACCATTAAGACCAGCATAACCGCCACTGAACCCAAACACAGTTTTCATCACAAAGGCAGAACTACCAGTTTCACCAATCCCGCTACTGCCTGTCTGCTCCTGTTGTTGCTGCTGCTGCTGCTTCTGCTGCTGCCGGCTATGCTTCTGCTGGCCCTCTTTCTGCTGCTGCTGCTGCTGCTGCTGCTGCTGCTGTCGCTGCTGCAGCGAATTTTGCTCTGCCTTCTCCTGCTGCTGCTGCTGCTGCTGTCGCTGCTGCAGTGACTTCTGCTCTGCCTTCTCCTCCTGCTGTAGCAAAACCTCTTCAGGACCCACAGCCCACAGCACAGGCGCAAAGAATGAGTGCACAGCAGCGGCAGCTGCCGTTAATTTGGGATTCTCAGCAGATACCTTCCGATTAGCTCTCCCTTCCTGCTGTAGCGATGCCTTCTGTTCCGCCTTCTCCTCCTGCTGCTGCTGCAAAACCTCCTCAGGACTCACAGCCCACAGCACAGGCGCAAAGAATGAGCCCATAGCAGCGAAAGCTGGCATTTCTTTAGAATTCTCAACACATACCTTCCGATCAGCCTTCTTCTCCTCCTTCTCCGTCTCCTCCTCCTCCTCCTCCTCCTGCTGCTGCTGCTGCTGCTGCTGCTGCTGCTGCTGCTGCTGCTGCTGCTGCTGCTGCTGCAGGGCCTTCCGCTCAGCCTTCTGCTCCTGCTGCTGCAATGCCTTCCGCGCAGCCTTCTCCTGCTCCTGCTGCTGCTGCTGTGCATTCCGTTCAGCCTCCTCCTCCTGCTGCTGCAAAACCTCCTCGGGACTCACAGCCCACAGCACAGGCGCAAAGAATGAGCGCACAGCAGCGGAAGCTGCTTGGAAGCTACGTGCGACGAGGGAGGTGCGGAGGAGAAGGCAGAGGAGGAGGAGGGAGGAGGAGAGGAGGAGGGCGAGGCGGAGGGGGAGAGGGGCGGAGCGGGGAGGTAGCATCTGGTGCAGGCGAGCAGGGAGGGCTGCGATCTGGGTGGTGAGAACACGCCTGTCAGTGGACGGGTGGGTGGGGGGATGGGAGGGTGGGATGACGGGTGGATTGTAAGCAAATGGGGGGTGGGCGACTGGGTGGTGAGAACACGCCTGTCAGTGGAGGGGTGGGTAAGTGGGTGGGTGGGTTGGGATGATGGGTGGATTGGATAGTGGGCGAGTGAGTGGAAAGAACAAGCCTGTTAGTGGTTGGGAACAGGTTGCGGGCAGTGGGAAGATGGGTGGGTGGGCGAAAGCGTATTATAGAAGTCATAACTATGAGAGAATTATGAGAGAACTGAGGGGTGGGTGAGAAGGGAAAACTGTGAGCAGGAAGTTTGGAGTGGGTGGGTGACCAGGTGTGATGCACACACACCAGGCGTGACGTACACACACACACCTGGCCTTATCCATGGTGGGTGGAACTGACTCAGCCACTGACGCTGACACGTCAGCAACCCAGTCAGACACCGAATCCACGGCCTTCTCTAGTGGAGATTTATACAAGTCCGACAATCCCAAGGCTGACGAACCCCTTCTCCTCCTCCTCTCAAAAAGTCTCCTTCGATGGCGTATCTGCTGCCGTACACCCTCCCCAATCTCCTTAACACACTCGTCACCAATTTTCTCCACATCGTCAGCAATCCTCTCCATATAGTCACCAATCCTCTCTACATAATCACCATCCCTCGGAAACCATACCCTCTGGTTATCCCCTTCCCTCCAAATACCGTCTCCTCTTCCCGCTCTACCTCCCCCTCGCCGCCTCCGCGTTCGTCTTTCTTCCCACAACCTCGAGAATTCATCGTCCCTGTTGCTGGGGATCCAGTTCTGTGCCGTAACATTGTAACCAGAAGGCTCCTGAATGGACTCAACAGCTGTCCGGGAATCAAACTCCTTGCTACTGCTGATGTTGCTGCTGCTGCTACTGCTGACGTTGATACTGCTGCTGCTGCCACTGTACAATGTGGTAAGTGCAATAAAACGCCTCAGAATTTTCTCTTGCCAGGAGCAATCCTCCCTGCTGGTATCAGTGCTACTCTGCAACGGATTTAACCGCACATCATTGTTCTGCAGAGCAGTAACTCGCACACCACGACCCTGCACTCCATGCCATGGTGTTTCAAAGCGCCTCGTGACATTCACCTGCAAGGGCCTACAATTAGCCAGAACACCCCTCCGCCTTGGTAAAATGGCTAACGTTTCTGGTCCTGCCCGGCTCCTGGGTACTGCTTGTCTCAGACTAAAAACATGATGATTTTGTAGTCGTCTCGAAGCTACTACTACTGGGCTCAGACGATTATAAGATGCGGTCCAGTTACCACTAATAATAATGCGAGTGGAATTGAGGTTACCAACATTAGGGTTACCACCATTAGGGTCACCACAAGAACTAACGCTGGATGACGGTTCATGGTAGGTTTGAAGCTTCACGCCTCGGCATGCTCGAAGCTGCACAGCCATGGGAGTCGCCTATGGAAAGGGAACGTATGTGGTGTGAGCTGCCAAGGCCTTTTCATGGTTCAAATCAACGGGCCAGAGAGTGAATTGGTATGGGACTCCTGTATGACACTTCAGGGCAGCTGGCTAGTTAGAATTTCCCGGGAGTAATTCTGGAACTGAAAGGAAACTCCTGCCTCGACAGAATTCCGCAGGGGTGGCGGACCAAGAGCGGATGAAACGCCAGCTGCGGTGGCTGGATTGCCATGGAAAAATTGCCACTCGTACTAGAAGTCGCCACTGAGCTTGCGGGGTGAAAAATTCCCACCGGTGCCTGGCAGGTGCAGGCGCTTAGCCGCTGAGCGAGTGGGTCGCCGAGTACAGGCGGGTGTTACCGTGAATGTGGGCGAACTTGACGGTACCCGGGGCATGAAAAAAAAAAACATTTCCGCGTTGTGGATCCGAGTTCTGGTTTGGACTGAAACCCTCGCCATGCCACCCAGGAGAGAGGGAAGTTCATTTTGCTCTTCAGAGTTGCCAAACCTCGTTCCGTTTGGGTCCCACACCTGAGGGAGCAGGAGCCATCATCAGGATCCTACGTCGGGTAGTGAGGCCGCCCGACACCCTCGATACCCATTGTTCAGTCAGCTTCAGTGTCATGTCACCCGCGACAGCGAACCGTCTGCCGTGTCCGGTGTGCTGAACACAGTTACAACTCGCCACTATGAACGAACCATCAGCCATCGTACGGAAGCACGGGTTACGTGCCACGTGTCGCTCCGCATCCGCCAAGCAGTGTGAAATCTGTTGAAGTGACGCGTGCGCCATCGACCCACTCGACAAGCTGGCGAACTCAAATGTTCATACGAGTTAGAAATGATACCTCTATTTCTGAAGTGTGATAGGAATGTGACGGAATGATGGGAGGGAGGGGTGGTGTGATGCATGATGCTGCGAAGTTGGAGGGCGTGGAGAAGGCGTGAAGAAAGAAACATCACTACAGACTGACTCGGTACGAAACTGCCGCTGGTGCCACACCCCTTAAATGAGATGCGACAGGATAGAACAGTGCATTCGAGATTTCACACTACATAAATTTTCGTGAAGTAGCAATCAGCTAAATTCAATCAACAAAGGAAAACACATTCCGTCACGTGGTGGTCGATAGCTAGCTTGGCAAACCCTACATTATACCCCAAGAGCAGTCCTCACGAGCACCACATGCATGGGACCAGCAGCCCTTTCATACATCCATGCCAGCTCCTCCCGCTGCCGGCGAGTCAGCATGACACCCAGACAGTTGGCTGAAGACGCTAGCTCAGGCTGGTGGGGATGGATGAAGATGAGGGCAAGGGGAGACGATGGGGCAACCGATAAGATAAGGGCAAGGGGAGACGATGGGGCAAAGGGAGAAGATGAGGGCAAGGGGAGAAGACGGGGGCAAGGGGAGAAGATGGGTGAAAGCGGGAGGAATGGGGTGCTGGAGTCATACTGTTGTGATACAGGTAGCACAAGGTGGTGTGGATGCAAAGAGAGGAATGGGGGGAGGGAGGGGGAGGGAGTGGGAAGACGAGGGGGAAAGCAAACGTGTGGATGTGTGCAGGAGTGCAGCAGCAGAGCATGTGCACGTGTGTGTTGATCATCCTCTTTGAGGCGCCTCAAAAGCGGAACGGGGCGATTTTTTAGGCGCCTCAGAAAGCAAACGTGTGGATGTGTGCAGGAGTGCAGCCCAAGAGCATGTGCACGTGTGTGTTGATCATTCAGGCACATAAGCCACGTACAGAGATCGCAGGAGGAGTGAAGTCAGAGAGCAGGTTTGCTATCTGGCGCAACTTGACGCTTGCATGGCGCCACACGAACGCTTCTATCATGCCCTGCTTCCCATCCCATACAACCACACACACACCACACGTGCACAAACCAAAAAGGTATGTGATGGAGTAGCATATTGAAGCACCTCAAGAGTTGCATGGAGGCACATGAAGAATCATACAAATCCCTATTTTGAACACACTCACACAAAACAACCAGATCAATACAGGGGGAACACCGGATACCATGGCAGCACTCCTACCGCCCTGTTATTGTCACACAACAACGCGCGCACACCTCGTTATAACCACCCACACAGAGTACTCACATTGCAAGCGATGAGCTCTGCTTCCAGCCTGGCAACCACGCCTTTGAGTGTTGCTGCGAGGGCTACAGATGGCGCAAGGTGGACTGGAAGTGCCAGTCTAGTGTGCCTTTGAGTATCCTCACAAACACCCTGCAGACTCACATTGCAAGCGACAAGCTCTGCTTCCAGCCTGGCAGCCACGCCCTTGAGTGTTGCTGCGAGGGCCACGGGTGGTGAGAGGCCGACATTGGCTGCTGGTCTAGTGTGCCTTTCCGTATCCTCACAAACACCCTGCAGACTCACATTGCAAGCGACAAGCTCTGCTTCCAGCCTGGCAGCCACGCCCTTGAGTGTTGCTGCGAGGGCCACGGGTGGTGAGAGGCCGACATTGGCTGCTGGTCTAGTGTGCCTTTCCGTATCCTCACAAACACCCTGTAGACTCACGTTGCAAGCGATGAGCTCTGTTTCCAGCCTGGCAACCACGCCTTTGAGTGTTGCTGCGAGGGCCACGGATTGTGAGAGGCCGACGGCTGCTGCCATGCCAGCGAGGAATGATGGGCCGGAGGAGGTGGGGTGACAGGGCGACCTGCACGTGAGGCTCGGTGTCGTGGGAGGGAGGGGGGGAGCATGGGGTGAAGGATGGCGAGAGGCCGATGGCTGCTGCCATAGCAGCGAGGAATGATGGGCCGTAGGAGGTGGGGATACAGGGCGACCTGCACGCGAGGTAGAATATATAGGCAGGAACTAGGTGGGGTAGCCTAGGGGCATGTAAGGGTGACTCACAATGTATGTCAACATTGTATGAGAATTTTCGAAAACCGGCTACCACTCCCACAATCACCCCATCCCCGCGGATTTTTTTAGGGGCTTCAGATCATAAGTCACTCATCTGGTGCACTCCATTTCTCAGATCCTGGCCTGGCCCTATCACTCACCTCATGCACTCATCCAGTGCCAGCTGGACGGCGGAGTTGAACACTATCAGCCGCACAGAGTCCCTGTGAGTGTGCCACGTGTCACCAGATGCCCGCCACGCCGCCCAGATCTGACGGCTCACAGGAGGTTGCGGATAGAACAGCAAAGAAAAGGGACTGTCAGTTTGAGCACGTTTTGGAGTTCCCAAGAGAAACGGTTGAAACCCGGAAGTCCGAGAAGGTTAAACAATCGTATATTGCGGTCTGATGTGGCGTGATGTGGTTTCGCGTGGTGTAATAGGTTGATATGTGGTGTGGGCACCTGCTTGAGATCCTCTGGTGGGATGTGGCCGTGCGAGTTAAAATGGTCCAATGCCCCTGACAACGAACATCATAATGACAATGTGAAAATGACAAAACCAGTGTCTATGACAATGATTATTGATGGGAATGCACCTGACTGGCAGTGTACGGAAACAAAAAAGAATGCACCTGAAGTTACACGATGCGATTACAACACGGGATGGATTTGGCTCGTAGCATTTGGAAGCCTCATGATGCCTATGCACGCACATCTGACTCGTACCATTATTTCACCCAACCCACATCTGCTTTCCCCAACCCCCCCAACCCAACCCCTTCCACACACTTGCAGAAGCTTCCATTGCACATGATGTTATCATGTGCAACCTAACACAGCCGTACAACCCATGGTATCAAACCCTCCCCACCCTCCACCCCTCCCCACCCATCCCCACATACGCATCACAGCCAGTCGTGTGCCTTTCTCAGGAGCGCCTCCCAAACCTGTTGGTCTGGCTCGGCCCGAACCTCCATCCAATCCCTGTGCCCGCTGCAAGACCACCTCATCCCAGGCCTTCTGCCACCAATCAGGAACAAGCTCCGATTTTATCCTCTCCTCCTCAACTTCACCCCTTCTCTTCCTGTAGACGCTCCCTTCGGATTTGTTTTCCCTTGCTTCCTCTACGCCCGTCACAGCCTCTGCTTTGCCCGCTTTTCCTGCAGCTTCTCCTGCTGCTTCCTCTGCTTCTTCCTCAGCTGCTTTCTCTGCTGCTTCCCCTGCTTCTCCCTCGGATTCTTCGTCCACTTCCTCCTCTGCTGCTCCCTCTGCTGTTCCCTGTGATTCTTCTTCTGCTGCTTCCTCTACTAGCCCCTCTGCTGCTTCCCCTGCTGCTGCTTCCCCTGCTGCTGCTTCCCCTGCTGCTGCTTCCCCTGCTGCTGCTTTTCCTGTTGCATCTCCTGCCGTTTCCTCTGATGCCTCTCGTGCTGCCTCTGCTGCTCCCTCTGCTGCTTTCTCTGCTGCTGCTACCTCTGCTGCTTTTCCTGCTGCTTCCTCTGCTGCCTCCTCTGCTGTTGCCTCTGCTGCTCCCAATGTTGTTGCCTCCGTTGCTCCCTCTGCTGCTTCCTCTGCTGCTCCCAATGCTGTTGCCTTCGTTGCTCCCTCTGCTTCTTTTTCTGTTGCTCCCTCTGCTATTGCCTCTGCTGTTGCAACTGCTGCTTCGTCTACTGCTCCCTCTGCTGCTCTCTCTGTTTCTCCGTCTGTTGCCTCTTCAGCTTCTTCCTCCACTGCTTCCCCCGCTGCCGCTAGTTCCCCTGCTGCTTCAAAAAGTAAACAACCACCAAGATCACCTGAATTTTCACCTGAACCTTCTGTTGCATCCACCCAGCGCACATCAAGTGCCAGCATCAATGAAAAAATGTCATCTGCCGCATTCAGTGACTCAAACACTTCATCTACATCACCACCACCACCACCACTGCTGCCACCACTGGAACCACCATCACCAGCAGCAGCATTACGAACAGCAGCAACAATAGTCCCTTCGTCAGCCCCACCGTCACCAATCAGTTGCTTCAGAGACTGCTGAACCTGCTGTTGCTCTTGCTCCGTTATCCCCTCAGTGCTCAACCCCTCCTCCTCCTCACCCTCCCCTTCCTCACCCACCTCCTCACCCCCCTCCTCCTCACCCCCCTCCTCCTCATCCTCCTCCTCCTCCTCCTCCTCCTCCTCCTCCTCCTCCTCCTCCTCCTCCTCCTCCTCCTCCTCCTCCCCCCATTCCTCCTCCTCCTCCCCCCATTCCTCCTCCTCCTCCTCCCCCCATTCCTCCCCCTCCTCCCCCCACTCCATCTCCTCCTCCCCCAATTCCTCCTCCTCATCCTCCTCCCCCCACTCCTCCTCACCACACTCCTCCTCCCCCTCCCCCCACTCCTCCTCCTCGTCCTCCCCCTCCCCCTCCTCCTCCTCCTCGTCATCCTCCTCCCCCTCCTCCTCCTCCTCCTCCTCTTCCTCAATCACAAGCCGAACCCTATCCCGCAAGTACGAAATCTCTTCAAGACTTGACACAAGCTCCTCTGGTGCTATTATTGCTACTATTGCTGCTGTTGCTGCTGCTGCTTTGTTTCTTTTCTTTTCTGCTGCTGCTGCTGCTGCTGGTGGCGGTGCTGTTGCTGCTGCTGCTGCTGCTGGTGGTGGCGGTGCTGCTGCAGCTGGTGACTCCTCCTCCTCCTTCTTCTGCCCCTCCTCATCCTGCTGCTGCTCCTGCTCCTGACCAATGACAAGCGGGGCCCTCCGCTGCAGCTGCAAGCTGTCTTCTCGCATCCCGGCATGGTGCAAAGGTGTTTTACGCCCTTCAGGCTTCAATAAGAGACCTCCAGCACGGGAAAGCTGGGTGAAAAAACGACGCACAGCAGAGGAAGCTGCAAGGAACGTGCGAGCGACGGTGCGGCGCAGCAGGAGGAGGAAGAGAAGCAGCAGGGAGGCGGCGAGGAAAGGGGCTAGGTTTCGCAAGTGCGGGGAGGAGAGGGGAGGTATCATCTGGTGCAGGCGAGCAGGGAGGGCTGCGACTTGGGTAGTAACCACCCGTCCAATCCCGCCGTCATCCCTGATCCGCTGCATATAGTCACGATCCGTCTTCACAGGGTCAGCTCTCTGCTTCAAATTCTCACCACCCTGCTTGATATAGTCACTTTCTCGCTTGATACAGTCACCATCTCGCGAATTATTGTCATCTTCTATTTTCTCTCCAGATTTTTCCCTGTCTGGCGCCCCCCACGGTTTTCCACCTACTCCTCTCCCCCCTCGCCCACCCTGTCGCCTCCTCTCCACGCGCCTCGCAGTCCACGAAAACCCGTCGCTCCTGCCACCGCTGCCTCCGCTGTGGTAAGTCGATTTTTGAGTCGACTCAATAAACCCGTCGCTCCTGCCACCACCACTACCTCCGCTGCTGTTGAAGCTACTGCTGACGCTGATCCTGGTCCTGCTGCTGCTGCTGCTGCCGCTGCAGCTGCTGCTGCTGCTGCTGGTACTGATTCGGCTCCTGCTGCTGCCGCTGCGGCTGCTCCGCCATGGGATTGTCACGCGGCACTTTCCCTTTGTACCCTTTATTGAATGATCCCCGTGGGAGGGCGCCAGAGCAGGGCGTATGCCGTGTACGGCTAACGAGAGTTGGATGGTGGTGGCAACAGTCGCAGCCATGGTTGTTGCTGCCACGGTTCGAACACAAGTGCTGTGTGAAAAAATATGAGTAGAAGGAAAAAAAAAAAATGGCGTCGCACAGTGGTTTGATGAGCCGCTGCCGAGGGAGCAGAACTAAGACGGCCGAATCTGGTTGAATGATTGAATCCGTCTAAAGAAGCAAGAGCCCTCGGATCATTTCGCGCCATCGCATATCAAACCATCCCATCGCATCACATTCGTTCCCACCCTATCTTATACCACCGCATCCCACCCTGCATCCTCGCCTCGTCACCGCATTGGACGCCTGGGCCACCTTGGAAAGCCGCAGCAACCACGCTGAAAATTTCAGTCCGGCGGGGCGCGTGCGCCTTCCTTCGCCTGGATCTGCGCCCCATCTCCTCCGCAAACATAAGCTTCCGCCTCTATGCTTTCCGCGCGGATGCGTTCCGCTTGTGCTTTTCGCTCCGCCTCCATGCTTTCCGCGCGGACTCGTTCCGCTTATGCCTTTCGTTCCGCTCATGCTTTCCGCAAGGATGCGTTTTCGGCCGGAATTTCCATACTTCGCGCAAACCACGGTGAGGGGCGGAGGCGCGGAGTAGACGAGCGACAACACGCCACGTCTTGGCAGAGCGCGCGACACGTGGATCGCATGAAATTCAATGGTGCCATTACACGCGGACGACAGAGGTATTGCGCGTGTAGCCTGCTGCCAGCGGGAACATCAAGGTTAAGCCATGCAAATAAGACAGGTGGTTTCAGAAATTGAAGGGGCGAATTTCAGTGTCATACGCGTTTGAGGAGGTGCGTAGGGTTACGAGACTCGATAAGATGTTGGCACGGGATGTGAACAAGCACCTCAAGTACGTCTTTTGAGATTTGTGCTTCGTTCTTCTTGAACACTTTGATGTATTTAACACAATGCTATTATGTTAGCCCATTGCTGTTAGCAGCTAATCTATATCGAGCGGCAACGGCTAAATTCGAAACGGAGTAATCTTGAGTCAAGTTGGCATCGATGGTACCATCAGAATTGGGCATGATAATTTCACAGGTGCTGCGGTCGCGTTCAGAAAGCCCCTTGAAGTAGTTTATGCGCACACTCCCCGTGGGCGCTATGTAGCCTCCCGGCTCCGCATTCAAAATCCTGCACCAAAGCACCTCATAAAAGTTATAGAAAAAACCAATAGGAGGCTGAACTGTGTTCCATTGCATTGACTTGCATGCGCTTTTGGTATGGGGGTCTGATGAAGCATTGAACAACCTTGGGGAGTTTAGCAACCCATGGATTGTTCTACTCACCGGTTGCTCTGAACCACGAGGGTTTTGCGCGGGTTGATGGCGAGTTGGCGAAGGCCATCTGCCTTTTGGCATACGGTCTTGTCGCTATAGCTGCTGTTCTCCTTGCAGTATGGCTCAGGGTCCCGATACACCATGCGCTCTACCGCCCACTCGTCCCCCTCACTGCACGGGTTGTGGGTGGTGGTGGGAGGTGGAAGACAGGGGGAATGGTTAGAGGCATGGCACACGGTCTTGTCGCTGTAGCTGCTTTTCTCTCTGCAGTATGGCTCAGGGTCCCGATACACCATGCGCTCCACTGCCCACTCGTCCCCCTCACTGCACAGGTTGTGAGAGGTGACAGAGACAGAAACATGCTACCAGTCACTGAAATAGGAATGCAGGATCGGTGCTGCCCTACGCTCGTTCTTTTTAGAACCACATAACAAAGAAAGAAAGAAAGAAAGAAAGGAAGAAAGAAGAAGAAAAAAGAAGACGAAGAAAAAAAGGAAGCATACGCAAAGATTAAAGGGAAGGGGCAAGAGTGAAGGCGCAAGCGTCTCACCTGATGTCAGGCAAAGGAGCCCAGCGATCGACAGAGAAGACGAAGCACCCAAAGCTCACCCACGTCCACCCCTCCTCGCCCCCCCCCTGCCCCTGCCCATGCCCCTGTCCCCCGCCCAGCCCCTGCCCTTGCCCCCTCCCGTCAAGCGTCTCACCTGATGTCGGGCAGAGGAGCGCAGCGGTCGACAGAGAAGACGAAGCACCCGAAGCTCACCCACGTCCACCCCTCCTCGCCCTCCCCCTGCCACCTCCCGTCAACAGTCTGGCCCTTCCCATCGAGGAACGCCAGCAGAGAGAGCGCCCTGCTGTTACTCGGGTCAGCCAGGAGCGTTCTGGGAAAGGTGGCGGTACCAGTGGCAGTGGTGGTGGCAATGGTGATGGTGGGAGTGGTGGTGGTGGTGGTGGCGGCGGTGGCAGAAGTGGTGGTGGGGGGATAGCGGTTGGAGATGAGGGCGTGGGGGATGGTGATGTAGTGGTCAAAGTCGAGGAAGAGCGTCCAGCGGGAGAGGTGGCGCGTGCGGAATATGCAGTCGTTCATCGCTAGGAGCTGGAAGAATGTAGGTGAGGGGGATGGGAGGAGCGTGGGGAGGGGAGGGGAGGGAGGGGAGGGAGAGAGGGGGAGTCTGAGGTGCCTCGTGCGGAAAATGCCATCGTTCATTGCTAGGACCTGGAGGAATGGAGGTGAGGAGGGAAAGGGAGGGAGGGGAAGGGTGGGAGGTAAGGGAAGGGAAGGAAAAGGAGGCAAAGCAGAATGGAAGAAGATGTTCATAAGTTTCAGAGGGGAAGTGAAGCTGGCGTTCATAACAGACAAACTTGCTGTTCATCTGTTCAGACGAACACAAACACACAGACATACATATTGGAGCGACTTTTGAGAATTCTCAAAAGTCGCTCCAAGGACACACAACGCAACACGCACGCACCCGCACATAAGCACGCACGCACACACATACAGACAAAACATACCCACCTGAGCGTGGTGGTAGCTCTCGAACCGGGCGGCGTCTCTGAGATCCGCGATCTGCACTGAGCCGCCCGCCAGCAGCGGGTGCAGCGCATGTCGCACGGCGCCGTCCACGCCGCCCGCATCGTACAGCAGGAAGAGGTCCACGCGGTGAACAGTGCTGTGGAAATCCATCCACTCGCGCAGCCGGCCGGCGTGTGTCGGCTTGTATAGCGGCGACGAGCAGTGGGTGAGAGCATGGCTGGAGAAGGGAGGATAAGGAAGTGGAGAGGAGAAGGGTGGAGAGGGGGGGATGTGTGTCTTGGGAGGGAATTCATAAATGTGCACAGCATGTGGGCAGGTAATGCCCTTAGTGAGTGTTTTTTGAGAATTCTCAAAAAACACTCGCTGGAAGGAATTCATAGATGTGCACAGCATGTGGCAGTTAATGTAATGCCCTTGCTCCTCCCCCTCCTCCTCCTCCTCCTCCACCACCACCATTCAGGCGATTCAACACAAGCACCAAACAAAATCCCCTATCCACACCCACGGGAAGTTGTGGGTGCGCATGGCATGCGGCAGATCATGCCCTTGCTCCTCCTCCACCACCACTGCCTCACCCATCCACCGCCATCACCAGCTGCCCCCCCGATATCGGCCCCGTGGGCGCCTGCAGGGTTTTGAGGGTCTCAAAACCCACTATCGGCCCCGTTTGCCCTTGTAGCGAGCTCTGCAGGGCTCACTGCAGGGAACACTGCAGGATGACAGGCGAATTTAACAAAGCAACGCCCCTTCCATACTCACGGGAAGTCATGTGTTCGCATGGCGTGTGGCAGGTCGTGCCCTTGCTCCTCCTGCACCACCACTGCCTTGCGCCCATCCACCGCCATCACCAGCCGGCAGGGAGCATTGCAGGGTAACATACAAATTCAAACAAACCCATCATCAATTCCCACTCACGGGAAGTCATGAGTGCGCATGGCGTGCGGCAGGTCGTGCCCTTGCTCCTCCTGCACCACCACCGCCTCGCACCCATCCACCGCCATCACCAGCCGGCCGCCCGAGATCGGCCCCGTGGGCGCCTGCAGGGAGCACTGCAGGATCACCGCCTCGTACCGCATCTTAAAGCCCTCCCCTGGGTAGTGCGCTGTCACTGTGCCCAGGATTGACCCTGGAGGGTATTTGGGCTTTGACTCGCCCCCTCCTCCTCCTTCTTTGCTGCCTTTTGTTACTGCTCCTGCTGTTCCTTTCCCTGTTGCTCCTGCTGCTGCTCCTGCTGCTGCTGATGCGCCTGCTGATTTCCCTTGTGCCGCTGCTGCAGTCCCGTTTGCTGTTGCAGCTGTTGCTCCTCCTCCTCCTTTTCCTGCTGTCTTTCCTGCCCCTGTTTCTGCTGCTGTTGCTGCAGTGGTTGCTTTGGCTGTTGCTGTCACTGCTGCTGCTGTTGCTGTGGCTGATGTTGGCTTTGTTGGCCCCTGAGACTGCTTACTGCTATCCCCTTGCATGACCGAAATCACTCCCTCCGCCCGACCTACCACTCCGCCACCGCCTGTGACTGCTGCTTTCTTCGCACCTGTACCGTCCTTGGCAGAAACGCCACCTACCTTCTGCTCCTCCTTCCTCTCCCCTCCTCCCTTCCCTCCTCCCTCCCCTCCTCCTTTGTCTCCCCGCTTCCCTTTCCCCTTCTCTTCACCCACTTCTCCTCCTTTCCCTCCTCCTTTCTCTCTTTCCTTGTCTCCTCCTTTTTCTCCTCCCTTTTCCCTACCCTTCTCTCCTCCCTTCCCCCCTTCCCTTCCTCGCCCACCTCCCTTCTCTACCTCCTTGCCTGTCTGCTGCACCCCCTGCTGCTCATTCAACCCCACTGCACCCTTTTTCACCTCATTGTTTCCCTCCGTCTTCCCCACCTCGACCCTCTTCTCATTCTCTCTTCTCCCCTTACTCACACTCTCAGCCCCACTCTTCCCCTTGTGAACCACATGCGCCCACTTTACCCCGATCTTTCCCCCACCCCCATGCCTTACCCTCCCCCCATCACCCGCCCCGTTTCCCCGTCCATCCCCTCCTTTACCCCTTCCTGCCCCCCTACCCTGTACCACCCCTTTACTTCCCCCATCCCCTGCTCCATTGCCCCGTCCATTCCCCTTACCCCTTCCTGCCCCCCTACCCTGTATCACCCCTTCATTTCCCCCATCCCCTTTGCCTCGCACCGCCCCTTTACCTCCCTCATCCCTTTTCTCCCGTGGCCCCACTTTCCCACCTCCCTTGACTTCTAACAAGTGTCGTGAGAATCCTGCGCGTGCTGACGTGGCTGTGCCACGTGTACCATCACTGCCACGTGGCTCATCAGCATGTGATGCTGGAGTCGTCGGCTCCCATCTGCCTAAACGCGGGGAACGGGTGCATGCGATTCGGGGGAGTGCAGGGAGAGGAGCGGAGAAGGAGAGGTGAGTAGAGGGAGGTGGAGTAGAGAGAGGTGGAGTGGAGAGTGGTGGAGTGGAGAGCGGTGGAGTGGAGAGAGGTGGAGTGGAGTGGGGAGAGGTGGGGTGGAGAGAGGTGGAATGGAGTGGAGAGAGGTGGGGTGGTGAGAGGAGGAGTGGAGAGGCGAAATGGAGAGGTGGGTGGAGAGGTGGATGGGGGGCAAGGGAAAAAGATCACAGGAGAAAGCGGATGGAGGAGGCTTTGGGGGAAAACGAATAGAGGTATCCTCCCCCCCTCCCCCCCTGCGTCTCACTCCCCCTTTCCTTATAACCCTTGCTTCCACAAACAAGCACCGTCAGCAATGCTGCTGCCACGTCATCTCCCCATCACGCCACGTCACCTGCACGAGTTGACACGTGGCAGCGAGTGCAGCGCCATGGGGGAGAGTCCGAGCACCACAAAGGATGACATGTTCAGCCGGTAGCTGCTGTACAGAACGAATCCCTGCAGCCCGTGTCCCGTGCTGACGTGGCGCCGCTTGATTGGCAGGGAGAACCGCTCCGCGTCCTCGTTTAACAGCTTTCCAATGGTCTGGTTAGGGTTGCGGTGAATGGAATCAAACGGGCAGTGGGTGGGAGTGTGGAGGGAGGGATTGGGGTGGGTAGAGTGGAGATAGGGGAGTGGAAATAGGGGGTTAGGAATAGGGGAAGTGGGGAGAGGGGAAATGGGATATGAGCGGTGGGAAAAGAGACTAGAGGTGGAGGGTGGGGGGTACAGGAGATGGGAGAGGGAGGGCGAGGGGAAATCATCAGAAGAGCATGAAGACGGGTTGAATGATAAAAACCCTGTGAAAAGTGTGGGATAGTGTCAAACGGACAAGAGGAACAGGGGAGGGGGGGAAGGGATTGGAGTTTGAAACTTCTGAATAAGCAAGCATGTCAGGAGGTGAGGGGAAGGGAAAGGGGGGAGAGGGGAAGGAAGGGGGGGTGGGTGGCTGGGTGGGTTGGTGGGTGGGGGTGAAGCATCAACACAATAAAAAAAGTGCACCATTCCGCAGCCAACTGCTACCTAGGTCGTACCGCATCCAGGTCGTACCTCATCCAAGTCATACCTGATCCCGGTTGTACCTCTGCCTGAATGCCGTCCGCTCCGCGCCATCGTTGCTTAGCTGCACTCCACAGTCCCCCTCGTTTCCGCCTCGATCGCGATGCCACGTCAGCAGCGGCTCTCGAGAATGGATCCTGATCGTCCTCGTCGCTAATACCGGAAATTGGTGACCTAAATGTCAATAGAGGGTGGAGGAAGAGCAATGCGAGGTTGGTAACGGCCAAGATGAGAACCAGGTGCCGGCTGCAGTCCCGCTTATGCTCGGATCGCGTCGTCGAGCCGCGGCTTCCAAACGGTAACGTCTTCGCCGGCGCATTGGAGCGCCATCTGCTGACATTTCCACGGAGGCCGGAATTTCGGGTCACATGAGCGAACATGTGACTCTAACGACAATTCCTCCAAGCTAGAGGGAATGTTTAGCGGGTAATATTTGTTAAACTCAACAACCAATTTCAGATCAAATGAACCCAGATAGGAGGTTCCGCCAGTGATGAGGAAAATAAGGAAATACTTTCAAGCTCATGGCCTCCTATGCGGCGGCTGGCAGGATGAAAGAGGTGACAGGGGAAGCGTGTGCGACTGGCCCATTTGTGGCCGAAGTAACGCATCAGCGAACGTTTTCTCCATGCATCGCTACCTGCAGAGCATCTCACGAATACTGTATTGGCGAATCTATTTTATCGACAAAACAGCAGCCAACCACCTAGCCGAAGGGTCGGACCAGCAATTGGTCTCAGTGCGGCTCAAATTTGAATCGATACGATCTAGAGCGGTCTTTTCAAGATTCAGAATGGTTGGTTAGGGATTCTGCAAGAACGCCCACCCAACTGAACCGCGTGCAACAAACAGGGAACGAATGGGCGGGAAAACCCACAGGCAGGACGAAGTGTGCGAGACTGGGGTCGCGCAGCGGAGAACTCTGGCCAGAGTGATAAGAATCTTTGCAGTTACCAGGTCCCGTATCTTCAAGAAACGCTTAAGGGTAACGAGTGATCTTGTAACGAGTTCGGTGAGGAACTGTAGTTCTTGTGAATCTCTGGTGTGTGAAGTTACGCGTGGCAGAGGTACATTGGTGGTCGCTGGCACCTGGCTTTGCCTCCCGTAAAGCTGGCTGCTGAAGCCTTGAATTTCTCTCGACTGATGACTGGACCTTCAAGGCTACAGTGATTCTCTGCTGGAGCACGCACGCTGTGTATGTTGCACACGGAGCGCGTCCGAAGCAGAATTCCACCCGCCCATTTCTTCTGCTACAGTAATCCGCCCGTGCCCGAAAATACAGTACAGTACTGACATGAACATGCCAGAGTAGTGTTCCAAAAACACGCACTGACTGAAATTTGGGGTACGAGTCTCAAGTTCATATTCTGTGCTGGAAACTTCAAATCACGGTACATGTCCGGACCAATTTCATGATGCAACAAGTCACATCAATTGCATCGTCTCGTCGTCACTGTCACTTGCTGTCTGGTTGGGGTTGCTTACTCCCCATTGGGCAAGGACCAGCCCAAATCTTCAACTCTCTCCATCCAGCACATCCGACCCATGTGTGATCGAACGGCCGCAAAGTCATCGCGTAACGAACAGCGGAAGGGGGGATCCTCAGGCGGCTTTTGACATGGTGGTGTGGTGACGATGACAACCCACAACGATGAACACCCAGAAGGGATAGGAATGCCCTCAATCTGGCTTTGCGGCGACTCTGTGCAATTCCTCCGCAATGCTCCGCTCTCCAAACAGGATGGACGTTGCACAGCACACGACCCCGTGCTTTTTGTTTCCCCCTTTCCATTACATTACCGCTTCCCCCGATCGAAATTTGGAACACTCCGCCGCAGCTCCGTTCCCTCCCTCGACCCTTTTCACCAGCAGCCAGGATCCAGATCATACGGAACCGAGGCGCGAAGGATGAGACGTTTGTCTTTTTTCGCATCCAGCAGCAATGCACTACCGTCCAAAGTCTGCTGATGTGGGGCAAACTGCACGAGGCGGTGGAGGGCGGATGCTCCGAAAGGGTTTCCTGGCGTCCACAGTGACACAACTCCCCTGACCATGCAAAGCTCATCAAGCGAGGGAGCGAGCCCTCCTCCATTCTTCCATTTCCGCTCCCGTCCCGTGGTCATCGCAAGTGCGGAAACTAAACCGCGTCGCGAGGTTGGGTGGTCGTGGAGAGCTGAGCTCAGCGGGGGACGGCCGTGGCGCCACGGCCTACCAGGGCGTAGGGGGGATGGCGTGGCGGGGAAAGAACACAAACACCCCATCGGGGCAAAGGGAAGCTCGAGAACTTCGAGGTGCGCTAGCGACAGAACAGTCGAGTGTCGAAACAGGCAGAGCGCGCAGCAGCAGCAGCAGGCAATGTGTAGCGCGGAACTTCTTCCCCCAACCGAACTGGAAGGCGGGTGTTGTACGTAACAGTACGGTACAGTGCTGGATGGCAAACACAAATCCAACATCGATGAGTGGAACGGGCAGCCAGTTGAACAAACGAGCGGAGCGAATGGGCAAGCACCACCAGTCCCCTCCCCAGCCAAAGATACGGGGTGGGGGAAAGAGTGGGGAAGTGGGCGCAGGGATGTATGTGGCGGATTTGATGGTCCAAAGGGAAGACGAAAACTGGTCGAGGGGTTGAAGGAGGCGGATTGAGCGAAGCAGATAGATGAAAAGCGAAGCGAGGCGAGGCGGGGAAAGGAGTGGAGAGAGCCAGACAGCAACGCGAAGGAGGAGAATCAAGGCGAGCATAGCCGAGCCAAGGAAGTTGGGCTTGTCTTGTCTTGCCTTCCTCACCCCTGACTGATTCCGGAATAACTGGCTTTCAGGGAGGGGAAAGGCAAAGCTCAGATTGAAGCTGCTGGTAATAAACAAGTACAACATGCAGTCATAAGTCACAACCAGAATTACACATCTCACAGAAACAATTAGCAATTCCAGAACTCACCAGGCCTTGCACTTAGTCCAATCATCCCACAACTGCCACGTCATGCAGTGAAATTAGAAAATGCATCTGCCGTGTTAGCTAGATCGCCTGTATCAGCACTGCGACCGTACGAGTTTAAAGGATATGCGATATGCGGTTTAGTAATTTGTTGACCGCATCGCCTTTAATCCTTCCTCATGTACTAGCAACCCCTCTTCCCACTACTCTCTTCTTGTACTAGACGTGAACCACTAGTAGATCCTTAACCTCCGTACACATCCGTTTATTACCTAGCTTCTTATACATTTCCGTCCTTCTCCTTTTCTTTGGCTTTAGACGTAGTAGCTCATCCAATTTCTATTTTGTCCCACCACCATCGTCTTGCTAAAATGGCGTCGATTCGCGTCGAATCTTCTCGAGCGAGCAAATCAGAGAAGCCAGCGTCGATTGCGACAAAATCCCCCGGACGACCACGAGCGAATCGCGTCGCCGCATCAAAGAATCGGCCACCGTTGCCTGTCGCGTTGACGCCTGGCATTCCACCAACTAAAAACCCGTCGATCGTTGTGAAGACACCAGAAATCCCGGCGGGTGGCGGTGGAGAGACGAAGCGCGTCCGCACCGGCAAGCGGGAACGGCCCTCAGCAACGGCCAATGGCGCATCGGCGAGCGGCAAGAAGCACGCGAAGGACCCGGCGACGAGAATGGCGTTGACGGCGACGGCGACGACGATGACGACACAGAGGGCGACGGTTTCGAGGGGAAACGGCGAGTCATCGGCGGCAGCCACGAGTGCCAGAGGGAAGGCGTCTCTTACTAAAGCGCAGGGCAAACGGCCCCTTGAAGAATCGCCGGAGGAGGCGATGAAGGCCCAAGCCGCGCGCTGTTCAAAGGCGACGAAGGATCCGGCGACAAAGCAGCCGGCGACGAAGCAGCCGGCGACGAAGCAGCCGGCGACGAAACAGCCGGCGACGAAGCAGCAGGCGACAAAACATCAAGCGACGAAACAGCAGGCGACGAAGCAGCAGGCGACGAAACAGCAGGCGACAAAACAGCAGGCGATGAAGCAGCCGGCGACGAAGCAGTCTGCGACAAAGGAGCAGGCGACGAAGGAGCAAGTCGCGAAGCAGGCACCGTCGTCGTCGTCGCCACCCTGCCAATCGGCCCAAGACCGATCCAAGATCTTGAAAGCAGTACGTCGCTTCGACTGCCAATCATCACCCGCAGCTTTGATGCCATTGATTTATCCCTCCGTCGGCTCTCGCCTTACCGTATTTTCTCCGATTTCGGATAGGAGAAAGGTTTCAATGCTCTCCCGTCGCGTGACGAGGGCGCCACTGCCGTTGCCTCAGTAGCGTCCTCCTCGCCAGCTTAGCGACTGATAGACAGAAGCAGGCTACAGCGGCGCACTAGTAAAGCGTGTCTTTTCAGTCGATTCAGAAGTCACTGCCGTTGCCTCAGTACCGTCATCCTCGCCAGCTTGGTGACAGATAGACAGCGGCAGGCTAAAACAGCACACTAGTAGAGCGTGTGACGCGATATGGTCATCCTTGGTCTCCCGCCGTCTCTAGACCGTGACGTGGCGGATTGCATTAGTACTGCCGTCACCGACAGTCGCCGTCGTCAACGCTGTCGCGCTTCCGGTCTGTTTCCAGACGTCGCAAACGCCACTTGTTTCCACATGGTTTGCGCTGGTACTACCGGTCGCCGCCGTCACAGGCGAGAATCGCAACTAGTATCCGCCATCGTTCGTTAATTCAGTCGTTAGATATCTGGTAGATTCGCTGCTCGTCTTGCGTAGACAGTGACGACGGCGACTAGGACTGCCTTCCTTATCCGCGCAGAAAAAAAGGCAGATGTCAGGCGGTCGGTATCTCGACAGACCCCAGAAAATTAGTGCGACTAGCGAAATCGGCTGACAGAAACGTTTTAAATAAAGTCAAAACTACGGATCTGGCCGCTGACTCCGCCGCTTGGCATTCCCTTTTGGAACTGCCACTCCGCCCAGTCCCGCCACTCCGCCCAGTCCCATGGCGTCGTTCCGTGACTGCCTCGTGCTTCATTCCTCGTAACTTCCTGGTTTCTTTCACTTTGTCCCGTCGCAAACACAACTGGAGATGGCGAAGCGGCAGCTCGTTCCCACACATACTCAACTGCGGATCTGATTCTTAAACTGCCCGTTCGTTTCCCACACTCGTCCCGTCGCCGCCGCAGGCGCTACTGAACATGGCGAAGCGGCAGCCCAAGAGCCCCGAGGTGCATTTCTTCCTCGCGCTGCACTTTCTCCGCGAGCACCAACCCGCCAAGGTACGCGCGCGCGCTCGCGCTTTCGCGGAGTATGCGCGGAAGGTTAAATGTTCTCGCGAGGCTCTCGCGGAAAGATATTGCCCAGTTACACGCCCGGCAGTCTGGCGGACAGCTTTTCCCGCAATTCATACGCGCGCGTATCCGCGTTACGCAAATGCATGCATGCGCGCAAGCTCCGCCTGCTGTCCGCCAGGATGCGCGCGGAAGGTTCCGCGAGCACTTTTCCCAAGAGATGCGCGCTTTTCCAAAGGCGAACTTCTGTCACGGATAGCATCCATCCGTGAGATCCGTTGATCGTTGCAAGTGCTTGCTTTCCGTCACTAAGGGAGTGGATCTTGGGGGAAAACGTCTGCATTTGTGTTTTGAATTTTCTCTCCTTCCATGCGTTGAGCCCTGGTGGATGAGACAGATGTCGTATCCCATATGTGCGTGTGCGTGTGTCTGCATTTTCCCTCGTCCTCCCTTTTTTTTACGCCGAATTCCCTGTACTTCATCACTTTCTCGACCAGGCGTTGAGCGCGTTTGAGGCCGCAGCGGCAGCAGTGGCAGCGCTGCCGGAGGAGCGGATGTCTCAACCCAGGAGGGACCTGCACTCCGCTGCGCACCGCCACATGGCACAGGTCCGTTGGTCTATTTCCGTTTGCATCCATTGCGCCACGTGCCATTCTCAAGTACGCCCTCTCTGCTCCACCGTTTCTTCTTTTTTCATCACCCCCTCATCTCCTCCCGTCTCCTGCCCCCCCCCATGCCTGCTCTACGCCCCCCTGCAGTGTCATCTAGAGCTGGCTATGCTTGCTGCTCCTGCTGCTGCAGAGACCGACCCCCACCATCATCACCATAACCAGCATCTCAATGCTTCGCAGCAGCAGCATCCGCATAAGCAGCAGAAACAACATCAGCAGAATCATCAACAGCAGCAACAACAGCATGCAGCACATGCAAACGATGCTGACGTGGCTGGTGGCGCCCCTATTACAGTTCACAAGCAAAGCAGCTCCAAGGTGCAGGGCAAAGCACAGGGGAAAGATCAGGTGAACGCGCAGGGGAAAGTTGAGGGAAAGGTACAGGCAAAAGCACAACTCAAGGGGCCGAGGCGGGGAGCGAAGATGCAGCAGCAAGCGCAGAAGAAGGGTGAGAAGCGGGGAAAGCGAGAGCGAGAGAAGGCAGAAACAGGGTTGATGCGTCCTGCGGAAAAGCATGGAGAGGAGTGGAGCCTGCCTGAAATGGACCAGGAGGGTGGTCTCAGTGGGAAGAGGAAGTTTGAGGGGGAGGGAGCGATAGAGGGCGTTACGAATGGGTTGGATGAGTTGGATGGGTTACTTGGACTGGCTGGGTTGGTGGAGGAAGAAGCGGAGGGGAGGGAGGCGAAGCGGGTGTGCAGTGCTCTCGACATGTTTGCTGCTGTTGCTGACCTCGAACTGAGGAGAGAGGAGAGGCTGAGGGAGGAGAGGCAGAGGGAGGAGGCGTGCTTGTTGCAACAAGACAGTACGGAAGAAGAGGGGGGGGTTAAAGTTGAGGGGGAGGATGAGGGTGAACGGAAACTGGAGCAGGAGGGGGAAGAGCTGGGTGAAGGGGAGGGGGAGGGGAAGAGGAAGTGGAGGCGGAGCGTTTTTCTCAAACAAGAAGTGGAAGGGTATGGAGATGGGGAAGGTGCTGGTGTGCAGATGGGTGGAGAGGTGCGGATGGAGGTCAAGTGCGGTGGAGATCTGTTTGAAGGTCATTGTGAGGATGCAGGTGGGGCTGCATGGGGAGGAGCGTTTGTGGCGGAGGAGAATGTGGGGCAAGAAAGGGTGGAAGAGGACGGTTGTGAGGCGGTTGAGGAGGAGGAAGGGAAGGCGGGAGAAGAGGAGGAGGAGAGGGAGGAGGAGGAAGATGCGGTGATTCGCAATGTGATTCGTCATTTGACTCTGGCGGCTGCAAACGATCGCTCTGCTGCTGCTGCTACTGGTGCCTCTGCTGCTCATGCTGATGCTGCTGGTGATCCAGGTGCTACTGTTGATGCTCCGAGTGCCGCTGCTACAGAAGCAAAGGACGTTGCAGAGCAGTCACTGGGAATGCCACCTGCTGCTCCTGCTGCTGCTGACGGGAGCACCGGAAGTGGTGCTTTCTCCGGTGCTGGTGATGATGGTACTGCTGGTGCTGGTACTGCCGGTGCTGGTACTGCTGGTAACCACATGGAGGAGCAGCAAGTGGGAGAATCCCCAGCGGTAGAAGAGGGTGCTGAGCTGACCCTGGGCCCTGGTGACGTTGAAGGCGTTGGATCTCTGAAGAAAGCAGCGGAAAGAGGGGGGATGGCCACGACCAATCATCTTGCTGTCATGCTCCTGCTGTACGGGCGAACAGAGGTGCGTGTGCGCGCTGTGCGCTGTGCGCTGTGTGCATTGCGCTGTGTGCAGTGCAGTGTATCGACGCCGCCGTTCAATCTGATCAACGGTGACGCAGTGCCCTTGAAGCCGGTAGCATTTGAGACATCTGAAAGCCCTTTCTTCTCTCCACGACCCTCTCGTTTATGCACTTCAGAGAGCCCTGGACGTTCTGTCACAACAGCTGGCAAGCGTTTAGAGTGGAACAACACGTCTGATGGTGCTAGCATCATTGGAGACGTCACAAAGCCCTTTCTTCTCTCCACGACCCTCTCGTTTTTGCACTTCAGAAAGCCCTGGACGTTCTGTCACAACAGCTGGCAAGCGTTGAGACTGGCACAAGCGGTGATGCTGCTGGCAGCACTGGCAGCACGGCAAGCCCTACCGCTCCCATAGACACCGACACTCTCGCCAACCTAGGAGCTGCCCTGCTGCATGTGTAAGTGTCTTCGTGTGCCGGCGTGCTTTCCTGCTGCATCTGCAGACTGTATGTGTCTTTGTGCGGTGCATGTATAGCATCTGAGCCGTTTCTGTGCTGTCCTCTTCTCACATGCTCCCCTGCTCGCCTCCCCTGAAAAATTCCCACCTGCCTGCTTCCCTGTTCTTGCTTGTTTCAGGGGAAGGTACGATGAGGCTGCGGCCTGCCTGCAGGCAGTGCTGCAGAGGGAGCCGCAGCACCCTGCTGCTCTCTGCTCGTACTCCGCCCTGCTGCTTGCTACACAGCGGTGTCATGGCAGGAGACTTGACAGGAAAGCTGGCAGTAAACTTGACCACATGCAGCAGCAGAAGCCGCAGGTGGAGCAGAAACTGGAGCTGCAACAGGATTTGCAACAGCAGGAGCAAGTGCAGCAGCGGCAGGACGAAGAGAAGGAGAGAGCTCCGAATGCTGGTGTTGTTGTGGATGTGACGGAGACAGAAGGTGCAGAGTTGGCTCCAGCAGCAACGGGCACAGCAGGAGCAGATGCAACCATAGAAGGAGGAGAAAGCAGAGTGGTTTTTTCAGCGGCTGCAGGGGATTTGGCAGGGGTGTCAGCACAGCAGTGTGCCACAGCAGCAGTGCAGCTGCTACCGAGTTGCGGCTTCCTCTGGTGCAACCTTGCCCACGCCGCCACGCGCTCAGGCCGTTGGAAGCAGGCGGCTAAGTGCATGTCCCAGGTAACCCTCGGCATAACTTGTCTCTTTCTTCTCTTCCCTTTCTTTTTTTTCTCGGCATCCTCTGAGGGCTCGTTGTTTGTTATGATGCTAAGCCTGCCCCTCGTCGGTGCAATGCAGGCTCTGAAGCTGCAGCCGGCCAGTGCGCCTCTGCGCTTCGCAGCAGCAGCCCACCGCATCGCGACTGCTGCCGCTGCCCCTTTGCCCCCGGCCCTCGCCTCCCAGCACATCCGCTGCGGCGTTGCAGAGATGGCAGATGCGATGGGACTGCCGGAACTGACGTATGGCTCCAACGGCGTCCCAACATTTTCACGTGATGGTGCTTCTGCCATCATTTTTGGAACTGGTGCTGGTGCTGGTCCTGGTGCCACTGGTGCTGGTACTAATGTTGCAAGTGCTGGTGCTGCTGGTGCTTTTGGTGGTTGTCATGGCGGAAATCGCAAGAGCGTTTTGAGCCATGTGCCTGAGTGGATGGCGTGGGACGTGGTGGGGCATGCGCATGCAGCCCTTGAACGGAGAGCTCTCCAGGAGATTGTGACTAAAACGGGGGCGTTTGTGGTGGAAGAGGAGGCGCGGTTGACTGTAACTGGGTGTTCTGATGGAGGGAGCGCACAGGAGGGGTTGGGTGAGGAGGAGATGGAGAGGGGGGGGGGAGGAAATCGGTTAATGGCGCTGCTGGTTGGTGCAGCATCACGGGGAGAGGATGGGGATGGAGAGGAGGACGAGGAGAAGAGGTGCAAAGAAGAGGAGGAGGAGGAGGAGGGTTTTGGAAGCGGGGATGGTGGTGGGAGTGGGGAGGCGGTGAATGAGGAGCTGGCATGTGCGGTGGTGCAGGCAGAGGAGCTGAAGCTGGCCGCGTGGAAGAAGCAGGTGAGAACGAGAGTGGCTGCAGTGCAGAGAGGGGCTGTGGATTGGGGCTACAGAGTTGGCTGGTGACATAATGCCCAGAAGGTGTATGAGAGCTTGGGTTGCTGTCGCTGAAGGACCTTAGTTTCCACGTCACATTCTCCTCTCATCACTTCCTCGTCCCATTTTCTCGTCCGTCCTCTGCCCATGGTTCTGTCTTGCTAAGCTAACCTCGCCCCGTACCTACACCCTTTTCCTTTCTCCCTCTTCCCTCTCCTCTCTCCCGCTTGCTGCATTCAGTCTCTGATGGCAGCAGCAGGGGCGGGAACCGGAGCCCATCAGCTGGGCGTGCATGCGCTGCACTCTGCCATTCACTCACTTGCTTCTGACATGGGAGATGGCACCACAATGGGGGGTGCTGCTGCGGACATCAGAGATGCTAATGGTGCAGTTGAGCCGTCTTCCACGGGCTACTTTGCAGCAGCTCACTCGCACTTCCTGAGAGCTCTCTCACGCCACCAGCAATCGACAGCCACGTGGAGTTCCCTAGGTGAGCGATTCCCTAGGTGAGCAATTCCATAGGTGAGCACTTCCCTGGGTGAGCACTTCCCTAGGCGAGCAATTCCCTAGGTGAGCACTTCCCTAGGTGAGCACTTCCCTAGGTGAGCACTTCCCTAGGTGAGCACTTCCCTAGGTGAGCACTTCCCTAGGTGAGCACTTCCCTAGGTGAGCACTTCCCTAGGTGAGCACTTCCCTAGGTGAGCACTTCCCTAGGTGAGCACTTCCCTAGGTGAGCACTTCCCTAGGTGAGCACTTCCCTAGGTGAGCACTTCCCTAGGTGAGCACTTCCCTAGGTGAGCACTTCCCTAGGTGAGCACTTCCCTAGGTGAGCACTGGTGAGCACTTCCCTAGGTGAGCGATTCCCTAGGTGAGCAATTCCATAGGTGAGCACTTCCCTGGGTGAGCACTTCCCTAGGCGAGCAATTCCCTAGGTGAGCACTTCCCTAGGTGAGCACTTCCCTAGGTGAGCACTTCCCTAGGTGAGCACTTCCCTAGGTGAGCACTTCCCTAGGTGAGCACTTCCCTAGGTGAGCACTTCCCTAGGTGAGCACTTCCCTAGGTGAGCACTTCCCTAGGTGAGCACTTCCCTAGGTGAGCACTTCCCTAGGTGAGCACTTCCCTAGGTGAGCACTTCCCTAGGTGAGCACTTCCCTAGGTGAGCACTTCCCTAGGTGAGCACTTCCCTAGGTGAGCACTTCCCTAGGTGAGCACTTCCCTAGGTGAGCACTTCCCTAGGTGAGCACTTCCCTAGGTGAGCACTTCCCTAGGTGAGCACTTCCCTAGGTGAGCACTTCCCTAGGTGAGCACTTCCCTAGGTGAGCACTTCCCTAGATGAGCCGGACCTTTCAGTCGACCAGACCTAAATATTCTTCACCAATATTCATCCCGCCGCCGCGGCAGCCACGTGGAGTTCCCTAGGTGAGCCGGACTTGCAACACCAGCTGTGCCCAGCTTTGTGCCACATTCATAGCCCTCCGTTTCAAAGTGGAGATGTCTCAAGCTAGAGGTTCAAACGCCTCAGCTCTGCTTTACTCGCTCACCCGCTGCATCTAACATCTTGGCTGGCACCATGCACGTATCCATCCTAGTTTTGAGGCGCCTCAAAACTAAACTTCACCCGCTGCATCTAACATCCTAGCTGGCGCCATGCACCTATCCATCCTACGGAGTTACGGAGTCCCATCACATTGACTCGAGCACCATGCACCTCTCGATAGTTTCTATGTTGAACTATCTGTGTGGCGTTGTGTCTAAATTGCCACTTCTCCTGTTTTGTGTGCAGGCCTCTGCCTACAGCTTTCTGGCCGTCTTGACGAATCTGAGGCAGCGTATACCCGCGCGCTGCACTGCCCATCGTCGCTGCCTCCTTGCCCTTCCACCGACCCATCTTCTTCTCCTTCCTCTTCTCCTCCTCCTCTACCTCCTTCTCCTCCTGCGTCTGCATCCCATGTGACCTGGTGCAACCTCTCTCTGCTTCTGCGAGCCCAAGGCCGTCTCTCTGCTGCCCTCTCAGCTGCACACAACGCCCTCCTCCTCGCCCCCATGCACGGCCCCTCCCTCTGCAGCTTCGCCCTGCTCTCTGCCGCCGCTGGCCGCTGGAAAGACGCTGTGGACGCATTTCAGCGCGCGAGTGAGGTGTTTAGAGGAGTACAGGGAGGCGTGGAGAGAGGGGAGGTGGTGGGGGAGGATGGGGGGGTGATGGAGGGACGGGGTGAGATGGGAGAGGGGTGTGGGTCTGGTGTTGGTGAGGTGGTGGGAGTGGGTGAGGCGGTGAGAGAGGCTGTGAGGGTGAATCTGCAGGTGGCCTTGAAATGGCAAGCACGGGCAGAGGAGGAAAGGCAGAAGGTCGAGAAGAAAAAGCAGGAGGGGAAGGAGAGGGAGAGGCGAAAGGCTGAGAGATCAGCAAGGAAGGAAGCGAAGCGGGTGCGAAAGCAGGAGAGGGTGGAACGGCAGGCGAAGAAGGAGCAGGAGAGGAGAGAAAGGGCGGAGAAGCGTGAGGCGAGGAAGATGCGGAGAGAGCAGAGGAGGCATGAGCAAGAAGCGCTGCTGCGCAGCAAACAGGAGCAGCAAAAGCTTCAGCCTGCGGCTCATTCTGAGCCTCTTGACTCTTTGCGTGACTCTCCTGCTGCCACTCCTGCTGTCGTTCCTGCAGCTGTGCCCTCTCCAGCTGCTTCCCCTGCTGCTTCTCCAGCTGCTGCGGCAGCTGCAGCCTCGGCTGCTGCTGTTCCCAAGGCAGCGCTTATGGATCTCAATGAGATGTGCGATGATGAAGCAGACGCTCCCTCCTTGGGTGCTGCTGAATCAGCTGCCCGTGGTGCTGAGAATCCCAGGAATGATGACGGTGCTGCTGCGACCTTGCGTTCGCCAGAGGAGCAAGGAGCAGCTGCGGCAGTCAGGGGCGAATCAGCTGGGGGGGTCCACCAAATCGCTGCTCCCAAAGCAGCGTCGCAGAGCAAGGACTACCAGTCCTTTGCACACAACGTTGCAGCGTCTGGATTCTCGTGGGAGGTGTTCAAGCTCCCACGACCTGTGACGCTCCCGTCAAATGGTGCCACGCTGCCCGCTGCTGCTGCCGCCATGCCTCCTTTCAACTCAGGGCCCAACAGCCAGCAGCAGCAGCTTCCGCAGCCTTGGCTGCAGCAACTGCAGCAACCACAGCAGCCGTGGAGCGGGCGGCAGCACTTCCAGCAACAGCAACTGCAACAGCAACAGCAGCAGCAGCACCAGCAACAGCAGCAGCAGCACCGGCAACAGCAGCACCAGCACCAGCAACAGCAGCAGCAGCAAGAGGCGCATACATCCAGCCAAGCTTTGGGGGGGATGCAGCAGTTAAGTCATGTGGTGCTTGAGGCAGAAAAGAGGAAGCGAGAGGCTAGTGAGATGCAGCTCCAAGGATCAGCACTGGTCCCGTCCAAGGGGAAGGATGCTGGCGGCAGGTTGGGTCAGGGCCTGCATATCCCAGGCAGGTTGAATGGTACTGTCCTGAGCGTGTTGAGAAGGCATTGCGAGGCGAATGGGTGGAATGAGATGGCTGGACCAGCGGCAGAGAGGGCGTCTCAATATGCGGCTGGTGAGATCCCTGCTGCTGCTGCTGCTGCTGCTGCTGCTGCTCCTGGTGGTGGTGCTGGTGCTGCTGCTACGAATGGTACTAATGGCATTAATGGCACCTGGCATCCAACTTCCGGTCACAGGAACGGGTTGATGGAAGCAGCACAAAACGCTGTGAAGTCTTCAAACAACCCAACATGGCCAAACTCATCACACACCAACGCTGCTCTACCTCTGGCCAACTCAGTAATGGCCAGCTCAGCAGCACTAAACGCATCAGCATCAAGTGCCACCATGCCGCCGAAGCGGAGAGTACTGCTGGATTTGGAAATGCCAGCCTGTGAGCTCTCAGAAACAGAGAGCGGAGGAAACACTCCGCTGGGAGCAAGCACTCTTTGCAGCAGGGGTAACATTCCTGGCGGAGGCAACATGCGACATGGCGGGGGCGTTCCTGGTGAAGCACTTGCAAGTGGTCCTAGCAAGGGGAATGCGTTTGCTGGTGCGAACGGTTTTTATGGAAGTGGTGGTAATGCAGCAGCTGGCCAGGGGGGTGGACTGAGGTCACAACAACCAGAGGCTATGGTATCAGAGCATGCTGCTGAGCGTGCAGTGAATGGATTCCATGTGGCGCCACGCAGTGCAGGAGGCAGGGACACAGGGTCGGATCGGAATCGACTTCCGGACCTCAATGATTGGCTGACAGCATCTTGAATCGATAGAATAGAAGATATAAATCTTGCATTGATCATTGAGTTGTAGAATGATGACACAATGGCAATGAAGAAGTGACACAGCAGGGTATATATGCATCTAGCTCAGGGGTTTTTTATCAGAGTAAATTACTCAGTTTCTCTGAAAATCAGAGTGGTTTTTAGGGGGTCACTCTTACGTGTTTGGGTAATTTTTTTGGAAGATAAGTTTTCTCTCATTTGTCAGGGTTCTGATTTTAGCTACTCTGAGAGACCAGTGTATATTTGTGGCGAATGTATTTTTCTCTGTACAGGGTATAGGCATTTCGACCGAGCCCCCCCTTCCTAAATCGGTGGGAGATGGTTGGGCAAACTTATCACAGTTATCGTATTTCTTCAGCACTACCAACAATTAGCGTGTAGCACAACAGTTCCGACGATCCTCCGCAATTTCAGAAAGGGTTGATACCCATCCTCATGTACTCCGGATTCCTGCGATACTCTGACCTAGTAGCCATAAAATGGCAAGACATCCAATTCGACGACGAGGTCATGTGGATTCTCATACCACACTCCAAGACCGATCAAGCTGGTCACGGCACTTGGATACCCATTGCAGCAACGGCGGACCCCTGCTGCCCAGTGCGCTGCACCCGACGCTTCATCCGACTCGCTGGCTATGGCCCACGGTCAGAGGGACCATTGATTCGTGTCTTCGGTCACGGTTCAACCAGCGAGGGCCAGGCTAGGCCACCTTCATACACTACGATCCGGAACTGGTGCAAGGAAGCCTTCGCAAAGGTTGGCCTTGGAGAGTTGCAGCTAGGCACCCATTCTTTCCGAAAAGGTGCAGCCACAGTAGCAGCCAACACGGGAGTGCCAGACAGAGTCTTCAAACGGCTGGGCAGATGGCGAAGCGACACAGCAAAGGAAACGTATGTTACGCCATACGTCGAGCCCCTCATCGAAGCCTCCCGTACCCTACAAGATTCGACGCATGCGGTGTCATCGGCGCAACACACAGAGGCACTCGTACGCAACCGGAGGCCCCCGCTGCCCATGTCTCAGAGACCCCATTTGTAATGAGAACGATGCCAATTGATAAGAAAGAAAGCAAGCTTTCTCAATATTATAAATTTTAAACACACATGTAGTGTTTTTTAAAATTGTGTATTGTGAAAGCGAAGCTGCTTGTACTGCACAATTGGCATTGTCGAAGCGCGCTAAACGCCCTTCTCCAACTACAAAAACCGTGGGTTTGAGCTCATTTCCCTCCACCCACGTTTCTCAATTTTCAAACGGCTCACTCAACATTTTTCGCTCGAGTAGTTTTTCCCTCCAAGCTGGCTAGGATTAAATCGCTTCCTAGAGGCGAGTCACCCTCTACTTTACTCAGCGACATTTTCAACTTCAATCGCTCAACGATGGCACCTACGCCGACACTTAACAACGGGAACTCGTCAACCCCCGCTTCCGACTCCGACCGTAACGCCCGCGATTCTGCGGGCGAACGCCGTAACAAGCGTCGGGCAGAAGACGGACCTTCCGCCCCGACTGCAGTGGACGTGCTGCTGGGCGGGCTCGAGGTCCACAAAAACGCCGAAACCCAGCAGCACCCTTCGGTCCCTGTGGCGCCAGTGGCGCCTGTGGCGCCAGTGGCGCCAGTGGCACCTGTGGCGCAAGTGGCGACGGGGACTGGCGCGGCACACGCGACTGACGCCGAGCACACGCCAGCACCCGCTGCTGGACCGTCGCGTCAGCGTCAGAGGAGGCGGACTGCAGTCTCCTCGTCTGACGCGACCGCCGCCCCTGCGCTGACGCAGGCGTTGACCCCGGACCAGGTCAACGCGCTGCTGTCCCTTCTACAGCAGCAACCCGTCAGCGTTACAGCCGCGGAAACTGCACTACCCGCCGCATCTGCGTCGGCTAAAAAAGAAACTGCAAAAAAGGAGAAAGGCACACGGGGAGCACGGACGAACCGGCATGACAACGACGCAGCGACTGCCGCTCCCCCTGCTCCAGCGGTCGACAACGACACCGACGACTCTGAAGATGAAGCCGGTGAGGCTCCAGTCAACAATGTTAATTTTATTGGCACGGAAAACCTTCCCCCCCTCCCTTCTTCTAATCTTACCTTCTCGGCGGCAACCTTCGTCAACGACTCCGTGCGAGAGCAAGCGGAGCTACTGGAGGACCTGCGGGCGTACCTGCTGCACGCCGAATACAAGGCGCAGCGCGGTGATCCGGCGGGCGGACTCGAACTCATCTCACACGCTCTAAACCTCATCGCGGGGCGTTTCGAGGTGCTTCAAGTGGAGGACGCCTCCGACTTTCGCACGGCGAAGCGCTTTAAGCTGTACCAGCAGAAGAGCCTGCTGACTTCTCGACCCTTCAAGCAGGCGGTCGCGGACATGGCGGCGATGGACCGTGCGGCAAGCGGATACGCTCGTGTCAACCGCGGCGGAAACAACGGGTAGATGCCGTTCTTACCCAAGCGAGGCCCCCCGCCCACGGCCAATTGCCGTGGGTTCCGGGGCTCATGCTTCCGCTGCGGCCAGCCGGGCCACGTGGCAAGTGCCTGCCCTCGGAACGGGCATGGAGGCCAGGGACCCGCTCCGGTGGTGTAGGAGCGGGCCATGAGACTAGGCGCTTGGGCGCTAGGCACGGTGCACTCTTGAGTGCGAAAACCGTGGGCAACCCTAGGGGTTTGCGATGGCAAGAGGCCAGCCCTAGTAAAGGGTGGGATAGGCTTGGGCCTAGGATAGGGAAGGGGAACAACAACCCCTCGGTCCCATATGTTGGCCACTTGGTGGCATGCTAGGAAAGCATTGCTATGTGTGCTGGTTGATTTAATAAAAACTACCTTCCTAAAGGCCTATGGTTTTGGCAAAGAGACTATGAAAATCAAGAGGAGGAGCAGAGAGAGAGAGAGAGAGAGAGAGAGAGAGAGAGAGAGAGAGAGAGAGAGAGAGAGAGAGAGAGAGAGAGAGAGAGAGGGAGAGAGAGAGAGAGAGAGAGAAAGAGAGAGAGAGAGAGAAAAAAAGAGAGAGAGAGAGAGAGAGAGAGAGAGGGAGAGAGAGAGAGAGAGAGAGAGATAAGAGAGAATGAGAGAAAGCACAATGGACAACGGTGTCCATGGCCCTAGGCATCAGCCCCTACACACTAAGGGCAGGCACAACCATGTCCTACCAAGTGGACGACGGGGCAAGAAAAAAAAAAAGAAAAGAAAAAAAAAGGGGGAAACGAGGAGAAGAAGAGACATGCGTTGACATGCGTTAACATTCCCGACACATTCGTTGACATTTCATTCAATTGTTCATTCTCTTCACACCTTCGATCAATGGTTGCCCGTACAAGTACATGCACACGCATGCTTTAACGTGGAATACTCAAAGCTTATACCACTTGGCCTCAAATGTACAGGAGCACGACGGTGCGAGGCGGCATGCCACGACGATCCGTACGAATTTGCCGTTACAGACAGAACTATTACACACATGCGCGGTCGTCTTCGCGCGACATTTGCGTGGTGGAGCTCATGGTGCCCCAGCAGCCTTGTCCTCTCCGTCATCGCCAAGGGTTACTGGTTGCCATGGAGCCACGGCCCACCGCAACATTTCCACGATCGCAATCATGTCGGGGCAAACACGCATGCCACGTTCACACGTACCGCCATCCAAGAACTCATAGAGACGGGAGCGGCAATTCCGATGGCCACAACGGAGCTTACATGCATAAGTCCACTCAACGTGGTCGAGCAAAAAGACAAATGCAGACTCATTCTTGATCTGAGGAAAGTCAACGCCAACTTGATCATCCCCAAGTTCAAGTACGAAGGGCTCAGCCGCGTCGCCGACCTTGCGCGCGTTGGGGACTGGATGTTCTCCATTGACCTCAAATCTGGTTACCACCACATCGACATCCACCCATCGTGCTGGAAGTTCCTTGGCTTTGAATTTGATAAGCGCACATACGCATTCCGTTCACTACCATTTGGCCTCGCGACAGCTCCATTCGTTTTCACGCAGCTCATCAAGCAACTAGCTCGGCGTTGGCGAGAACAAGGCATCCGAGTCGTACCTTACGTGGACGACATCTTATTTCTCTGCCAGTCGAAAGAGGACGCGCAAGCAACTTGCCAGCGGGTGATATTGGATCTTAAAGAGGCAGGCCTTGTGATAAACGCGAAGAAATCACAACTGTCACCATCGCAGCGTCTCCGATTCCTGGGCGTAGAACTCGAGACCGATACCGGCCGATTCTCCATCGGTCCGGACCGACGAGCCTCACTACATGCAACCATCCGGAACCTCCTGAGCGCAAGCAAGGCATGCCGACCAGTCCCGGTCCGCCACATGGCCAGAATCACTGGCATGCTCGCATCGATGGGTGTCGCACTTGGCGCGACAACTCGCGCATTCAGCCATGCTATGTTACAAGTGATCGACGACGCACCGTCATGGAAAAGCAGCGTCGTTATCCCCCCATCTGCAGCAGAAGAGCTCCAATTTTGGCTCGAGGAGTTCGACCGTTTCAACGGCGCACCTTTTCACGTCAAGAACAGCTACGACGTGGTAATCCACGTGGATGCCAGCTCTCATGGTTGGGGCGCCACTCTGACCACATTTCCGGGTGGCATCGAAGAAGCTAGCGCAACCATGTCAGAGCCGCTACGAGGAACGTCCAGCACGCGACGGGAGATCGAAGGCGTCCTTTGGGCGCTACAAACGTACGCGAACAAGATCAAGCAAAAACACGTTCTCGTGCGGGTGGACAACCAGGGCGTATTCTTCATCCTTCGCAAAGGCGGCTCTCACAGCCCCGACCTCACAACGGCATGCAAGAGCATCATCCGAACATGCATGGCGCTTGGCACGCGCTTGATAATTGAATGGATTCCGCGCGAGCTCAACACACACGCCGACGAGCTTTCAAAAATGGTCGACCACGACGATTACGCGCTGAAAACGCCGTGGTTCCGGATCTTGGAACGTCGTTGGGGTCCTCACTCCATCGACCTTT